TATATAATCTCTTACTATCGTCTCGTTTATAAATATATTAATAATTCTAATATATAGATTTTTAAATTATATCTTAAAATTCTTTCGATCTAGTACTATAATAGATAGTAGATTATTATTTATTCTCGAAATATATAGAGTATCTATTATAGTCTATATATAGTTACTTATATAAATTCGAATAGTTTCTCTTATCTATTACTATTAACTCGCCTTAATTATCGAATTTTACTTCTTTCGAATAAGACTATAAGTCGATAAATAGTTTCTTATTTAATATTATATAGCGAGTCGCTTCGAAGTCTATTAATTAGCTACTATCTTCTAAAAAATCTACTATTATAAAGAAGTTCTTTATTAATAATATATTATTTATAAGCTTTAGCTTTTCTCTAGCTATCTATAAGCCTTTCTTTTAATTATATATATCACTTATATCGCTAATATTATTATCGCTATTTAATTTATTCGCTATTACTATAGTATAGTTTAAGTATTCTCGCTTATTATCTTTAAATATCTTTAAATTCTTTAATTAATTCTTTAATTTACGATTTCGCTTATTTAAATCCTTCGCCCTATAATTCTTATTCTTTTTATTCTTCTTATTTAAATACTCTCTCTTATAATATTTAATTTTCTTATAGTTATAATATTCTATCTTACTTATATCTTTAAAAGATCTTTAATCTAATTAGCTCTTTTATTTATTATATATAAATAAGCCTTTATTCTTAGTCTATCTATCTTACTCTATAATTTATAGATATTTTATAGCTATTTCGATAGTAAGATTATTATTAATCTCTAAATTATATTTAATTATATTAAACTTACTTCTCTAATAAGCGTTTATAATTATCGTCGCTATAATAAGATTATATAGTATATAAACTAGATTTAAATTCGTAACTTTATTCTATAGATTTCGTAAATCTATTATTATTTAATCGATTATCTAATTTACTAACTTAATATATTTAAGAAACTTCTATAATATAATTAGAAGACGTTCTTTATTACTTATTTTATAAATTCGATAAAGCTTATCTTATATAAACTTAAAAGTAATAAGATAGACGATATAACTAGACTCTTCTAATTTTAGTTAACGTTATCTCTAATTAGTATAGTAATTTATTTATTTAAAATAATCTATTATTTAACTAGCTTTTTATCGAATTATATAAATATTAATAATTTCTTTAATATTATTTTAAAGATATCTTATCTCTCGAGAAATTATTAATAATCTTAGATTTATAAATAATAATTTAAATTCTTTAGAACTTTTATTTTAATATATAATTTACTAATAAGTTTCTTATTTAATTTCTTTAATAAATTAATTATTAATAAATTATCTAAATTAGATAGAAGGTCTTCTTCCTTCTCTTTCTTTTCTTTTAAATAAAAAAAGCCTTTAATTAATAACGCTATCTATTTAATAAATAAATAATCTTATTCTCTAATCTATTATAGCTTTACTCTTAAGTATTCTTCGATAAGATTTTTAAGATAACTATATTCTCTAATATTTAGAGAGATTATAGCGATAATAGATAGATATAATAAAAGATTAAAATCTCGATTAATAGTTAATTAAGTTTATAATCTATTAATAATATAATAGACTATATCTAATATAATTAGGACTAGGGCTATATATAAACATCTGCAAATCTAAAAAGTTCCTGCTAGATTTCAAATTGCTGATCTTGCGAATAGGGCTGAAATTAAGAATTCCGCCGGTTCAGCAACTATCTCAAAAATCAGCCAAAATTCCGCCGGTTCAATAACTATCCTAATCTTTTCCGCCAGTTCTACCAGTTTAGCAGCAATACGCATAAAAAAAAAAAATTCTAATAATCGACGTTGCGACGGCAAGGTTCTACGGCGACGAGTATCAACGCCAACTTAAATTTGGCTACGGAATTGGACGATTCAATGAAATTAGTCACGTAGGTGATGCTTTAATATAGCGCATAATAATGCGCATATACAATGATGCGCATATTGATGATAATATATATTGATGCCATATGTATATAGAATAATACTTAGAGTATATTAGAGTGCATTACGCAAAATTTTTGAAGTTACTGAAAATTTTAAAAGTTGCTAAACTGATAGAACTGGCGGAAAGGATTAAACATAGGCAAAGTCTACTTAATAGACTAAATCGTGCTTATGATGCGGACCCGCGGAAATTATACGAAAATTCACTTTTTAGATTTGCAGATAAATACTATATAAATAAATCGCATATATAGATAGATAGAATATAAGGAAAGAACTTTATATAGTAGATATAGGTCTAATATAAATATAAAAAGTCGCTTATCAAATTACTAGAGATTCGTCCCTTCGAGTTATTCGATTTCGGCTTACTCGTTTCCACCCCCATTTACACGTTACCCTCATTTACACGCTCTTAAAATCGATAAATCCGACGTAATACTAAAATGCCTACCTTTTATTAAATTTATATGGCAAACTAGCATAATAATAATAGTCTTTTATTTCTATTTAGACTTAAGATCGGAGAATCCAAATTACCGTTTTTTGGGCCTTATCGGCCTATTATATCTTGAAAAAACCGTCACTACCTCTTCTTCTACCTCTTCTATCTCTTCTTCTACTACCTCCTCTTCTACTATCTTCTTACCTCTTTCATCGCTTTTATCTTTTCCACCTCTTTCACCTCTTTTATCGCTTCTATCTCTTCTATCGCTTCTATCTTTTTTATCTTACTACGATAAAGCCTCTAATAAAGCCTCCGATGAAGCCGATAAAGCCCGCCACTATAGCGGAGTAGCTCCTCGTCTATCTCGCTATTATTACTATAATAGAGCGAGATTTAATAATATTAATAGATCTAATATAAGAGATATAGTAGCCTTTTTCTTAATAGAACTTCTATCTCTCTTCATATTTTAAAAAATAGCTGATTTAAGATAATATCTACTATGTTAAACCTATAGATGGCGACTATAGTACCGTAGTATAGCTATTATAATAGACTATAATAATAGATTATTTAAACGAGTAATAGTAATAGCTATAATATCTATATCGAATTTATCGAATTCAAGAGCGTGTAAATAGAAGTAACGTATAAATAAGAGTGGAAACGAGTATAACTTATAGTAAATCGAATTACTTCGAAGATTATATCTTAGTCTTCTAGGCGTATTAGTTTTATATATACGCTAAGTAAACTAATTACTCTAGTATATTATAGCTATAACTATATAGCTATTCTTTATAACTATATAATCTATAACTACTATTATTTATAGTTATATTACTTATAATTATATTTATCTATAACTATATAACTATAGCCCTTAGTTATATTATAACTAATGGTTATAAGTCGTAGCTAATAATCATAAGCCGTCAAAACCAACACTATGTCGCACTCTTTTTAGTTTAGATATAAGATTAATTAATCTCTTCTATGGAAATCTATAGCTAAGTATATCGCGCCAAGTATTTCCTTAACAGTAAAGAGCATATAAGCCCCACAAGGCAAGGGCAGGCAAGCTCAAGATATGTGCCCATAACAGATACCACGTTGTGCTGGAAATAAAGGAATCTAGAGAGAAGGCGTAACCTCACTAGCAAGTGTTCCTATCCCATAGTCGGTGATACCTCTGAAACGGGGCGTTGAAGCTAAAGTAGCAAGATTACGAGGATCTTATGTTGTCAGCTTCAAACACTGTCTCATATTCCGTTCTAGCGAAGAGGCTCATAAAACGTTCTTATAGTATGGGCTGGCCCCTGACAAAAGTTCGATTAAAGTAATAGATTCAGGACTATAGTTACTGATTACTGGAAGTATCTGACTACCTCCCCACCCAGTCCCCCTCCTCCTTTCCTTCTCCTGCCAAGAACGCCAAGAATTCTCCTGCACTGGCTTTCCACGCGGCTCCAAAAATGGCACTCTGTTTTTGAGTCCTTCCTTGTTCACGATGTTTAGCTTCCGAATCTCTTCTGGCTCCCGATGGAAATCTCGACCATCTTCTTCACCCTTGCCTCAAACAATATGGCAACCCCAAACCCTCCCTTCACCATCCAAGCCTTCACTGCCGTCGATTCGTTAGACTCAAGGTCTACATTCTAAAAAAGAGAAACCCTGATGGCTACATTTCGATCAAGTAACTTAGACCGTACGATGTATAGAACAAAGTGCCGGCAAAAACCTCAGAGCATATGTTGTAAGATCTGTTTATCCCTACGGAGTAGTATTGAGTGCTTTAAAGGCCTTGAAGTAACGAAGCTTGGGACCTTGATTGAGGCGGCCGACGTACGGCTCTGTACTTCAAAATTGATTCAAGTCCCATCCTTTGGGTTGCATATCATTTTGTTGTGACCTATCATTACGAGAGGATCTCGAGGACCGCGATGACCTGGCCGCATACGTATATCGTAGTTGTGAATCTTTGCGGCGTGACGGAGGAAGCTCTTTGGGCTCTTCAAAGGGTCTATCTCTCGACAAGCAGGTTAATCACACTTCCACGTAGGAGTCATCTCAGCCGCATGCTTATCTTCAACATGACGTCTTAACGAATCGATGCGATACAAGAGAGTAGAATCAGGTGCAGATGCTTCCATTAAAAATTCCATATTTGATTATACAGCAGCCCATTGGCTTTTCACATTCAACGACAACGGTATCAATGAAGCGGCTTGTCTACTCTCGAGGGCCGGTGCTGATTACAAGGCAGCTAACGAAAGCTCTCAATGCTTTCCAGCTTCCGTTGGGATGGCCATATTGTCCTTAGCTTCAAAATGCCCAGCCACTGTTACAGGACGACAGAAGAGTTAGCCGGCAACAGAAGCCGGTTGTATCATTGAAGCATCGGCCTTACCGAAAAGTTTCAGACTTCGAATGCGAAACGAAAAAGCCAAGGATGCACCCTTGAAGTTGAAACTTTTGGATGGATACTGCTCTTGCTGCAGAGAAGACAAAGGCAGTGATGGCAATTCTGAAATTACTCTGCAAAATCACTCCGATTTTTTTCGTCTCCGGTCTCCAATCCCGATTGCGTCGTCGAGTCGAACGCCTCTTCCGAGTCTTCTTCTTGGCCAAATTTCTTCATGACATATGCGAAGTACTCGAAAACGCCTCTTTCCCGATCAGGAAGTGTTTCAACACTCAGGTCCCAACCCTCTCGAGCAAGCAGTGACTTCATGAAATGTGGTTGTCGAGAACTGATGTACAGGAAAGTCCCTCCTGGCACCAATACGCGCACTACTTCTCGGAGATATCGGTCAATGTTTTCCCGGACATCGTCCGGTGGATCCCACACGGAACCATGGAACCTATAGGGTTGATGACGATCAGCATCAGCCAATCAATGGTCGGGGCTTGAGCCCCTAGCAGAATAGGAAGGTCGTTTGGGCTATGACCGCCGGCATGCACAGAATGTCGTCAAACGAAAGCCGACTTGGGGCTTGAGTCTTTCAAAAACACCCAAACCTGAGCTTCGAAGCTTAAATCAGCGGCTCCTTTGGGGATTAAACCTCTCAAATACAGAGACCTGAGTCGGAAACCTCAGATCGATATATGTTTTATAACCTGACCTTGCTCAACTTGACAGCGAAATTGACGGCTAATTGGGTGCCTAAGACTTCAGATTTACGAAGCGCAGGACTCAAACCCCGAAGATCGTTCTGGAATAACACTCACATAGAATCCATTGTGGCTTTGTCTATGGCGTAATCAAAGGAGTTGTCCAACAAGCCGTCCATTTGCCGTACATCCATGACTTTCCATACGGTATTAAGGTCTTTATATTTGGCATCCATGGCTGTTATCACTACGTCCGAGAAGTCAGTGTTCGTCTGGTGGGTAAATCCAAGCCTGTGCAGGTCCGAGGTCAGGGTCTATTGCTTGCCTTAGCTTCGATTTCTGATTTGCAGGCTAAGTGGGCAGGAAAAGTGGCAGCGGTATAAATCCTCAAAATGCCGACGAAGACAATTTCAACGAGGAATCAGTGGCACTGTTCAGTGCCCTCTCCGCAACAGATGATCACAGATGTCACGTTATTAAGGGTTGATACCCAAATCAGACATGGAAGACGTACACTGTTGCCGCATCCCAGGTGGAGGACTTTCGCATATGGTCGTGACAAATGGTCCTTGAACCATGCTCCCAGCTGTTCCCAATCACGGAACCAGTCGTACGCCTCCTCCACTCCGATCTCCTCATATCTATAATTCCAGTAGTCGGCAGAGGCAAGTTCGGCGTTGTCTATAGGCATTTTAGCTATACCCCAAATTGCCGTCTGTGCAAGCGGTGCGTTGTATCAAAAATTAATAATATGTGGGTTGACGTATGGTTCATTAAGCTAAAATATATTAGGGCTAAAAGTTGCATAGGTAAGGTAGGTACCCACGCGGGTAGCAAAAAAGCCCGTACACCCTAGCCCGCAAACGGCTAGGAGAAGCGAGGCCCTTCTGTTGGTTTTGACGGCTTATAGCCATTAGCCACGGCTTATGGCCATTAGCTATAATGTGGCTAGGGGCTACAGCCATATAGCTATAGGGAAACATAGCCATAGATAATATAGCCATAAATAACAGTAGCTATAGGTGATATAGTTATTAACAACAGTAGTTATAGATAATATAGCTATAGGTAATAGCTATATAGCTATAGCTATAGTATATTAAAGTAATTAGTTTACTTAGCGCATATATAAAATTAATATATCTGAAAGACTAAGATATAATCTTCGAAGTAATTCGATTTATTATAGATTATAAGTCGAAATTAAATAACTCGAAAAGACGAATCTTTAGTAATTTAATAAGCGACTTTTTATATTTATATTAGGCCTATATCTACTATATAAAGTTCTTTTCTTATATTCTATCTATCTATATATACGATCTATTTATATAGTATTTATATATAATCTTAATCTTAATTATATTAGATATAGTCTATTATATTATTAATAGATTATAAACTTAATTAGCTATTAATCGAGATTTTAATCTTTTATTATATTTATTTATTTTCGCTATAATCTCTCTAAATATTAGAGAATATAATTATCTCGAGGATTTTATCGAAGGATACTTAAAGATAAAGTTATAATAAATTAAGAAATAAGATTATTTATTCGCTAAATAGATAGCGTTATTAATTAGAGATCTTTTTTATTTAAAAAAAAAGAAAGAGAAGAAAGAAGATCTTTTATTCGATTTAAATAATTTATTAATAATCGATTTATTAAAGAAACTAAATAAGAGACTTATTAGTAAACTATATATTAAAATAAAAGTTCTAAAGAATTTAAACTATTATCTATAAATCTAGAATTATCGATAGTTTTTCGAGAGATAAAATATCTTTAAAATAGTATTAGAGAAATTATTAATATTTATTCGATTTAATAGAAAACTAGCTAAATAATAAATTATTTTAGATAAATAAATCGCTATATTAATTAGAGATAATATTAATTAAAATTAGAAGAGTTATATTATCTATCTTATTACTTTTAAATCTATATAAGATAAGCTTTATCGAATTTATAAAATAAGTAATAAAGAACGTCTTTTAATTATATTATAGAAGTTTCTTAAATATATTAAATTAGTAGACTAGACGATTAATTAAATAATAATAAATTTATAAAATCTATAAAACGAAGTTATAGATCTAAATTTAGTCTATATATTATATAATCTTATTATAGTAATAATAATTATAAACGCTTATTAGAGAAGTAAGTTTAATATAATTAAATATAACTTAAGAATTAACGATAATCTCACTATCGAAATAATTATAAAATATTTATAAATTATAAAGTAAGATAGATAGGTTAAGAATAAAGGCTTATTTATATATAATAAACGAAAGGGCTAGCTAAGCTAAAGATCTTTTAAAGATATAAATAAGATAGAATACTATAATTATAAAAAAATCGAGTATTATAAGAGAGAGTATTTAAATAAGAAGAATAAAAAGAATAAGAATTATAGGGCGAAGAATTTAGATAAATAAAATCGTAAATTAAAGAATTAATTAAAGAATTTAAAGATATTTAAAGATAGTAGATAAGAACGCTTAGATTATACTATAGTAATAATAAATAAATTAAATAGCGATAGTAATACTAGCGATATAAGCGATATATATAATTAAAAGAAAGACTTATAAATAGCTAGGGAAAAGCTAAAGCCTATAAATAATATATTATTAATAAAGAATTTCTTTATAATAGTAGACTTTTTAGAAGATAATAGCTAGCTAATAGATTTCGAAGCGACTCGCTATATAATATTAAATAAGAAACTATTTATTAACTTATAGTCTTATTTAAAAAAAAGTAAAATTTAATAATTAAGGCGAGTTAATAGCGATAGATAGAGAAATTATTTAAATTTATATAAATAATTATATATAGATTATAATAGATACTCTATATATTTTAGAAATAAATAATAATCTACTATCTATTATAGTATTAAATTGAAAAGATTTTAAAATATAATTCGAAAATCTATATATTAGAATTATTAATATATTTATAGATAAGATAATAGTAAGAGGTTATATAAGAAATAATCTATATTAATTAATTAAATCGATATCTAATAGAGTATTTACTTTTAGAAAGTCGAGATCTCTTAATAAAAGTATATCTATAATTACGAAATAAGAATAAGTCGATTATTTTCGATTAATATATTAACGATTAGACTATATCGAAGCGTATCGTCTAAAGAATCTATATCTCTATATAAGAGATATAGAGAAAATAAAATTATCGAAAGAATTTTAATATAATATATATGACTTTACGAAAATAATTTAATAGATTAATAAGAATTCTAAACTAAAGAAAATAGTATTAGAAGCTTAAATATATATTAATTTCTAGAAATTATATCTCGTAGCTAGTATTATAAGAGATAATAAATAATTTATATCTTTTATTAATAAGATTATTAATTAATTAAATCTTAAGTTTATTATATTAAAGAAATAGATCTATATCTTTATTCTTAGAAATATAATTATAATTAATAAAATAATTAAAATAAGAGAAGTAGTATTAGTTAAAATTAATAATATAGAAGAGTATAAGTTAGTCGAGAATATATTTAAGAAATAAGATATTATTATAGAATTTATAATTATCTATATCTTATATTAGAATAATATAATAGAATATTAATTAAATTTATAAGATCTATATTTAACTAGTTAAACTTACTTATAAGCTTCTAATTAAAAATCGTAATCTATATAAATTATCTAAAAAATAAATTATTATATAATAATAGAGAGAGTAAGTTACTCTATAAACTATAATTTAATAAGAAACTAAATCTAAATTATAAAAAAGTCTTTAATTATCTATACTTAGTTTATCTATTAAAAGAGAAATAAGAAAATAAGCTATATATTATAATCTATTAAAGTATATATATTAATTATTATTTATTTACTTAATATCGAGTTTATAACTCTTAAAATAATTAATTTAAATAGCTTATAAATATTTATTTTTATAAAAATCGTAAGAGAATTTAACTAATAACTCTAACTTCGTTTCTAATAGTCTATAACTTTATATAAGTAAATATTATCTTTACTTATTAGAACGATAATAATCTTAGTAATATCTTTATTTAGAGTAGTATTAAGATTATATCTAGCGACGACGATAATAAAAAGAATTATAGAAGGTTTATATCGAATATTATATCGTCGCTATAAATCGAAGAAATTAAAGATATATAAGATTTTTAAATAGAGAGAGAAGTTTCTATTAACTTCTTAGAAAATATAAATAATAATAAAGATTCGAGATTAAGTAGTTTAAACGTATATTAAATTAAATCGAAATTTCCGTTAGGCCTTCGCGAAATTAGAGAGACTCTTAATATCTTAAATAGTAAAGAAATAATAAATTAAGAGATAATATCTAAGAATACTATTTAATAATTTATTATATTTATATTTATTTTTAACTCTCTCGATTATACTAAATAACGTCTTATATCTTAGATTACTATCTTTATATAATAGTCTTATATTAAGAAGCTAAACTATAATCTCTATAAGTTCTATAATAACTTCGATATAAAGAATAAGACTAAGCTTATAAATATTATAATCGAATCTCTTATCTATTAGAAAGCTATTTATAAATTAAACGTATTAGAGATACTGTGTAAGAAGCATACATGTACTCCTGGAAAGGAGTTTCTCGAAGAAGGGAAAGGTGATTCTTGGTTCTGATTGTGATTGATTGATTCTAAAGCTATGAACGAAATCGAAGAAAGAAAGCGACATGCCAAGTCACGCTAGTCAGGTTTCTCACGCTATGCTGAGATCGAAGAAAGAGATCGAAGAAAGGAAGCGACATGCTGGGAACGTAACAAAACGCTCGCGAATAAAAGTAAGCTACTATTAAGAAAATTATTATCTTAATTATTAAAGAAATTTAAAAGCTCGCTACTCTATCGACTAATAAACACCTAGTTATCTATAAATAAATTTTTAAGATTAAATATAATAGTAATAGAACTATTAATAAATTTAAGATTAGACTCGTTATTAGAGAATTTATATAAATAAAAAATATCGACTTTTATAAGATCTTTACTTTTATCTTACGATTTAACTCTTTATATTTATTTCTATTATATATAATAATAATAAATCTTCTAATAGAATAAATAAATATTAATAATATTTATCTTAATAGCGATCTCTATAAAAAAATCTATATAATTTTATTATTAAATTATCTATTAATAATTAATACTAAGAATAAGATATTACTTTTTTAAAAAGAATTATATAATTTTAAGTAATTAGTCTATATCTAGAATAAGAAATTTAAGTATATTATTAAGAAAATAAGATTTATAGCTATTATAGCTAATAGCTATATCTTTATTTAAGTATTATTAAAGAAAATAATTATTATAGTACTTTATATAAATGATATTCTTATTAAAGCTAAGCTATAAAGTACTATAAATTATATTAAATATTAAATCTATAAAGAATTTAAGGCTATCGAAGTAGGCTTAATTAATTATATTCTCGATATTTAAGTTTATCGTAATTAGAAATCTTATATCTTAATTATTAAATAAGCTTAATACGTCGAAAAGGTACTCGAAGAATATTTAATAAACTAGGCGATTTTTATTTATATCTCTATCGATAGATATAAGTTAATTTAATTAAATTAATTAAAAGAAGAATATATAAATTAGTTATAATATTAGAAGCGAATAGAAAGTCTTATATTTCTTATAATTAATATATAAATCGATATAGTCTTTATTATAGAAAAGCTTAGTTAATTCTATTAAAATATTTAAGAAGAATAAATTAATTACTTTAGAAGCACTCTAAGACGAGATTCTATATATAGAATAAATTCAGATAGCTAATTTAATAAGGTGGCTGAGAAGGCTAGAAAGCTTAGGGGCTAAGAATTTTAATAATTTCAACACGCCTCTATAGCTAAGCGTATTAGCTCATTAATAAAAAATATATAATTATATAAATATCTTATCGCCCCTATAGCGTTATAGGCCCTTCAGGTCTTATATTATTCTAGTATTTATATCGTCTAATATTCGTAAGCTCTTTAGACTCTATATCGTTCTAATATTTATATCGTCTAGTATTTATAAGTCTTTAGACTCTATATCGTCTAATATTTAAAAAGAAAACGTAATCGCTATAGTAATCTCGTTCTCGATACGCTTTCGCTTTATATCTCTTATTATCTCATAATATTACTTTAAAGCTAATTTCGAATACTCGATATAATATACTAGTTTATATATCTTACTATACGTCTTATAACTCTTTCGATTATCACTCTTACTTATAACTCTCGTATTCGTAAATATATTAACTATCTTCTCCGCCTCCGTAAGCTTCAACTTTTTTCCCTTTCTCTCCTCTTTTAGAAGTATATTTATCGCTTTATAAGCCGTTATATTAAAGATAATAGTCTAGATTTTAATTAAGTATTAGAGATAATCGAAAAGAGATATTAATAGATAAAAGATCGTTTATTTATTAGATATAAGTTTAACGTTAATAATTATAATACGCTCTTCGAGTAACTTAATATAAGTAATATAGTTAATTACGAAGTTGAATTTATTATATTTAATAGTATAGTATTATATAATAAGACGTATGAATTCGTTATCTTCGATAGAACGATAGAGATTCGCGAGATAAGATATTATTTTAAAGCTATAATTAAACTTATTAGCTATAAGTCGTTACTTAATAGAGCTATTAATAGTAAGTATTATCGTATTAATAATCTCTTTAAAAGAATTCTTCTATTTAACTAGAACTATAACGGTTAATATCTCGAAAGAGATCTCTTAAGTATACTTTTATAACTTTTATTTACGTAATAAGATATATATATTAATAAGCTACTTCGAGTAATTTATTTTAATAAATTAACGAATAGATAACTTAAAGAATAGATCTAAGATAACTCGTTAGACTATAATTAATACTAGTACTAATATTAATACTAATATAATAGATACTTAAAATTAATAGAAATTAGAGCTAGAGTTTATAAAGATATATAATAATAATAATATATATAGTAGCGTTATAAAAGCGTTAGAATCGAGCTTATAATCTATTAAAATATTTAAGAAGAATAAATTAATTACTTCAGAAGTACTCTAAGACGAAGTTTTATATATAGAATAAATTTAGATAACTAATCTAATAAGGTAACTGAAAAGGCTAAAAAGCTTAAGGGCTAAGAATTCTAATAATTTTAATTAATTCTATTATAATCTTACTATTCGTTATATGAATATCGTAAATTAAGTATTTAAATATATACGGGATATTATATTCCTAGAACTACGCTATTAAGAGATAAGAATATCGAAAGAATTCGCGGATTCAGTATACGATAATAAATAGAAGAATTATAAGTTTATCTATAAATTCGTTTTACTATATAGATAAGTAGTATATTTATAATATAGCTAAAAATAGCGAGAAATAATTATATCTACTATAGAAGCTAAGTATATAACTCTAATAAAAGAAGATAAGATTATCGTATAAATTATACGGTGATTATAAGAAGTTTATTTTTAAGTATTAGATAAAGGCTCTATAATACTACTCGATAATAATAAGAGAGTTATTAATCTTATAAAGAACTTCGAGTATTATTAAAGAACTAAATATATTAATATCTAGTATTATTATATTTACTAATTAATTAAGAATAAGATAATTAATATAGACTATATATCTATAATCTAAATAATAGTAGATATTCTTATTAAATCGCTAAATAAGAAGCTATTTAAATAATATAGAGAGTTATTAGAGATATATTACTATTCAACTAATTAAAAAGTCGCTACTAAGAAAATTCGATATTATATAAGACTTAAATTTACTTTCTCGAAATAACCTTATTATATATAAGAGCTACTACGTATTCTAGGAGAATAAACTAAAGAGCCGTATTAAAAGTTTATATTATTTCTCTACTTTCTCTACTTTCTCTATAAAGATCTTTTCGAAGAGTAATATTAACTATTTACTCTACTATCTCTACCTTCTTAATAGTTAAATAAAGAGAGAGTATTAGTTTTAATAGCTTATAACTATTAGTTACGACTTATAACTATTAGTTATAATATAGCTAAAAACTATAGTTATATAGCTATAGATAAATATAACTATAAGTAATATAGTTATAGTTATTTTTTTTTTTTTTTTTTTTTTTTTTTTTTTTTTTTTTTTTTTTTTTTTTTTTTTTTTTTATATTTTTTTTTTATTTTTTTATTTTTTTTTTTTTTTTTTTTATTTTTTTTTTTTTTTTTTTAAATTTTTTTTTTATAATATTAAAATTTTTTTTTTTTTTTTTTTTTTTTTTTTTTTTTTTTTTTTTTTAATTTTAATTTTTAAAAAAAAAATTTTTTTTTTTTTTTTTTTTTGTTTTTTTTTTTTTTTTTTTTTTTTTTTTTTTTTTTATAAATTTTTTTTTTTTTTTTTTTTTTTTTTTTTTTTTTTATTTTTTTTTTTTTTTTTTTTTTTTTTTTTTTTCCCTTATTTTTTTTTGGGTTAGCCTATTTTATTTTTAATATCTTCCAACGGTTAGCGATAAGGCACGCTTTTCCGTGACAGGGATAAATTAAAGTCCTCTTCTCTCCATATATCTCTCCGAAGCGCTGAATACAAAATACTAATTTTTAAATTGAATGCTATTGGGGAGACAGGAATATTCTCAAGTTCGAGTAGACATTGATTTACACATGCCCAATCTCAAGTCAATTACCACGCCTTTGGATAATGTGGTTATGTCAAGTCTCCAAGCTGCGACCAGTCTGTTTCCCTTGATAGAGCCGCCATGCCTTTCTTTCATCGATTTGATTACCCCCCCTTCTACAGCTGAGGTGAAGGATCAACGTGGTTGCCTTTGACTTGGGAAACGGGCCAAAGGGTGACCTAAATATTAAAGTTCAAGCAATGGCATCCTTCCTCGGAGCGCGACTCAGAGCTTTCTTCTGATAGCTTCCATTATGCGTCATCCTTCCGAGACAAACCTGCTGCAGCGCCGCAGATAATACAACCATCAGCCAATAAACCGTGCTTACGCCTCATCTTACAAACATTTCCCGCCTCCTTTGGATATCATAGTCCCTGGAACAAGAAACTCTCTTGCGACGTAGGAAAACACCATGAATGTTCACAGCATCTGTTCACAGATGCCGCCTATTATCCGTGTGGTGTGTGTGTAATTCCTAATCGGAGGGCCGTGCCTCTGTTGTACACCTTCCCATTGAAAGGCGTAGCCTAGAGTGCAACCGTTTTTACCCACTCGGCCTTACGGCTATATCCGGCATCTGTACCATATTTAAGATACGGCAGATAATCGTGGTCCCGTAGAATCACGGCTATGTACATTATGTGGGAATTCCAAAGCCTCTATTATAACCAGATACTATTACACTCTATAATATACCCTAAAGCTTTTTCCTTATTTCTTCGGGCCGAGCTCTAGCCTCTCTATTCTATATACCCTCAGACACCTAGTACTTTATTATATATCGTCAGTAAGAGAGAATAGTAATATTTATTAAATCGAAGCCGGAAATACTCGAATTAAGCTCTTCTTCGATTCCCGTAGAGATATAAGATCTAATTAGATTTATTCGTAGTCGATAGCTGGCTAAAGGTATACGGCTATCACTTATTACTCGCTAACTCCGCTATTAAGAGGATATTTTCCAAGTATATTAGATTCAGCTCTCTTATCTAATCTCTTTCTATAGAAAACCTTCATAGAATTCTCGTAAACGAGCACGACTCGTTTGTGGTCGGAGTCGGGTACTTATAATATTTAGGGAAGAGTTATTAATTAGCGAGGGAGGGAGGTATTATTCGATCGAGAGGGGTAAGGCTCGCCGTTATATCGATAATATCGAATTCTTCGAGGGGGACGCGTTAACCCTCGATCTAACGCGTCTTATTATTCGATTTTCGCTTATACGTAGTTAACCGTTATCGTAATCGAAGAATCCGATCGTACACCTATGTGTAAATATACGCTCCCTTAAGATCTCTTGCTCCTCGACGTGCCGGACTAAGTTTACGCTCACTGCAGCTAACGAGTTGGGACCTAATCAACGCGTAGCAGCTGCTAAACAGATACAGAGCAGACTCCCGAAGGCATAGGAATCTTTGTTAGAGGGTTCGTAGCCGGCACCACGTACAGGTGGATCTCGTTGCCAGCCTCCTATTATCCGTAGTACCGAGCTGACACTGCTGACCTTGGGTCATCGTATCACACTAGGGTGAAAATGAATCCCACGTCGTGGCAAGGGTAGTGATGATCGAAGGGACAAAGAATTGAGCTGTCGGACCTGTGCCGTAACATAGCCATACCAAGTCACCATCAGCAAAGACAAATCATGGCAAATAAGATGTCTGTTGGGCCTCGGCGCCGGAAACATTGCTCTTCTTCCTCCCCTACCTCTCGTCATGAATATACGGTCCTTCGTTGTCCCACATCGATAGCATACATCTTGCGCCAACATGGCTGCTCTACCCCCTGCAGCGCTGGCATTTCAAAAAGCTCATATAAAAGAGAACCGCGGCCCTTCGGTAATTGGGGTCAGCGCAACCCTGATTGCCCTGGTCACCGCTGCTGTTTCATTCCGCTTCCTTGGAAGACGTGTTAGACACCTTCCGTTGTTGATGGATGATTTGTTGACGATACCGGCATTGGTTGGTAACAATGCGACTGCACGCGAGCCTTGATACTAACCTGTGCTCAGTTCTTCGTCCCCATGCTCTGTGTGACCAATTCTCTATGTATGTGCCGATCTGGTCTTTTTCCTGAGGCCGTTAACAGACTCTTAGGTGTGCATTATGGAGTCGGCAAACATCTAATTGCCATCAATCCGGCGACTGCATATGAGATATTGCACGTGAGCAAACACCGAGGGATGCTGAGATAGATATGCGCCATGGCACTGACTCTTATTTCAGATCGGATTCTTTGATTCTTTATGCTAGTTCTTTGCGCATCTCTTCATCAAATTCTCCATTCTCCTGTTTTATCAACGAGTTTTCACGACGCAGAAGAAATGATTTAGATGGGTTACCTACGGATTATTGGCGTATGTCGCTGCTTGGGTCTTAGCTTGCTTCATTCTGGTAATGGCGCAATGGTATGTGCTCGATCGAGCATCCCAGGGATTTGCGATGAACTAGGTCCTAACCCAAATGTAGTCAACCCGTCAGCTATTTTTGGCTCAGCTTGTCGCCAACGCCCATATCGGGAGCGTGTAGGGTGGGAACCAGCGCGTCCCAGCGCGTCAGATACTTCCACCAGTGTCTTCAACACCTTTGCCGATTTCGCATTGCTAATACTTCCGATGTTCGTGTTATGGAATTCGCATATGCCTTTGAATCGGAAAGGTGGCCTTATTGGAATCTTTTTGGTTGGTTCCTTGTGAGTATCTCGGACGGGCTTCCGTGAGTTGATCTGATCCGCGAAACAGAGCTTGTGCAGCGGGCTTGGTCCGCATATGGAGTACCGTAAAGTAAGCAAATCTCTGGCCTGTGCCGATACAAATGTTGACATTGTACCCAGCGCCCTGGGCAACGAAACCGATACCAGCTGGACAACAGCGGAACCACTAACCTGGACAGCCATTGAAGCGGGCGTATGCTTGGTCTGTGCTTGTTTCCCTGTCATGGCTCCACTCTTTGGCCAGTTCTTCCGCGAACATGTGGGTGCCGCGGAATCTGGCGGCAGCAATCAGAAGTCTCACAGCAGCAAAGGCAGTAAAGGCAGCTCCATTGTCCACAAATTCACAGGACGCCACAACCACAATAGCTATATTAAACAAGACGGCGAGGACAAAATACCCCTACATAACATTTCGTGGCCATTAGAGGCTCACGAAGCGGCAGCTGTGGACATTGAGGGCGAGCAAAGTGTGCCTACGGCAGCAACGCGAGTCGTGGATCAGGACCGCGGGCGAAGAGAACAGCTGCACCCAGGAGTGCAGGACCCAAGGGTCATCAATGAAGTCTATAGGGGAGTGAGCCCGGGCGAGATGGGAATGGATGAGGATGGGAAACCGCTACCGTCCAACGGGATCCTTGTGAAGAATGATCTCGAGTGGACAGCTGAGACCAGGCTTTGTCCTCCATCAACATCGTAGAGTAGACTTTCGCACAGCATGGAGTAGCATGGAGTCCGGTGTTGATTGGGTGCGCGAAAAAGAGAAAGTAGAATATACATACCAGATGCTCTCGGATGTAGATAGATCCAATCTGACGCACATGGTACGGACAGTCGATGCCTAACAACATCTTCATGCAGCTCATGCTTCGACCATTTTGCATCAAGTCGTCGTCTGACTTGAGCGGCTTATCGGCCCGCTCCCTCGTCTCTATCTCTTCGTAGATTGCTTTCGTAGGCCAAATTTAAGGGGCGATTGAAAATCGTGCGTGGAGGCGAGGAGATTTCTGAAAGCCTTGTCTGGCGTGTCTGGCTACCCTAGCGCGATTCTCAGCCCTATCATTCACGCGTAAAGTGGTTCGCGCTCAGACTGACAGAAAGCATCTTTCAAACAATATATTGTGCTTAAAAAGAAACTCTGTGCTGGGGTAGTTGACAGTCTCAACCGCTTCACTATTGGCGGAGAACGCAAAAAAGCTGTAACGAATACCCTGCAGCAGCTATGTCGTCGAGGCCTGAGTTGAAGGTAATGCAGTCTACAAATGCATCTGTAAATCGCAAGAGCTCATGTTCGACCAGGTCGATGACGAGATCGGCTTCATAAGCTTCTTCCGGAATCTCCCAAACACAGATGAAGAAACCATTCGAGTATTTAAACGAGGTACCAGTGGAGGCGACTTCTACACAGCACATGGCGATGATGCCGCCTTTATTGCAATGACAGTGAGTGAGCTCCTTATCATTACCAATCTGCTCGTCTAATCCAATAGAACAGATTTACAAGACTACCTCCGTTCTCCGCCAGCTAGGCAAGACAGACACCGGTTTGCCATCTGTCACCATGACCATCACGGTTTACCGTAACTTCCTACGGGAAGCCCTGTTCAAATTGGGTAAGAGGATAGAGATCTGGGAGACCACGGGCAAAATGCAATGGAAAGTGAAAAAGCAGGCATCTCCGGGAAATCTGCAGGATGTAGAAGACGAGCTTGGTGGACAAGTGGACTCGGCACCCATAATTCTCGCAGTCAAAGTCACCGCGAAGGCGTCAGAAGCGAGGAACGTTGGGGTATGCTTCGCAGATGCCAGCGTGCGGGAATTAGGAGTCAGCGAGTTTCTCGACAATGATCTATACTCGAATCTCGAATCGCTCCTGATTCAGCTCGGCGTCAAAGAGTGTCTGGTCCAAAGTGAGGGACAAAAGAAAGATAGCGAGTTGTCGAAGATAAGAGCGATTGCCGAAAACTGCGGTATAGCTATTGCGGAGCGCTCTGTTGGCGATTTTGGTGCGAAAGACATAGAGCAGGACCTAACCCGGCTTCTACGAGACGAGCGCGCGGCAGGAACTTTGCCTCAAACGGACTTGAAGCTGGCTATGAGCTCCGCAGCTGCTCTGATCAAGTACCTTGGACTTTTGTCAGATCCTTCCAATTTTGGGCAGTATCAGCTGTATCAGCACGACTTATCCCAGTACATGAAGCTGGATGCGTCGGCGCTCAAGGCTCTCAACCTCATGCCAGGTCCGCGAGATGGGTCAAAGAACATGAATCTATATGGTCTACTCAATCATTGCAAGACGCCTGTTGGCAGTCGGCTGCTCGCACAGTGGCTCAAACAGCCATTGATGAGCCTGGAAGGGATCGAACGACGTCAACAATTAGTGGAAGCTTTCGTGATGGATACAGAATTGCGGCAAACAATGCAGGAAGAGCATCTGAAATTCATCCCTGATCTATACAGGCTGGCCAAAAGATTTCAGAGGAAAATGGCAAGTCTAGAGGACGTCGTCAGGGCATATCAGCTTTCTATCCGGCTACCTCCGCTCATTGGCACGCTGGAAGGCATTATGGACGAGCAGTACAAAGACCCCTTGGACGCTGAGTACACTACGAAATTAATTGAGTATTCCAACAGCCTACTTAAATTGCAGGAGATGGTGGAATCGACCGTCGACCTTGATGCCCTTGACAGGCATGAGTACATCATCAAGCCCGAATTTGACGACAGCCTACGAATCCTGAGCAGGAAACTCGAGAAGGTTAAATACAACATGGACGTGGAGCACCGAAGAGTCAGCAATGATCTTGACCAGGAGATTGGGAAGAAATTGTTCCTTGAAAACCACAAGACACACGGCCATTGCTTCAGACTGACGAGGAATGAAGCAGGCAGCATACGCAACAAAAGAGAGTACCAAGAATGCTCAACGCAAAAGAACGGGGTCTACTTCACCACAAGTGAGATGACCAAACTGAGACGAGAACACGATCAACTCTCGGAAAACTACAACCGAACACAGACCGGTCTTGTTACCGAGGTTGTAGGCGTTACAGCGTCATACTGTCCCATTTTCGAGAAGTTGGCAGGCCTTCTTTCCCACCTTGATGTTATCGTCAGCTTTGCACATGTTTCAGTCCACGCGCCAACATCCTACGTACGTCCAAAAATGCATCCAAGAGGCGAAGGCAACACCATACTGAAAGAGGCTCGACATCCGTGCATGGAGATGCAAGACGATATTCAATTCATCACAAACGATGTCTCTCTAGTCCGAGGAAGCTCCGAGTTCCTGATCATCACGGGTCCCAACATGGGAGGCAAATCGACTTACATCCGGCAAATTGGCGTCATCGCCCTGATGGCGCAAGTAGGCTGCTTTGTGCCTTGCTTGGAGGCGGAGCTCACCCTGTTCGACAGCATCCTCGCTCGTGTTGGTGCCAGTGATTCGCAGCTTAAAGGCGTCTCGACATTCATGGCTGAGATGCTGGAAACTGCAAACATACTGAAATCTGCCACTTCAGACTCCCTCATCATCATTGACGAACTTGGACGCGGAACTAGCACATACGATGGCTTCGGCCTTGCGTGGGCGATCTCGGAGCACATAGTCAAGGAGATTGGATGTTTCGCCATGTTCGCCACACATTTCCATGAGCTGACTGCGCTGGTGGATGAGTATCCTCAGGTGCAGAATTTGCATGTTGTAGCGCACATTGGCGACACGACTGAGCAAGATCGAAGAGAAGTCACATTACTCTACAAAGTCGAAGAAGGCGTGTGCGATCAGAGTTTCGGAATTCACGTGGCTGAGCTCGTCAGATTCCCGGAGAAGGTCGTCAACATGGCCAAGCGTAAGGCAGATGAGCTGGAAGATTTTTCAACTAAGCACGAGGCCTCGCACATCAAGCACTCTAAGCAAGATGTGGAAGAGGGCAGTGCACTGTTAAAGGAGATGCTGGTGCAGTGGAAGAAGGAGATAGTAGGAAAGGGCATGACCACTGAGGACCAAGTGGGCAAGATGAAGGAACTGGTGATGGGCAACCAAAAGTTGCTCGAAAACCCTTTCTTCCAGTCGGTCAAAGCATTGTGATCTCACAGCAATTCATTGGAAGCATTCTCGCGATGGCATTGCATACATGTGCTTATACAGCCTTATCTAACTGTGAGGTTGCGTGGACTGTAGATAGATACCACCATGTCGGATTATCTTCTCATACACGAGACTTGTTTCACAGTTTGGTTTTCGGTTCGATTTGCTCGGCAGCCTTGGGAGGGTTTGCGGTCGCCCGGTGTGAAACCAAAGAAGAGACGCCTGGGCGGTACCACGAATTTCGTCTCGGCTACTCTCCCCCAGGTGATTGGTAAAACCATTCCATTGCAGCTGCAGGTGTTGTTACTGGCCCACGTTTCCGATCTAGCGTGGAATCCACCTTAACACACAGGCGTACATGTCCTGATGGCTGCCATGATCCCTCATTCTCCTCGTGACAAAACCTTTGCTCCATGCCGGACCCTTGCACTGACTCTCAGTAACCATCGTTGACCGGCCATCATGATCAGCCCGTACGATCCTTCTGGAAAGATCTACACCATACTCTCCGAAGAATGGACCACCCTCCTCTGGTTCTTTGAACCCGTATCCATACCACAAGTATTCCGCGAGCATCTGGTCCTCGTCCTCGGCTGGACAACCGGACGACGAGGCTACGTCAGCATCGCTATGGTCAGTACCGCTCTACCAAGCACCATAGCCACATTCTGACAGTCAGCAGATCGCTCCCAACATCCCCAACGGAGCGAACCCAGACCACTACTTTCGAATCAGGTCCCCACGCCGTAGAGCTGTTGCCAACGAGATCACAGTCACACTGCGGAAGAATAAAAGATTTTCGGCGCTCGTGGAACTATCATATGTCAGGCTCGACTTGGTGTGGGAGGTGCCATTCGCGATCCTGTTGGTTGTACCAAGAACGGGATTGCAGTTAATGCTTAGAGCCGTGTCGATGGAGAAGATCATGAGGTTTTATTCGAAGTGGGGATGGAATCAAGCCTGGGGGCAGACGTATCGGCCACTTCCGGACTGTCTTCAATGGGCAGGGTACTGTCATGACCAGAATACTTTGGGACCTCCGGGAAATGTCAAGCAGGGCGGAGAAGCTGAGTATCCTGAAATGACGAGGCAGCCATGTCATGTCTTGAACGGTTTAGCATCTTCGGGAACCGTGGAGCACGATAGAGATTTTAAGGATGAGGCACTTGCGGGATCAGACAGTACCCGAAGCTGGGGCTCGGCGCACAGGCCAGACGATGAAGAGGATGGATACTTGGATAAAGAGGCTTCTCCTTGCGCTCGGCAGGAAATGATCTATGCAGGGAATGCGCACTGTGCAGCGTTGGCAAAATTGCTTCGAGAAGCTCAGTGATGATTTTCTAGCAGGGATGCCCTGATATGAGTTTCAGCAAATACCCAGAGAAATGTACCTCTGATGTTAGCCCAAATCCTCTCCTTTGCAATCAGCTCTTCCGATGATTCCTTACCCTGCCTATGTGATGCAGTTGCTTGTCATAGATCACTTAGCCAAGTAGTATTCTAGAAGACTCCCCCACTTTAGGGCTAGCGAATGGCCTTCCGCGGTACATGCAGACATGTCAGTGCTCGATTCTTGATTCGTTACCATACTAGCCTCGCTGTTACCTCACCACCTAACCTCACCTCGAGGACACCATCAAGCACACAACTGAGAACATTCCCCAAGGCCGAAACGTAAGAGCAGCAACATGACTTTCAATATCAGCACGATCGTAAACGGCACTGTATACTCAATGAAGATCACGCAGAACCCGGAAGGCAAAATCTACACCATTGATCGCCAGAGTGCGAAGACGTACGACGTACCCATACCAGCAGGGTACAATGGACACATGGTTTTGGTGCTTGGAAGGGTACCATCCCAGCCCGGTTTGGTCAGGATAGTAACCGTCTGGATCCTAATCCAAGGTTTCAGGCCTCCGCTCACAGTTGACACAGATCACGTCGAGCGTTGATCCAAACGTGGATTGGAGAGACTACCTTCCCATTCGTCCATCGAAGAAGAACCGGAGAACGGGGATCCAGCTTTATCTGCGCAGCTCTGCTGACCGCTGGGTAGAGATGGATTTGAGGTCATACGCCAGGGTTGACACGGAGTGCACCGTTCCTCTCCAGATTGTGAAAAGACACCAGAAGAAGGGTTGCAATTTGAGCTTTCGAGCAAGTCTCGCCGATCCGTTCAACATTACCTCAATGGACGCCCAACCCAGGCTGCTTTGGAGCAGCCTCAACCAAACAACTAAAAGCAGACGGAGATGGAGAAGGCCAGGAAGGAAGTGGGGCCTTCTGATGATGCAGCTGTTTAGTACCCTAGCCTTCAAGCCTCCAAGGTATCGCGAAGAGATAGGCTTGCCGATACTTCAATGCTAGACAATGATCCCATCGATTGTTCTGGAAATGCTCCTTGCTGAAGGGTTGTACTCTTCACCCACGCCCTGTCGATTCTGCTTCATCGTTGTTTCGGATAGAAATACATTTATCTAACTCCCCTGGGAAGCGTTTCCTCGTTCAAGCATAATCTCTCATGAAGAAACATGACTGTTCACCTTAAGTCTTTGTCATGGTAGATGTTGAAGCCAGCATGTCGCCGTCACGCCTCCATGGTGAGTGAAGCGAACACTGCATGTAATCACCAAAACGTCAACACATGAGATGCACCCCACACAGTCTGCCACGAGTTGGCTCAAAACACCATCAACAAACAACGCGCAGATGACATTGCACCAACCAAGAACGTCAAAGACTTGATCGATCAGCCATGGCGCGTACCTGGTTCGCCGGCCCTCCTACCGCGCAGACGGTCCCGCCGTCCAAGAACCTCAAGGGTGCCGTGTCCAAAACGGGCGACCCAGCTCAATCAAACGAGGGCGTGTTATCCAAGAATCAGGTTGCGGTCAACGCCTTCGCTACTGCGCATCATATAACACCGACCAAAGCAATTCACTCGGACTCTGAGTTGGATGGATCTGTTACTTGGGCAACACCGTTCTCGTCGCCAGAGAAAGAGCTGAAGACCCAGCCAGCGAAGGAGGCGATTGAGGCGATTGAGGCGTCCGCTAATCTGGCAAAGCTCATACAACAGCACTCGAAGCCAAAGGACCCACAAGGGGCGACTCCCTCTGAGGAGCCGACGACCTCCAGGCCGGTGGAAACGATGAACACATTCACTCTCTCCTCATCGGAACCGCGCCGGGCACCGATAGCTCAAATGGTACCCCTTTCCCCAAATGTGGCAGTCACCACCACACCAGCAGCAAAAGCCGACCTGGTGAAATCGACAACGTCTCTTTTCGGTCCGTGTCCAAGCCCAACGAATGTGTCAAGTCCACAAGCATGCTTTCCCGTAACAGCTCCATCATCGCTACGATCATCATCAATCCTGCCATCTTCGCCAACAGCCTCACCGAAGAAAGCCACACCCACGAAGTTCACATCCAAAAACCCTCAAATCACACTAACGCCAGCACCGGCGACTGCGCCAAGCGCATTCAAAGACGCCGCTCTCGCAGCCCACGTCCAGGACAGGAAGTTCCTCTCTCCCGTGACGCAACAACCAACCGGAGTCAAAAAGCGCCAACACATCAGGACCTCCTCCCCACCCAAATCAGTCTTGACACCAGAATCCGTCCCTGAAGGAAAACCCAGACGCGGCCGCCCTCGCACGCGGCCTGAGGTGCAGCCTCTTCACCGCAACAGACAATACCGGCCTCCTGTTCAGCCGAGCACGCCAAGCCCTCAAACAGGGGTTCCCAATCGCTCCAACTCATCTGAGTTCGCCTCTCCCGCCTTCCCGCTCCAGCAACAGCAAGCCGTCACGTTCAACATCAATGGCGACTCGAAACCCAGTTTCTGCTCAGAAGAGCCTCGCCTGTGGCCTGGGCGCGGTGATTACGTTGCCACGCTCCTACGCTTCGACTCAAAGCCTGAAACAATACACTCAGAGCCTATTCAAGCTTGTACCAACCACGCGGCCCACCAAGACCCGCACGAACCTCCCGGTCACGGCGTTTGTGCAACCTGCCACCATGGTGCTCGTCGTCATATCAAAGCAACGAGGCCAGAGCTATTCGGTCCGGCCTGGTGGCCGCTATGCAAGGCCTGTGGCGACAATGAATTGCTGCATACTGATCCTAAGAAAAAAGGATGTTCTTGTGGCAAGCAATGGCTCTGCTTTGCGTGCCAAACCCAGGAGCTGGAGAGGCGTACTATGAAAAATTGCGTCGAGGCTGAGTTCAGGAGGAGAACTTTCATTGGGAAAGGAATGGATGGAGACGTCGAGACTGTGGTAATGGGTTGGGCTTGTGAGTGTGGAGGGGAGATCGGGCCAAACGCCACACTAGTTAAGTGTATTGGCTGTCAAGGGTTGGGTGTTGGAAAAATTGATTCGCTGGTGGCAATTGCCCGAGAAAGTGCTTTTATGAAGACTGCATTAGCATGGACATGAGCAGATTTCGAGGGTTTGGATACGGTGATCGAAACTGGATTCAACACGAAATGGAATGTGGTATGATATGCGCAGGATCCTGTGTCAAGGCGCCAGTTGTTCTCGCGCAGGATGTACAATGCTCAGCACAGCAAGTGTGGGAGACTCCATGTCTACTCAGTCCCAGTATTGGCACCTGCATGTTTTACTTCACTGTACATTCATTATATGCGAAAGAATCAAACTAGATTAGCCTTCGGGTACAGAATTGTGTCCAAACAAGTGTGGAGCATAATGAATCATGGGGCCATACACTGAACTTTGCTCAACGGCTAGACCTTGAACTCTATATGCACTAGTTGATATCGACTTTGCTTTAGGGACGACGGACCCGTTGCACAGATATGCCATTTGGCAATTTCGCAAAGGTGTTTCTTATGGCTGGAGACTGCTCTGTGAGCCGCTTCCATGCTTCGAGGACGCCCGCACGCTGGGCTGGCAGCATGCTGTATTGAAGGCTGTAGAGGCTCTTCCTGTGAATCGGCGGTAAAAATTGACCGGTGACTAGGCATAGAATAACACTAGGCGAGAAGTAGTGCTTATGAATACGGTGTCCGAGCTGGAAGTACTGATTGAACATGGCCCGCAAAGAGAGAGGGACAGACTACACCGCTAATCAGTGGCCCCCTCTTATTTCTTAGGAAGAATCTTACTTTGAGCATTATGTACGATGTCGGAGGGGCATCATTTAGATCGTTAAAAGGTGAAGAAACAGATGGGGTATCCCGAAGCTCGAAACAAATGCCACCTAGAACATGTTAGATTCAGTCAGGACTAAAGGCGAAACACTGACCAGGAAGACGCCTCGAGTCCTTCACTCGAAGCATTAATGCAAAGAGAGGGAAATGGTTCAGGCAAGCCAGCGACGTGTCTAAGGCGGCTTTGAGAAATATTATGGCCATCCTTGCGGAGGTGAATGTCAGGTAAAATACAGCCACAGTCGGCAGCAAGAAGAATAGCAAAGTGAACAGTATAGTTCCTAGAAGCAATTGGTCCAAGTCGTAGTCGCATGAGTCAATTCGATTGCGTAGCACATTGTGCTTTTTGCCCCTGAAGAGGTGGAAAAGAGACATTATGATGGTGAGCTGCCAGTGAAATATACGAGCTGATGCGGTATAGAAGCAGTAAATGTGTACAGTCAGTAGTGACAAAAGGTCGGAGAACATGGAGATGGGCATAGTGGCGCCGGCAAAACTTGAGAAGCCAATGAAGTAGATGACGTGAGGCAATAAAGGTTGTAGCCCAATCACACATTCTGTGTGAGTCAGCATGCGACATGTGAGACGAAAAGTGCATAGGGGCCATGTCCCAAGTTACCTTTCCAAAGGTCAATAACCCAGAGAAACAGGTCACCAAGAAAGATGGCTAGTTCAGTGTTGAGTTTTAGACCTGCAGGCCAATCCATGAGCCATAAGATCATGTCTCGCAAGCCTTCCACAGTCCAGCCCATAAGGACAGTGTTGATTTGCCAAGCGACCCACGCAGCATTGTCGATGATGTAGGAACCCAAGGCGATTCCTATAATCACATCATTTGCCACGAGCCAGAGGCTGTTGAAGAAGCGAATGTAGTCTGGGTGCCTGTCTGTAATACTTTCCCAGTCGTCCTTCCTTTTGCGTAAGGTCAGATACTGCATGGGCCAATAGCAAAACTGCTGCAGTCGGATATCCACCTGCTGCGCTGTAGCAGATATATCCTTCAACGCTGCTCTATCAGGGCGAGGTCTCCACTCAAGCACACGTAGTATCACCTCCGCAACTGTCCGATGAAATATGAGCGCCATCAAAAAGGTCCTGCTCAGAAGAGGCCACACCCAGATGGTGATAATACGCCATGCAACGTCGATAATATAGTCCCGGACAGTAGTGGCTGATTCTACGACTTTCTCGCTCACACTTAAGCTTCTTTTTTGCCGTGTCCTCAGAAGGTATGAATTTCTTGCCAGAAGTTTTGCCAATTCAGAGGAGCAATTGATCTGTGCCAAAATGGTTGGTAGCATGACCTCTTTTTGTGACAGCGCATGCCTGATCACGGTGTGCAGTTGAAGCTTCTTAACCAATCGTGGTGTATCGATACTCTCGGTCTCAGTATCCAGATCACCATTTCCCAGCTTGTGCGGCGCACCGTCACTTCCTAGATTCTTGTCTCCTAATACAAGCGAGATAGGGTCTAGGGACATATACTGCATTTGACGTGGAGACGGACGATCGAACATGATGACTTGGACACTGACATTGCAAGTCTTTGGACAGAATACACTAGGAAACGGACTAGAGGCTTCAGTGTATGCCAGGAGGTGATTAGGGTTGAAGCTGCCAGTCGCGACTGTTGGATTTACAGATCCTAAGACATGCAACGAGCTATTCCCACACAAATCGTATATCTGCCGCATGGGGTGCGGGCTATCTCGCACAAGAGTGCCTACTCGAAGAGCACTTTCGACCTTCCGCGCCTGAGCTGCGTTAGCGAGCCTCCAAATGTACAATTCTACAGCGGCTTTACCTCCACATCCTGTAATATAGCCACGACGAAGACATCCAAAGGAGAGTTTCTCCACCCTATTATAGTCCCTTGGCCCTTGTTTCTGGGAACATCTGACGGCCAGAAGATCCTGAGCAGTCCATTTGCCGGGACCATAGTGTCATTGTCGGTGCACTTCAGAAGGAGCCCCGACGCCTTAGCTGCTCGCGCGCGGAGATGCCGTCGATGGCAGAACGAGGGTGCTTGACATATAAATTAGCAAAATTACTTAGTATTCACAGACAAGGTTCGAGACTCACATCGTTTGTCTCGTGTGCTGCAAGGCGTTCAATGGGCAAGATAAGAAGGAAGAAGACCAATGAGAGAAGAGTGAAGCCTCCAGCCGCTCGAGTCTGTGAGATGTTAAAATGAGAGATCTGTGACCAAGAACAATATCAAGCTCCTCGAGCTTACCACGACACCGTGATCAGCTGCGAATATTGCTAGTTCGTAAAGTCTTGTTACTAGATCCCAACGTGCAGTGATATAACCAGCGACGAAGATGCCAAGAGTGAGAATGGAGAAAGGGTGCATTAATCGGCTCCTACTATACGTACAAATCAAACGGTAGGCCTAGTGAAATAAGCAAAAGAGTCGAGTTGCGGACGCTGCTGCTAAAAGTTAAGCTGTCACCAGCGGTTCTCCGCAAACACCTCCGCTCTCTGAATGCCAAGACTTTGCTGAACATTTACAAAGCACAAGGATTTCGATCCCTGTGGTGCCTGCAATACTGTGGTGCTGACATTTGATCATTTGAACTCCTTCACGTTTAGGACCCTCGCTATGGCAAGCTACGCTCACGCTATGATAGTACATATTGGAATGAGAAGAAACGCCACGTCTACCCACGAAGATGTTATACTCCATGCTAGACCTCCACCATCGCTCTTGCTCCATGAAAATGCTCACGATCGATACTCTTAGATGGTAATTACATCCTTGCCTCACGGTCCCACACCAATGTCTACATTGAATTTCCACACGCCTGTAGGATGTTAGAACGAGTCCGGTTGTTCTTCGGGGAGGCTACTCACCAGCTTTGAGGTTTTGGGCTGTGTCGTCCAGTAAGATGACTCTCCTCTTGTTGCAGTAAGATGTCTTGTCCATCATGTCGACCTTCAAAGCTGCCAGCTCAGTAGTAGGCTTTTCGAACATCTCACTGAGGCCCTCGACGGCCATCTCGAGATCTTTCTGATTGTCTTCAAAGATCTCGGTCAAGTTGTTTCGTTGAAGATAGTATGCAAACGCGTATGTCCACTTAAGCGTCTGCCGGCATTGCTGTAGTGCTTGCGATGCTGTCTCTAGAAATTGGACCTCGATCCACGACATTCCAGATGCCGTCTGCAGATTCATCATTTTCCTTTCGGTCTTCAGGTAGAGATCTTTGTCGAGCTTAGCTGACTGCTCGTGGTTGGCGTAGCGGTTGTAGTAATGTAGATATCTTTCGAGAGACTGTCGCGATTTGGCCTGGGCATCACGTCCATCGGTGCCTGATTTCTCCTCGAAACGGTTGCAGTTGTACCAGCTCGTGCCGTGCTCCGACCACAATCCCATGCACATCCAGCAGAACTCGTGTTTGCATTTCCGGCATGTCATATGATTACAACCGCCATTCTTCTCAATCGTTGAAGAGCATTTAGGGCACTCTTTAGTGTTTGCTGATATCCAATTCGCTGTTTCCGAATCGTCTTCGCATTTCTTGACCCATTGCTTTACCAGTGAGCATGGTGCCGGTTGGTGGTCGCTCAGGGTGCAGCCAAAGCAAAAGCGATGTTTGCATGAGCATGCAACTGTAGGGACTATTCGGCTGAGATCTTTTTTCTTAACGCCACATTCAATGGCATACTCGCAATTGGGGGCTGGGCACCACTTCAGGTTCTCTTTGTCGTCAACGTAGGTACGCGTGAGAAGCACTTGGTATCTGCATGTCGATCAGTAATATCATTTATCTAATTGCTGATCCAAATACCTTGACCTAAGCTCTGCTGCAACAAGCAAGTCCAACGACTTGGCGTCTACAATCCGATGGCAGCCGCGGGTTGGACACTGTATCCTTGCCGCCTCGCCTTCGTCCTTGATCTTCTGAGCGAGATACTGTCTGTAGCAATCGGTACAGTAGCGATGTCCACATTTCAATGCGTACGTCTCCAAGCCAGGCGTGTCTTCGCAGCAGATATCACACGTAAAGCCTCTGATCACCTTGGTCGTTGGCGTCTGAGCAGCGTCTGGCCCTAGTCCGGCAGCCTCTAAAATGGTATCAGGTTTGTCCATGTATGCCTCGATGAGTCGCTCTTTGTTCCATCGAAGGTGCCGTAGAAGTATAGCGGAAGCTTCCGATGGCTGGCCAAGGATCGCTGAGACTTCGTCGATTTGCTTGTCCTGATGTAATTGTATATCTGTTGGTGAGAAAACGTTGTATTCAACCTCGTAGGACTTCCTTGTGGGCTTGAGATCTTTGTCTTGCGAGAAGCCAACATCCGGCTCTTCCTCATCGTCGAACTCTGATGTCGAGGTCACAGGGTCAGCCCGATCTATGTGAGAGCACAAGACGAATACGTACCATCTCCTAGGCTTCCATCGTCACTCTCTTGAGCAGCTCCGAAATCATCTTCGTCTTGGCTTGATAGACCGCTCATAAACTCGTCGTCCGAATCCATGGTGGTCAATGGCGGGGTGTTGAGTGCTGCCCCGGACGAGGCTGTTGCGAAATCTTCACTGAGACCCTCGCTGAGCTTGGTTGTTTTGACGGGTATATTGGCTTCCCTGGTTGTCTGAATAGCTTTCCTCTTTCGTGTTAGAGGAGACGTGGTGGAAGATGGGGAGAAGCTCGGTGCTGGATCTCGCGGATGACGAGACCGATGCACGAGCTTCGAGGGAGATGAGGTTGGGATTAGGGGTGATGATTTGGTGTAGGCGAGGAAAGAAGAAGCAGCTATCCTGTTGCAGCCCAAATTGCAGTTTGAAGGTTCAAGTATGTGTCATAAAACCATTAACGCTTCGAGTCTCGAGGGGGTAAGGAAGTGGAACAACGATTAGTCATTCAATAACCCACGCCCTAGTGGCTTACGCCACACTAACACCTATGGTGCCTATATTACGCCGGAATTGCTCCTACGGTCTTTCATCTCTTTGACTACTGAACTATCAATGTACTGAACTATCAATGTGCTCTGAGCTTCACTCCATGTGTCGGTATCGCCTATCAATGTCTTACAGGTGGAGCAGGCGTCAAGAAAGTGTCGCTACCTTACCTTACTTGTACGTACTCTAGGTCCGGCTCCTTGCATACGAAACAGATCCAATGAATCACAAGTGCGAACCATCCAATCAGCAGCTTGCTCGTCATACTAAACCTCACACCTCATTGCTCTTGAAACGTCGTCTGCTTGGGTATATATTGCCCTGTCAGAATGCCCCATCTTGCGAGACTTTGCATCTCATTGGGCAATCTAGAGCTATTGCAGTATGGTAGTTTAATGTCGCATCAAGCCATCCACCTGTATCAGCACTATTTTCTGTTGGCTAGTCTCCTTCGAGTCACGGTCACGCATAAGGGACGGATCCTTTAATCGATTTCAAAGCAATCGTATGTATATACGCATTCGCCTTTTCTCCCCACTCCATAAAATTCCTTCTCCAGCTCCACCGACTCAAATACATCCTCTTTAGCCAGAGGAAACTGAACAGACGGTTACATCGCTACATGATGGCAAATCTACCAATTTGAATCTTCGCTGGAGTCCCAGTCCCCAACACACAATTGATAAACAAAGCTCTCGCTCTTTGCCGCAAGCATCTTAGTGACCTCGCTTATAACCGCAGCGTAAGAGCCTGGCTCTTCGGTTTTATCATTGTAATAAAGACACTTGGGCTCCAAGGTCGTGATCTCGAGGCTTATGTAATAGCTGTTATCTTGCACAACCTGGGTAGGGACGAGATCGGCGATCTCGTAGAAGCGCTTTAAAGTCGGGGCGTACATCTCGGACATGACTCTTGTTAGGTACTGAATTTGAGCTGCGAGACATGCTTCGCGAACAAAGTGACCTTTCATACTCCCGAGAAGTGTCTTGTAACTCAAATATCTACCTTGGAGAAGTAATGCTGACTTTAAAATGTGTGTATTCACGCACATTTTGGAGCTATCCATAGTCCGGTGGCAAAAACCTGCTCCTACTGCTGAAACTTGTTTCACTAATGTTGATTTCTTGCCTTGAATAAGCGATGCTGACTCCGAAATGTGCGTAGACAGCGCCAACGCTGCACGTGATTTTCTCCAAAGAGAAGCAGCCGACTAGGACGAGCACTGCCTACGGCTCGTATGGGATGCAACTGCGCCGCATGCCATCACGAGCATTGCTGTGAGCTGCCCCTACAGCCCATCATTTCTTATTTCATGCCGTATTTGGAGTCTTGAGACCCAATTCAGAAGTGAATACACTCGCGCAATGGTCTCACAACTCAATGCTCCCTTCAAAGCGGCATGCTAAGCGAGAGAATTTGCGGTGGCACAAGGAACCCGAGGTTGCTCGCCACGAGCTATGGTATCAACGCTGATCTCGCCGGACCAGACCGAGCAATTGGCGGGCATCTGACGTGGGACACATGGAAAGTTGTTGTCAAGGGATTGCCCAGATTGAGAATGAAGGAGGGCGTTCGAGAAATCTGTTGTAGGCTGTGCCGCACGAAGCCAGAGACTACGTACGACAACTTTGTGGGACGTATGGGGAACGCTATGTCGAGGGATACACTTTGGCTGGCACGAAAGACATCGACTTCATGGTAGCGAGCACGCTTGGTTGAAAGGTCTTTCGACGTTGTGTCGGCGCCCCTGTGCAGGTAGCGGACCCTTTGACTCATGTGCGGTGGCCTCGTACTCTTTCAGAGATTTCTGCCATAGGGTCACAAATGAATGACATAAAGTAAATTTTCTCTCAAAAACACAAGACCCTGGAGCGCACGCGTTTGGGCCGTTTTCAGCGAAATGGAGCATGAATCTCCTCTCGATCCCAAACGGTTATAGTACACTTCAGGAAAGATCGACGAAATACATCTCACACGCACACACACACACACACATGTTGTCATCAGCCATCAGCAAAGGCACTGTGTCGCAGACAACATCCCAAAACCTTTCGCCCTACAAAAGCGCATACCCTACCCAATGCATGCGTGTCACAAGCCTGTGTACGCCTAGACGACAGTCATATCATCAAGATCGGTGTAGCTCTCAAACGAGCTCTTTAGAGTCATCAACCGGTCATCCACACCTGGCAAGAACTTCTCCCACCCTCCCTCCGTATCACCTAGACATTTCGGAGTCAGCATAGTTTTTTTGAGGCAAAATGCCGACGTTATAAGACAGGCTTGGGCTTGAAACCGTTCGCGAGACTCCGCTCAATACCAAAGGTTCGACGACGGAGGGTGTGCCCCGAAATTTGCACTTACTCGCAACAATCTTCCCACCCACCTTGTCCCGGCATAAAGCAGCGCATTCATCCGGGGGAAACTCCCTGATACCGAAGTTTGGCAACCCTCTCTTCTGCCCGTTGAAGTAGTAATAGTCGTAGGGATCGCGAGTGTTCCCGAGTTCAAAGCAGAAAGTATCCCCAATGTTAGACCTGCTGCATTCTTTTCGTTTCTCTTTCCTCCATAAATCATGGGCATTCCAGCAGTCTGGCACCAGGAAATCAATTCGCTTGGAGCCGATCGTCCCCCAGCCTGTAGTGCGGACATCGGAGTCGCATGTCCATGCCAACGTGTATTCTTGCTCATTGTGATAGTTCCGGTAGTCGAATTGGTAGTAATGACCCACATTCCTGTCTTCATTTAGGCCTTGGCAGTAGCATTTCGTGATATTTAGCACGTCGCCCCAATAATAGGGTTGTTTTATAACAGGTGGCCAGACCGGGGGCGACCAGATGGCCTCAGCAGTGGCAAGCAGAGCGAGGAGCAGTGAGGCGATCATGGTGAGAATGGTGGTATGCATTTGTGGAGATCTGTTTTTTGATGAGTGTCGATGAGATCAAGATTGTGAACGGCGCCTTTGTGTCAAAGAAAAGATTATCATAGCAAATTTTTGTATATTGGATTAAAAGAAGGCTTGGCACATGAGCAAATTCGAGGCAGCGTTTCGATCGACAAATGCAAATTCCAAAGACAAGCATGTCATGATCTGACCTATTCTGGGTTCCCCAATATGCTGGAAAGAGACGGCGCTCGAAGCTGTAAGAGATACTGTGCGGAAGATTATGACCAGTACGTACCACTGTTGCTGGGAAGCGAGATATGTAGAATCTGTGTGGGAGAGAGAGAGAGGGCAAGGCCTCACGCGTTCTGGTCCTCGATTCAAGTACGACCTTCTTCCTTACAATGGTTTGAACTAGTTTTTATTGCGATATTCAAGGATTTATACTCAACACATGCCTGAAAACTAGTACAAGTTGAACGAACGCAGGAAGCATTTTCCAACTAGAGAGGGGTTTTATCCAGCTTATCCACGACTGACAGTATGGACTTCCCTGACAAGGAGCCTCGTGGTCGGGCCACCACTTGGGGGTTTTTTTAGGTATGTTGCTTCGTCGGGACATGTTTCGCAGGCTCTGTGTTCATTTGCAAGCTCAGTAAATCAGGCCTCGAATATTGCCCAACCACGTCGATCATCTGTTTGGCAAAATCAATCGTCGACAGGTCAATATCTGCGTAGAGTATACTCTTCATCTGGAGCTAAGAGTTCCACTAGTGGTGCGCCGTCAGGCCCGTAGATCTATGGAGGGCTCGGAGTCAGCATCGCCCTCGGTATGAGTACTCAAGTAGTGAGACGGCTTAAGTGGAGTAAAAGGACCGTTCAACTCCCGGAAATGTCTTGCAACTCAGAATGTGGTACAAAATGGGCATAAGTTGCTCCAGAATGTACAAACCATCGAAAAGCCCCTTCCTGGTGCTTCACAGAAGGGCCTGTCAGTCAACTTATTCCTGTCCTCGTTTTCCGCGGTCAACATCTGTGTGCAGACCAGGACGAAAGTGGCCCCCTCAAAGGCCGTGAACTGGTATGCACGAGATTCTGCTTCAGCGGTGACATGATATGGCCACTAGCACATTTCGGAGTCAGTATTTCCATTTCGGCATATATGTTCGAGTCACGAGTAAGTGTTCAGAACTTCAGGGAGTATTTGTTCCCGCAACATGTCTCGTTGGGAAACTTAGTGTCAAAGAGGAAGTCGCGATTCTAAACAATGCCTTACAGGTATGTCCTTTGGCTGTTTCCAGAAAGGCGACCGTCCCGTGACATGGATCTCCACACCCTGGGAATACTCGTAGTGACGAAGCAGAGGCTTTATGCGTTTCCAGCAATTGAGGCCTCCTACTTTGCCAAACGGGGTATCCACTACCGACTTCAGGGAGTCAGCCTGACCATTTATGCGCATTTCAGGGTCAGCGTTGCTTCTTCAAGGTAGATTTTCAGTCCGATATAGGAATAATCATCTCGTAAATGTACATACCGCCCCATAGTGATCTTTCGACGTGCGCGGCTTAATCTTGCGGCGGTGGAGGACGATCTCGCTAGCTGGGTTCATGAATGACTGTGCGAGGTTCGTCCTAATTTTTGTAGAGATCCTACTACGCCTAGGAACCAAAAACGGGCAGTCTCGTGACATACTTGAGCAATGTAGATACTACTCCTATCCCGCTCACTGTATCCCAATACTACATACAGGCTCGCTGCTTTGACAGCCTTCCTAATCTTCTCCATCTCCGGGGACTCCTTCATTAGGGAATTGTTGACATATTCATGAATGAATTGAGTGTGACTCAAAGGGCTGTGGTGCTAGATACTCCATGGATAGCCTGGATTGAATACTTTGGGGAAGCCCAGAACATTGGCCCCCTGGGCGCCAGCATCTTCAATCCAATGTGATGGTCTTGTCGACTGAGGTCTGAAGATTGTTCCAACCGGGTTCTGCCTGCACTGCAGCGACTTTGACAGGTCTTGCCATTGCTGTAGGTTGTGTTCTCTTTCTGCATTCTGATGCAAATGCTGTGGTTGAGGATGGAGTAGCTATCAGCTGGGATCATCATGAAAGACATGGCAACTGTATCCCCTCGTCCGCGTTAGCCAGGGACTTTGATCGACAGCCATCCTGATGAGGAGGGTCAAGGCCCGTGGACATGGACTGAAGCTCCGCAGCGAACTGATAAGAGAGTCCCAACTTTCAATAATCGCTGTCAAGGGCATGGAGGGGCAAGGTTGAAGAGCGTAGGGCTGATGATGAAGCCGCTAAAGAAGCGAGTCTTGGCACACACCTAAGATTGTATTTCGAGACTACCACTTCGACTACACCAAGAACATCACTCGTCCCTCAGTCGCAATAATGCCTACGCGACTGACCCAAACCCGCAAACAGTAAGTCGAATCCCTATATCAACCTCTACGGTCCTCAAGCATTTATCTGCCGCCACAGCTAACATTTTTTCTGTCAGCCGCGGCCATGTCTCCGCTGGTCACGGCCGCGTTGGCAAGCACCGAAAGCATCCTGGTGGACGTGGTATGGCGGGCGGGCAACATCACCATCGAACGAATATCGACAAATACCATCCCGGTTACTTCGGAAAAGTGGGCATGCGATACTTCCACAAGCTGCAGAATCAGTTCTGGAAGCCGGTTATCAATTTGGACAAGGTGAGCGAAGAGCGTTTCACATCTATCAGAGGACTTGGGATTTGAGACAATGCATTGGAGGTTGGCTAGAGGTTTGGGACCTCGGCTAAGCAAAGACCGGCAAGATATAACGCACAATGGGCGGTCCGGAGGGAGTGTAGGAGGGTCTTGCAAATTGGATATCAGAGATCCACTGTCCAGAATCAATGACTCAAAGCTAATCTCATGTCTCTCTCTACAGCTCTGGTCACTAGTTCCCGTCGAAAAGCGTGATGAATACCTATCGAAGGAAAAAGGCGACACAGCACCCGTTCTTGATCTGCTGCCATTAGGGTACTCGAAGGTCTTGGGCAAGGGACGGATTCCAGATATACCCATGGTGGTGCGAGCGAGGTTCTTCAGTCGGGAAGCGGAGAGGAAGATCAAGGAGGCAGGAGGAGTAGTCGAATTGGTGGCATAGTGTGATCTAAGAGAAGAGCGTTATGGTGACTTCCTATTGATGCTCGCTACCGGGCCATAGCATAATCAATGACTCGGCTTCAGAAAGCAAGTCGGATTCTAGACGTCTTGCATGCATAAATTTGCTAAAGCCCATCCGCAAAATACATTGTTTTATCAAGACCCAGAGGTATTTGATGCAACGCTAATGCCTTCAAGTGCGGAGCTTTGTTCTTGTGTTCTCACTACAACGCACCCACCTCTTCTACTTCAGTATCGGGGTATGTCTCCTCTGCCAAAAAGTCGCTCGCTAAAGCCGCTCTAGCAGACATTCGTTTGCTGGGATCTAATTGTAAACACTGCTCCAAGAATTTCACCGTCTCTTTAGTTTCCTGGTCCATGTGTTCTCCTACTTTCTCTGACGTCGACCACTGAACAATCTGAGACAATGGGAACCCTTTCTCACCGATGGTTGGGATGTTGCAGTCCCAGACAGCGCCATGCAAGTAAGCACATCCTCTCATCCTCTGTTTTCCAAATATCGTCGCGATTTCAATCATGGCTTCGACGTCATCCCCAGAGTGAAAGAACGGAAACCTTTGTGCCAGAATAGTTAGTAATATAACACCGGCTGACCAGATATCGATCTTCGTTGTTTGAGCAGTGCACTTGAAAAGGACTTCGGGTGCTCGAAAGCCTCTTGTTCCTGCTCTGTTGGCTCGACGAGATGGTCGTTGATCGTCCTTCGGGTATCCCGTTGGGGTTGGCATACTATATGCTCTGCTCGATTGGATTTTGGCTTTCCTGATGTTCACCTGTTCTTGACACAAACAGTGGGAGCATTCAGTTCCCTCTCGCTGTCGTTATATCAGCGACAAGCCAGTGAACATCTGTTTTGATCGTTTACCTCAGCGAGGCCAAAATCCACCAGCACTCCCCTCTGCCGCTCGACGTCAAACAAGAAATTCCTAGAATCGTGAGCGGCGCCCAAAATGCTCCTACTGATTGCTTACGTTGGCTTTATGTCTCGATGAATAATTCCATGTTTGTGCACTGCGGCAAGGGCCTCAAACAGAGACCGAAAGTATACCTTGATTTCATTATGGCCCATCGAATGATAGAAGGCCTACTTGCAATCAGCTACAGAACCGCACAGGGGCCACGAAGTGAGGTACCCGGAAATCTTGATGACGAAAATGTGGCAGCACGGCTACAACCTGGTCCTGATGCCTGCAAGCGGTGATCAAAGGGCAGACAGCTTTGCATCCTCTCAAGTCATGCAGCAGCTCGAGTTCATTCTGAATCCTCATTGGGCTGCTAGTAACATAGATTTTTTTTACGGCGACAAAGCGGCGCTTAGGCTGGCGGCATTGATCATGGCTGGTTTCCAAGGTTGAAGCGTTCTTCCTTCTTTTGAGAGGAGGGGATGTCCACTTCGAGGCATCCCTTTGTTCTACGTCCCAATCGTTCTGATAGTATTCGTAGTGCAAGTCTTCGGCCTTGTAGACGGTTGAGAAGGTTCCTGGAGAGATGAGTCAATGGGAAATTCGAGTAATACACCAACGACAAGAATATCCTAGCATTACCTTCCCCAATACGCGCAATCATGCGAAACCTCATCCCTATTTCTCGAAAAGTGTCTTCTAAACTGGCCATGTCTTCTCTGACTGTCTCGTCGACTGCATATTCGCTCTCTGCGGATTCTTCAGAACACTCAGAGCCCTCTTGCTCATCCTCGCCCTCCTCATATTCGTCTGTGTCATATTGCGATCCAGGACTGAATGCCAATTTGTGGCTTAAATTGTTTGCTGGCGTAAGGTGTTTGCTTGTAATGAAAGGGTTCTTTTCCGCAATTGGCACCGCGGGCCTCGCCAATGCCATCGTTTGAGTACCCAGAAACCAGTTCACTGACTCAGTCACCTCAGATGTCCATTAAAGCATCTTCCCGAGCATGCATACGGTGGTAATGTTTCACATCAATCGTATCATACGAAATTTCGATACAAAACAGGCTAGGTGGGGCAGGCGCGGTACGCGTCTAAAAGTAAATAAACATGGTCCGTGCACTAACGAACTACAACTTCATTCATGATGAAAGAATACACCGAACAGACCTTCGTCTTAGAGGGATCTTACGTATTGTTTTACTATGGGGGACGAAATGGATTTTGACATCAACGATGCGCTCAAGTACTATCTCAGTGACCCCGCTTCAGTAGCAACCCCCGAGGCCGATGGAGCGCTATTGGACTGCGAGAACGATCCAGAGTCGCTCACCAACTCTTTAGTAAATGGAGTGCTTAATCCGATCGTGGACTCAATCGCAGAGAATCCGGACGCCCTGACCAGAATCTCCACATTCGATTCCTTACAATTTTTACTCAAGTGTGCCCCCAATTTTCTTGCCTCTCAACGCAACTTCCATAGTGAACCAGACTCTGAACTTTTCAAACTTTCCAGATCAGCTTCCCTGCTGCCCACTCACTCCCTGAGCAAAATCTTCGATCTCTTAATTTCGGGCCTTTCGTCGGAGGCCGACGCCGTACACGTTGAGCTCGAGACCGACGAGCAAGATGCCTTTCGACATCAGAAACGTTTGTTAGAAATGTATGCATTTCTGTTGCAGTGGTCAGTATCCGTTGTGGAAGTGAAGGCCGCAGAAAAATCAAGCGGTGCACCTGCAAAGGGTCGAGGAGCTGGGAAGGGTGCAAAGTCAAAAGGGACAACAAAAGATGGCACTTGGGATTCCTCAGCACAATTACAGGTTGCTTTGGATACGATGTGCAAGGTCTTGAAGCTGAAGCTCGGGAAAGTATTTGTGACGACCTCTGAACGAGACACTTTCGTTGGCCTTTTCACAAGGCCCGTCTACTTAATCCTTGAGAGCGAGCAACGGATTAAGAACAGTGCTTTGCGAATGCATGCCTTCAAAGTGCTCTGCATTGCAGTTAAGCATCATGGACATGCTTTTGGTACTACCCAGCCGAGAGTGAAAATGGCCATTGTTACTGATGAATGGCAGGAGCGCAAACTTCAATTATCCAAAACCTTTCCTACTTCGAGCATCTTGCCGAACCAATGGCGGAATTTCTTCACATACTCTCAGAGCAATACGATTACCCACAATTGACAGACGAGGTCCTAAGGTAGCTTTGGTCCAGATGTATTGCTTCTATGTACGACATTGACAAGTCATTGTAGGGACCTGAGCAATAAAGAGTTCAACAACAATGACACAAGAGGCCCCAAATCTGTCTCGACGTTTATAGTCAAGCTCTCGGAACTCGCTCCTCGCCTTGTCATTAAGCAAATGACATTGCTTGTCAAGCAACTGGACAGCGAGGTAAGTTGGTTTGCCTTGTTTTTCCAGTGGACCTACTATATTGATACCATCAGGCTTACACGCTTCGATGCGCTGTTATCGAGGTATGCGGAAATCTAATAGCGGACCTCAGCAAGCAAGAAGAGCGAAATGAGAACTCTAAAACACAAATCAATGGCTTCTTTGACATTCTAGAAGAGCGATTCCTGGACACGAATCCCTATTGCCGTTGCAGAAATATTCAAGTCTACATGAAGCTGTGTGACTTGGAGCAGAAATTTCCCAAACGCCGTCAAGCAGCGGCAGAGCTTGCCGCTCGAAGTCTTGAAGATAAGAGTAGCAACGTTCGAAGAAATGCCATCAAATTGCTTGGCAAGCTTGTGTCGACTCACCCATTTAGCGTCATGCATGGTGGACAGCTATCATACAAAGAATGGGATGACCGACTGCAAGCCGTGGAGCATCAGCTCGACGCATCAAAACCTCCGGCTGATTCGCCTGGTCTTGGCGAGAAAAGTCTCCAGGCAGAAGCAACCGTTGACAGTGCTCTGTTGGACGATGCGACAACAACGGAGAGCCCTACAAAGGAGGCCGCCCCGATGAGCGAAAAACAGCAGGTGGCAGCACTAAAAAAAGCTCAAGATGATGCAGCAACATCTGAACTTATGACAAAGCTTCAGTTGACGCGGAAGTATTACATTGAAGCCATCCGCTTCATCGAAGTATTGCATGCTGGTACTCCCGTGGTCTGCCAACTTCTATCTTCGAAGAACAAAAGCGAAGTAATAGAAGCAATGGATTTCTTCGTTGTTGTGGACGCCTACAAAATTGAAGCGGCGAGGACGGGCATACGCAGAATGCTGCGCTTAATATGGACAAAAGGCAACAGTGACGAGGGAAAGGGGGTCCAGACACATCTCATCGACTGCTACCGAGGTCTCTTCTTCAGCGCTCCAGGTTCGTTCAGCGAGAACGACGCGGCGAACTATGTTGCGCGAAACATGATCAGCTTGACGTTCGGTGCTACTCCAGCAGAGCTGACGTCTCTCGAACAGCTTCTGAACACTATGGTCAAGGCCGACCACGTTTCGGATTTGGTAGTGGCCAAGCTGTGGCAGGTGTACGGAGTCCAAAAGCAAGAAATCTCTAAAAATCAAAGGCGTGGAGCGATCATAGTACTAGGAATGCTAGCTACTGCAGACCCCGATATTGTCGTCAAAGAGATGGGAGCCATGCTTCGTATTGGTCTGGGACCTTTGGGACGAGCCGACCTGGCGCTTGCAAAGTATACCTGTCTCGCTCTTCGACGTATGAATCCGACAAAACGTCAAGGCAAGGAAGATTCAACCGCAGCATCAAAGCTTCCCAATGATCATGCCATTCTTACTAAATTAGCCGCTATGACCGAAATCGTCTCTGATAGCAAAGAATGGTGCGTACAATACAAATCCCCAATCCTTGTTATTTGAGCGCTCATAGTGGGGTTAGGTTCGGTGTTGCCGAGCAAGCCATCGGCGCTATATACATGCTGTCAAAGCATCCCGATACACTCTGCTCGGATATACTTCGTAGAAAGACTAGACACATATTCGAGCCTCGAAATGTAGTACAGCCAGCTTCAGAGCCGATGGAGGGAATTGAGGGTCAAAGCGGGCTGCCCTCTCCGCCGCCCGAAGAGCCTGAAAGGAAGCAGAAAGCATCTCTAGCTCTATCTCAACTGCTCTTCATCGTTGGTCATATCGCGATCAAGCAAATCGTCCACCTGGAGCTTTGCGAGCTGGACTTCAAGCGGAGAAAGGCGGAGAAAGAAAAGTCGAAAACAGCCAATGCTTCTCCGGTCAAGTCGGCAGGAGTCGACCAAGATGAGCTGGACCTGATTGGCGGTACTACCGAAGATGATTTCACAGAAGCCATGACGCACATCCGTGAGCGAGAGCTTTTGTACGGAGAAAACTCGCTTTTATCGAACTTTGGGGCCATGGTAACAGAGATCTGTTCGAACAACACGGCCTACCAGGATGAGGATCTCCAAGCTGCCGCAACTCTCTGTATGGCTAAGCTGATGTGTGTCTCGTCCGAATATTGCGAAAAGAACTTACCTTTACTCATCACCATACTCGAAAAATCGCAGAATCCCGTCACTAGAAGTAACGTTGTCATCGCATTGGGAGACATGGCAGTCTGTTTCAATCATCTCATTGACGAGAACACGGACTTCCTCTACAGGCGACTTAATGACAGCGATGCTTCGGTCAAGCGAACTTGTCTAATGACCTTGACCTTCCTCATCCTAGCAGGTCAAGTCAAGGTCAAGGGTCAGCTGGGCGAGATGGCGAAGTGCCTAGAAGATTCGGACAAGCGCATCGCGGATCTTTCACGGATGTTCTTCACCGAGCTCGCAACAAAAGATAACGCGGTGTACAATCACTTCATAGACATGTTCTCATTGCTAAGTGCAGAGAGGGATCTAGAGGAGGATGCTCTGAAGAGGATTATTAAATTCTTATCCTCGTTTATCGAGAAGGTAAGCCTATGCAACGTCACATTTATACCACTTCCAATTAACCCGTTCACAGGACAAGCATGCGAAACAATTAGCCGACAAACTGGCTGCGAGATTGGCCCGCTGCGAGAGTGAGCGACAATGGAACGATGTCGCGTATGCCTTGTCACTACTTCAGCACAAGAACGAGGAGATCCAGAAAACCGTCAGCGGCGGCTTTCAATTCGTTCAAGCTGCTGCTTGATAAGCGTTTTCCTCTACGTGTTTCATGCGTCCGATCGGCATGGGCGTCTGGAGTCAGAGTCAAGGAATGATCATGTATATCTAGAGATACCCTGTTCATGTCGACGGTGGCCGGATGGGCAACTGGGGCTGTGCTTCGTCCTCGTATTCATATGCGGCCGATTTTTCCTTGATCAAGAGCATGAATCTGAAGGCAGAATTACCGTTCAGATAGTATCGATGCAGTCGCTTGCTCCTCAAAAACCCCAAGCGTTCATACAGCTTCATTGCGGCAGTATTGGTGACCTCAGTCTCGAGTGCGATCTGCGTGATTCTCAGCATCAATTAGCATCAGGTCTGGGACTGCAATACCTCATCGGCGTCCCGTTCGATCATGACGTCGAGGGTTTTTCGAACCAATTGCGTGGCAATCCCCTTCCCTCGATAACCCTCTCTAACGGCGAGCATGGCAATATAGCCTCTCATGGGTCCACCTCTATGAGGTTCCAGCTTGGAGATAACAACGCCGATCAGACTTTCATCCTCATCCAAAGCCTATCCTTTGGATCAAATACTGCATACGACCTTTGAAAATCCCGCTTACCATAAAACACAGATCGCCCCATTGGTAGAGGAAGTACCGGTAAACGTAGATGCTGTAAGGCTCGGAGAGATCATCTGATATGATTTGCCGTATGGCGGAAAGATATGTCTTTTCTTTGCTGCTATGATACTGGACATAACGAAGCTCTGCAGGCGCATCCAGGGTAGCTTTGCTCATTTTTCGATATCAATCAATGCGTGTGTCTGAAGCCTCTCTACTTTCCAGTATGTTGAGGATGTCCGGAGCATGTCAAAGCCGTTGACATGGTCAGCCCTACGAGGCGTAGACAGCAACACCGGAACGTGCCGGGAATTTCCGTCGCGAAGCTATTATGTACGAGCTATCTCTCCAATTCTCTACTTCTCCTCGGTCCATTCACCAAGCAGTTTCCTTGAGCTTCAACGTGGCTTATCTAAGACAGGATGTCGACCTTGAGGCGTCGCTTCTTGGGTGACACCTCTTCCTCCACAGAGCCTTCGTGCGAGCCATCACCAGCGAAGGGCGAACCCGTGACCTTGGTATCACATTCACGTCTCAAAGAGCTCAAAGGGAAGAGAGGCAAGCGATGGCAATTTTCTATCTTTGGTTTGGGGGGCCTCTTTGGTCTAGTCGTTGCTGCACTTTTTGCCAATCAGCATGATGTTATCAACCTCGAGGGTCTGGTAGATTTTAATATGGAATCTTTGCTCGATGTCATACCGGCGGGCATTTTAAAGGATGCGAAAGACATAACAGTACGTCATGCCTCGCTTGCAAGGTCTTTGGAGAAGGGCACAAGCTGAAGCTAATCTACAGCTCATGCTCACAGCGACATGAGCGCGAGACCGTCAATTACGATTCCTTCTCCGTCGGCCTACATCTACAATCGCAAGGCGTCCGGGCTTTGCATCCAGTCATTATGATACCGGGCGTCATATCGACTGGACTAGAAAGTTGGGGCACAGAAAAAGAATCGATACAGTATTTCCGGAAAAGGTTATGGGGCAGCTGGAGCATGATGAAGGCTCTGGTGTTGGATAAAGCGAGCTGGAAGAGGCACATCATGCTGGACAAGCTCACTGGACTCGATCCCCCGGGAGTGAAGCTTAGGGCTGCGCAAGGGTTCGGTGCGTTATGTTTTCCGAGCCGTTTCTTCCTAATGTGTATTGCATTTTGAATCGCAAGACTTGCGGCAGGAATAGATTACTCCTGGAACCTGTTACAAGACTCAGATGTGATCACAAAAGAGACCTGCTGACCCCGAAGTCACATAGATGCTGCAGATTTGTGAGGGTCTGTTCGAATGGGGTCGAAGAGCTGGAGCACTGACAGCCATGCAGCTTCATCACTGGGTATTGGATTTGGGGTAAGATTTTGGAGAACTTGGCGACTTTGGGATACGATCCGTAAGTACATCCTGAACGATGTGCGCAGGCAATACTCACACAGCCTAGAACGAATGCATTCACAGCTGCTTACGATTGGCGACTGTCTTGTGCCAATCTAGAGAATCGTGATCATTACTTCACCCGCTTGAGGTCTCACATAGAAACGGCAGTGCTAACATCAGACGAAAAAGTTGTACTCATTTCCCATAGCAGTATGTTATACTTTCCGAGGCAATTTCCCCCAACCACGCCGTCTTATGAGTCGTCAGACATGTCTCAAGAGTCAATCTCGCGATTCAGCAATCTTCTTGAAAGAGTAATGCTGACTCCGAAATCATCCAGTGGGTTCTCAGGTCCTCTTCTACTTTTATCATTGGGTTGAGGCTTCAGGGCACGGTGGGCCAGGTTGGGTCGATAAGTACGTGGACTCTTGGATCAACGTCAGTGGTTCCATGCTTGGCGCTCTTAAAGGCCTTCCGGCGGTCCTCTCCGGTGAAATGAAGGACACGGCGCAACTCAACGCCTTCGCTGTTTATGGTCTGGAGAAGTTCCTCGGCAAGGATGAGCGCTGCGAGATCTTTAGGTCCATGCCTGGCGTTTCAAGTATGCTACCCAAAGGTGGCAATGCGGTGTGGGGCAATAAAACTTGGGCACCTGATGATCAGCCTGATCAGACAGTCAGCTTTGGGACGTTCATTAATTTTAAAGAGAGCAACTCGACACAGTCACCCAGCAATCTCACTGTGGAGGAGAGTATATCATATCTCCTGTACGTTTTTCCAGAGGCCATGCTTCCTCCTTTGAACAAAGTCTTGGGTCTTGAAACATGTCTGTGGAGTGTCTATTCTGTAGATATGTTTCGTGACTCGGTATCTATCTCCTCAAAGGCAATACTGACTCCGAAGTCTTAATGCAGCGAACACAGTGATACTTGGTACAAAGACCAAATTCTCGATCATTACTCTCATGGAGTGGCACATACTAGCGCCGAAGTTGAAGACAATGAGAAGGACCACCGCAAGTGGATGAACCCCTTAGAAACCCGTCTTCCGCTCGCGCCGAACCTGAAGATATTCTGCTTCTATGGCGTCGGGAAATCCACAGAGCGTAGCTATTTCTATAGGGAAGACCAAGACCCTAACAGTAGTCTGAATGTCACGATGGATACATCTCTAACGATGGGGGCTGTCGATCATGGCGTTATTCCAGGAGAAGGTGACGGTACGGTGCCGCTGCTGAGTAACGGCTGTAAGGCACTTTTCAGATTTATGTGTCCCTGTTCGAGACTGCTCTTTGAGTCGCGAGGCATGTTGGAGGGATTAATTACCCTTTTGACACCTTGTTTACTCCTCAAACCTGTCTTAATACCAGGTCTTTATTTACGAATGGTATTGCTGACTCGGAAAATGTGCTAGATATGTGTGCTAAAGGATGGCATCTCAAGAGATTTAATCCAGCCGGCGTGAAGATAAAGGTTTATGAGATGCCGCATGAGCCTGATCGATTTTCACCCAGAGGTGGGCCAAACACTGGTGAATCTGACCCTGTCCTTTGATTTTATCGGATGGTGCGATTACCTCCACCGTTTTTCAATACCCCATGATCCGATGATCGGATGATCCTATCATACATGATCCGATGATCCTATGAAACAAGGACGTTGATTCGCCATGTTCTCGCATTGCTGACATCCATAGGCGACCACGTCGATATCCTGGGTCGGTCCTCACTAAACGATTTGATATTAAGGATTGCAGGCGGCAAAGGCGATCAGATCGAGGACAACTATGTTTCGAACGTCCGAGAGTACTCGGAGAAGGTGAAGATCTATGAGGAATAGGACGAAGCCAGTGATCCGAGCGAAGGGAAGACTTGGACGATCAGCCTAATCTTGGTTGCGCATTTAGACGGAGTTCTTAGGCATAGCTGGCAGACATGGGTTGATACCACGGGATTACCTAGAGCAGCTAAACAAGCTGGGACAAACTTGTGTATAAGAGTATGTAAGAGTATGTCCGTACGACCATGAGGAGAACAGAGCCTTGGCTCAAGTATATACTCTTTTCAATGTAGTTTCTCTGCTGCATGTCTACAAACTCGGAAGGGTTACTTTTAGCGTTGGTGCCATGATGGATCGTGCGGGGCATTCGGATGACCCCTCGTGCCCCTTAAGGTATTGGTTTAGGTCGGAGCTAAGTAAAGTAGGCTAGGCGGCAGGGGTGCCTCGTGCGTCGTAGCTTGGGGGGGTAATAGGCGCCCAATAAACGCCTGATACCGGGGCCTGAGAACCTTCCTCTCGTGAGTCGTGACCACTGGTTACTTACTTTAGATCTCAAGACGCTTAGTTGATTGGTTCCACTTACTGAATATTCAATAACACAGGAAAGAAAGTGTTATTCAACTCTTCAAAATGCTTCTCTTCAACATGTTACACTCTTGACCCAGATAGCAGTACTCTTCTAACACCAGAGTTACCGGCCTCAATGACTCTTACTCGTATTCACAGCACAAACCTCTTTCCGCGTTGGCCTCTCTTCTACACATGCGCTCCATGACAACCCTGAAGGCTTCGAGATTCCAAGATGAACGACAATGCGAGCGTAAACGGCCATGCGGGAGAGGGCAAGCCTGAGATACATACGCAGATATTACGAGCCTTGGAAATCATACACGAGCCCAGATCGTCCAATGCCCACCGCCAAGATGCATCCCGGTATCTTGAAGAGATCAGATCTGATGAACAGGCCCCATATCATGGCTTTGCGCTTGCCTCAGCAAAAGACCAGCCAGCTATTGTCCGTCATTATGGCTTATCCTTGATCGAATACGGTGTACGTCACAGATGGCCAGGGTATACGCCGGGGCAGAGTCAGGCCCTGCGAGACTGGGTGGTGACCCTATCACACAGTACAGCCGATTCCGATCCACCGTACATTACCAACAAGGTTGCCGAGATATGGGTGGAGATAGCCAAGAGAAGCTGGGGTCTGGACTGGCTGGACATGGACGAACTCCTATTTCAGCTGTGGGATGGCTCAATGGTGCAGAAGGCTTTGGTACTCATTATTCTGGAGACTCTGTCGGAGGAAGTCTTTGGGGACGACGACACCACAGCAGCTCTACGGGGCAGTGATCTCAACAGAGCCTGTGTAGAAATCTTTACTCCAGCTAATGTGCTGACGGAGGACTTTCCAATTCGAGAGACCGCTGCTAGTATGAGATATGGTGCAGATGGATGGCTATCTCGCATGGCAGATTTGCTTGAGTGGTGCATCAGAGACGCTAAGATTGATGAGAACCGACGTGCTTGCGGTGTGAAAATTCTCTCTACCTTCAAGTCTGTCATTAGCTGGATCATCCCCCGGTCTTTGGTCACAACCCATGCTTTAAATAGGATCTGTGCTTGTTTGGCAGCCTCAAACGTCCCTCTCCAGCTGGTGAGCAAGTCTGCCGAGTTGGCGCCTGGTAACTATGACATTGACTGAGAAGCCCAGGCCGCTGTCGACTCTTTATACTCTCTGTATAACCGTTCGAGGTTCTCTGAAAATGATTTTAGGGACCTAGTAGGCCCAATGTTCCAAGACGAGACTATCTACTTGCTAAAGCAGCTTTACGAGTGGTTGATCGTTGATCCGAATGACATCGATGAAGCCAAATACCTCCTTCTTAAGAGGTTCTCTGAGGCATATGCCACTCACCAAGGCTCTTTTCATTTGCTAATTATAAGGCAGATGGTATTCAATATTGGCAGACTACTGGAAGAAAGCCCTTCATTCGTACCAGAAGGGAGTAACTGGGGAGGCTTTTTCGACATTTTGCTCAACGTCATGAAGAATCAAAGTCTCCATGTCTCAATTCCGGCTCTACATCTATGGGTGAAGCTGCTTAGTTCCGACAAAATTGGTAACTCTCCTGCGATCATGGCTCTTGTTAGTGATTTGCTCGAAACATGCAGCCAACGCCTTGTACGATTCGAAGACTTACCAGTGGACTCAAGCAATCCAAGCATAGTCTTCCTTAACGAAGACGTTGACACAATGCCCGAAAGACATGCTTTTCTTGGTAATTATGCTAGGTTTTGCAATCAGATTGTTGAGCTCGTCGTTCAGAAACAACCCATAGACGCATTATATCATATTCTTGGACAAGCCGATAAGGTCCTGGATCACGTATATGACGGAGAGCCGCCCTTCCAAGGTATGGAAGCAATCAGAATTGTTCATGAATGCTATTCACATACTGTATAGCTTCAAACTACACGAAGACATCTGTCCCTTACTTGCGGATCGATGCCCAATTCACGGTTATCGAGGCTGCGCTGAAGGGCTGCTTGAAATGGCTGACCGCTTCGGGTAATCCTCAAACAGTAAGTCGATCCTTGGTGCTAGCTGTCAGAATTTGACGTATGAATAGGAGCATGAGCATGAGGTCATGACTTCAAATCTCCAAGTGTGGTGCGATAGGCTATTAGGTCTGATGTTTGAGGTACGCCAGGCATGTCCTACGAAGAATTCCAAACTCACATAGTGAAGGACCCTATGATCAAACAGCGAGTGATTCAACTTGCAGTAGGATTTGCTATAGGACCATTGAAACGTAATGCACAGTTTGCATTGAAGATCTTCGACTACATTCTAGACACAAGGTGTTCTGCGCATCCTGCCTGCCTGGCATATACGGATGCCGTCAAGGATCTCCAAGCTGTCTCCCTTCACCAATTGCAGAGGCTTGCTATGCGATTCCCTGACTATCTTGTTGTAAGTAAAACCTTCAGAACGCTTTGAAATGTGCTTACGTCTCTAGATCATATTCGACGAAGTGGAGAGGAAGGTTATGTCAGTCAGTCAGTCAGTGGCTTCAGATGAGCAGACACGCGCCCGCTACTCCTCAGTGCTCTTCATCATCATGTGAGTTGCTAGTAGCGTGTAACCGGAATTGGAAAGCTGAATCGTTAAGGCATCGTGCGACCAGTGTGGACGTGAGGCCGCGCGAAGAACGACTGGATCAGTTCCTCCAGCCAATGATCGACCAGTGGCAAGACAGAACCCTGAGCAACTCCTTGTCGTCTTTCGAGAATTTTAGCAGACTACTCGGACTCGAAAACCTCCAGCAATATCTATGTTCTCGAGCGGTGAATAAACTGCGAAACTGGTCAGAGCATCCACTCGACGACCAGGGCAAGGCCCTTCAAACACAAATGCAGAATGCACTCGATGTCAGTTTGTATCCTACACTTTACCAGCATTGATGCTTGTGGCTAACATTCTGTAGGCTCTTCCACTACGAGCCACAAAAACCGTAATGAACATCAGCGTGGAAAGACTGGAGCAAGGATCACAGCCCTACGACATGGCATGCCGTCTGTGGCATAAGAATATTCCCCTGATTCTGCCCAATCTACTCAAATTCATCAGGTGAGGAGGCATCGTATAATGAAAGAGACGTGCCAATCACTGACCTCGGTAGTCAATCGCAAGCCTTCCACGATCCGTCCAACTGGCCTGCTCTGCCCCCCGAGATGCAGGATGTTGTTCGCAGGATCCTCACAGACCGTTTTTGGCAAGTTGGCATCTCCCAAGGCAGCCGAGATGAGTTTTACGCCAGCGTTGGAGATACCAAGACAACTCTGGAGGGATTTGCCTCGTCCATCAGAGCTACTGTAAGGACGGTCCGCGAAACAGGATACAGGCTACTGAATTATATGAGCCTCCTTGGAGAGCACTTTTACAGCTTCGCAGAGCTGCCGGGTCCACTAGCTCAGGCTCTGTTCGCTGATGCATGCGCATTGTCCCCACATCAAATGGCTATCCTGGTCGATACAATTCGGCCGATCATCGACAACTGTCCGGAGAAATATCGAAGTCACTTTCTTCCCCCAATTCTGTCGGCACTATTTGAGCAACTCGATCGCAAAGCAAGCTTGGAGTGGGAAAGGATCGAAGAGAGAAGCAAAGCAGCCTCAGAGGATGATGACTTGACGAGCGAGATGAAAGATGAAAGTATACTGCGGCAATTGACAATGGCTTCGGTGATGTTGGTAGTCGGGCTTCTCGAGCCAGCAAGACCGAGTAAGTCGCGGCACGTCCTTTGATTACCTTGATAATAATCCACGATCAATAGACCCCCCAGCTGCTCCAGAAGTACCCGATAAGGTCGATGGCGATGCAGCAGGTCCAAGTGCAAACACACCAAGATCGTTCATACTGCGGACCCCAGAAATACTGAAGCCCGTCATACTATTCTGCACCCATGCGTTGCGTATGCGTGACACCCGAGCATGCTCTCTCATCGCCAAAGTCCTGCGTTCGATAGTTCCTGAGTTTGCTGGCGATGGCCCTGTTGAACCAGATGTACGAGAATTCATCTCCACGGAAGTCCTCAAAGCATGCATTACGTCGTTGCATGACCCCTACTTTGTGGAGCTGCAGAAGGACTTCGCTCAGCTGATTGCAAGCATCCTCATCTCCTACACACCACGCACAGAAAGGCCGAAAGAGATCCTTCTCTCCTTGCCTGAGATGGCCCCTGAGAAGCTAGATCGTGCCACACGCCATCTCTTCAGGGCACAGCAGAATACTCGACAGCAAAGAGCCATCATTCTAGACCTCCTAGAAGGCTTCAGAGGCATTGCCATCCACGAACAGGGCAAGCTTCCAAAGCCTGATGCAAAGAAATTGAGATCGGCTTTACAAGAGAAATACATGACGGTCGACGTCCAAGCGAGCGATAAAAGGGAACTGAGCCCAGATCTAGGAGGAGTTGCTGCTATGTTTGGATAATGGGACACAAGGAAGTGGCGTTTACTGCGCTGCGCAATAGCCTGGCGGCGGGAACTTCTCACGTCACGCAGCGTGCATTGTGCCAATTTAAGCGATACCCACAATTTTCGATCAGGTGGTGGTTTCAAAATTATGTACAAATAGTACATGGGTGGACGCCATGACTCCATCGATCCTCTCCACAGTGATTGTTCTACTTCGTAACGTTCTTGGGCGTGATTGTATACGTAGGGCGAACGAATCTGTAGGCCAAAGGTGTCAGCGAATCCCATGCTCAAAGCCCGGTCACCCCCGGCTCTCATGATTGGAGCCAAGCACACTCCTAGCTCTCCCCCTCCGCCTTCACACCCACGGAAAGGACAAGCAAAGCTCACCTGTCCGAATGATAGACCTTCGACTCCCCACCCATCAGCTCCTTCTCCCTCGCCTTGTCAGCCCACGTCCGCCGCACCAGATCCCGGTCCTCCTCCGCTTGAAGCATGGGTATCAGGTGTATGCGTGCCCACATCTTCTCCCGAGCGAGTTCACTGTACCGGGACCAACGAGTCAGCCCGCTGTAAACCCCATTGACGCCGAATGCCCCTTCCGATCCTTCCTGCTATCCCCGCACAGGGGGGAAGACGGAAAGCCCAAGCCCCAAATCCCGTCTCCGTACGCCCTCGTCGACTGCCGACGCTGGGTGGAAAGGGTCGGAGGAGATGACGACGACGTACTTTTGCTCTCTGATTCCCTTGCCGGTTTTGTAGAGTCCGTAGGTGCAGATGAGGCCCATCGCGAAGAGGTAGTAGGAAGGGCGGAAACCGCGCGCGGGGAGGTTGCGCTGTTGGATGGGACATTCGGTCAGCTTGTTTTTCCTGGCGTCAGTTGGCAATGGGTATAAGCGGTAGGCTGACCTTGTACTGTACGGGCTCGTAGCCGCCGGATGGCGGGAGGTCCTGAGCCATGGCTTTGAGGGTGGTTGAGATGCTCGAGCTACGGTGAACCTGGGAGGAAGGTTGAGGATGGGGCTAGACTGGTTTAGGTATAATCACTCCTGAAAATCAAATGCGACGACTTGAGACGGAACAAAATGCCTTGTCTCTCAGTGATAGAATGCTACTGATTTTCTAATTCCTGCATATATTCCATACCCCAAAGTTTCCGCTAGAATGCAACAAATCTTCATCCTACGTTGTAGAGATGCCGCTGCCCGGCCGCAAAAGTCATAATTGCTAGGCTCTCCTCCAAGACTCGAGGAGAGTAGTATGCAAGAGACGTATTCCCAATTGAGTTGTGGATTTAGTTGAATTATGAAGATACTCCCATCCCGTCTTTGCTTGATGGGGGGACGGGCTAAGAAGAGATGACCGAGCAGGAACGCATGATGGCGTGCAAAGCACTGGAGGTGTATGCAGGTTCAGTTGAGTGTCATGATCATAATGTGAGGAGAATCGTAGATCATCTGGAAAGTGCAGGCGAGTAGGAGGACCCCTGTATCATATCTGTGAGTGACGATTGAGCCAAAGGGGCAGCTTATGAGGCATATCCGATGGTGGAAGGGCCACTGATGGAGCATTTGGGTCAGTACTATAACAGCGGCATAGAGAATATCGGCCACCAGGCCTCTTTCGTTTGGTACGGACCTCGGTGGGCGCAAGCTGCTACAGCACCTTCGCGCCTATAGAAAGCGTATACAATTGAGGGAGGTGTCCGAGTGCCCTGCATTACCCATTTCCCAGGACTGCGAACCAAAGAGGTCGTCGATACTTTCTGCGACCGCGATGGACATTGCTCCTATCATCCTGGAGACAGCAAGTATCCAACATCCTGCACCAAGTTTCCAGGGCTGCAAGGCAGTGCTCGTGCGAGGGAAGAGCATGTCTCAATGGCTCAAAGGGCACGAAGAGCAATTGCACGAGCAAAGCTGGGATTGTTACCGCCGAGGTGCTATCCGGAAATGCAACTGAAAAGTACACTCCATCTCGAAGCCGAAAGGTACGGAAGCCTGGCAGCTGTACGATCTGTCGAAATATCCTGGTGAGATCGAAGACCTCGCTGAGAAGTGACCGCAGAAGCTCGAGGCGCAGCTGGGACACTGGGAGAAGTATGTCACGGATTGCGGTGTGAGAGCGTTGTAGCCAGGGCTGGGAAGGTATAAGATGGCTCCCAAGGATTAAGTGGCCTAGACGTGACCTGTTTGCTTAGAAGTGATATAAAAGGTTGATTTTGACTGAGCCTTTAGGAAAATGCGTTGATGGAGTATCATCGAATGAGTGCTTAGCTGAGCGGGACATTGCCAGTAGTTCAGTCAAATTGTAAGTCCGGCGATTGACCAGCGGGGAGGATCGGTCAACAATTGCCACCATTTTTCATTCTTCATTCTCATTTTCGAGAAATGTTCAATCTTGCACCGCAACTACTTTTTCTGACCGAGTATCAAATGCCAAATTGAAGACTGAAGAGTAGCAATATGATCAATACATGATGATCAGGCTCATGCTTCCTTCCCACGGTAGTCAGCATAGCTATGCACTTGCCCAAAATTACCAATCCAATTCAATTCAACTCAATTCAGCGCTCGTCATTTCCCATTCGGACGGTCCCTAAGTCGGTGCCGGCGATGTTTCCTCCCCTTAGTTACCATGTAAAATCGCTTACCTCACCTCACATTCGTCTGTCCCACTCCATCATACAACCACCATTATCTTTACCCTTGAGAGTGTCTTCAATCCTTCATATTCTTTCCACACCATTTCTTCAAACGACTGCGTGCATCATCTCCCGTCTGTCGCTTCCATCATGGCTTCTCCCGAGCGTGCTCCTCGTCTTCTGATGGTCTCTAACAAAACTCCTGTCGTCATCAAGCTGTCCACGGAAGGGTCGTACAGCTTTTCTCAAGGCTCAGGTGGTTTGATAAGCGGTGTAAGTGGCCTATCGCAGACAATACCATACACCTGGTACGGCTGGCCCGGCCTAGAGATTCCTGAAGCAGAGACTGCTGCCCTGTCCAGTCGGTTGAGAGACGACTTCGCATCTGTACCAGTCTTTCTCGACGACGAGCTTGCAGACCGCTACTACAACGGCTTCGCGAGTAGGGTTCCCCTAGCCTGACACACACGGACATGAGCTGATCGCCTTTCACTAGATTCCATTCTATGGCCTATCTTCCACTATCACCCGGGTGAGATGAACTTCAGCGAGGATGCCTGGTCAGCATACAAGAAGGTCAACCGGATATTTGCTAAGACCGTTGCCAAAGATGTGAAGGACGGAGATATTGTCTGGATCCATGACTTCCATCTTTTCCTTGTGCCATCCATGCTGCGAGAGGAAATCGGTCCCAATGTGAACGTCAAGATTGGATTCTTCCTCCACACGACCTTCCCTTCCTCGGAAGTCTACCGCATTCTGCCTGTCCGGAATGAGATTTTGCTTGGAGTCTTGCACAGCGATCTGATTGGGTTCCACACAAATTCCTATGCACGCCACTTTTTGAGCAGTTGCTCTAGCGTCCTGTAAGCATGATTTTTGGGCAAAGAGGAAAATGATGGCTAACAAGCAACCAAGTGGTCTGCCTACGACGAGTCGAAACGTTACATTCCAGGGCAGGATCGTAAATGTTGGGACATTTCCTATCGGGATACAACCAGAGCGATTCACTCAAACTCTTGCCGAGACCAAAGTTCAGGAGCGGATAGCAGCGCTCGAACGCGAGTTTAAGGGACGCAAGCTCATGGTTGGCGTCGATCGGTTGGACTATGTCAAAGGACTTCCGCAGAAGCTTCGGGCTTTGGAAGTGCTTCTGACAAACCATCCCGAGCTTGTTGGGTCTGTTGTCTTGGTACAGATTGCTATTCCCACTCGTGGTGAAGTGGAAGAATACCAAAATCTTCGTGTGCTGGTCAACGAGCTTGTTGGTAGAATTAATGGAAAATTCGGTGAGCCAGCCTCGCTTTGGCCGTTCCCTCAGGGATAGCGCATGTCCTAACATTCTACTCTTCTAGGAACGATCGAGTATACACCAATTCACTTCATGCATCAGTCCATGGCTTTCGAGGAGTTGTTAGCTCTCTACGCCATGTCGGATGCTTGCGTCATTGCATCAACCCGCGATGGGATGAATCTAGTATCCTTTGAATACATCGCTTGCCAACAAAAGCGCCATGGATCATTGGTACTTAGTGAGTTTGCCGGCTCAGCTCAGAGTCTCACTGGATCCCTTATTGTCAATCCGTGGAACATAGACGAGATGGCAAGGGCCATGCAAAAAGCTCTTACTATGGAAAATTGGGAACGAGCCGAACGGTTCGAGCAGATGAACGGCTATGTTCAGAACAACACAAGGTATGTTCGAGCGTCTTCGTCGACCAATGCCCATACAGCGAATACTGATCAAGCCGTTGTAGTGCTTTCTGGGGTGCGTCATTCATCAAAGAGCTGAAGAGCGTTGGGGAGGAGCCAGAACGCTTATTGAAGTTCGGCCGGGATCCTCCTCCGATCAAGATAGACTGGAGGAGCTATGACGGTGAAGCGTGAACTATGAGGCCTGGAGGTTTCACAACCCTGAGTTATTATTATAGACAGCGGCATTGATAGACAGCAACATTATTAGACAGGGTCATTCCTCCTCTCCTTCATGAACACCAGCCGGACCAAGACGGGAAAGGCGCTCGCCCACGTGATTTAGGGCTGTTCTCTGTTGGCAGCGGCGAGTTCCGTTCAATGCACCATACTCCATACACATTGCGCCATTCGCTGAATGCAATGTCAATGTCTCCTGAGCCCCACTGCCCCCATATCTTTATTGCGACTGCTTTTTCTCCCATTCCTCAGGTGTGAAGCACTTTGGTGTCCAGGCATGAATAGCTGCAATCTCACTCTTCAAGGCTGAATTGACGAGTCGATGTCGTGCGAGACTATTCTTCTTCTCAAAGAGGGGTGAGACGATCATGGCTTGAAACATCTGGCCACAGCCGCCTGAGAAGGGTCAGCACGAGCAGACCATGCGCTTCTCTGGGCATATTTCTCTGACCTGACATGTCTTCTATGTCAACATGTTTCGCTTCTAGCTTCTCGGTTATGGTCCTCTGCAAAGACTCGGTGGTGACGCCGGATGTGTTGGCGACGCCCTCTGCTTGGGCGTCGGTTTCCGCCGCCGACGGAGCGCTCATCTTGGCGTACGAGTACGATTTGGGGAACGTCGCGCGAAGACCGCCAAGTCTCTGACCTGAGGAACGAAGACGTACAAGACTGTTGAGGCGCTGCATGAATGAACAAGATGCGATAGGAAGACCACCTCCAATTGTCAGACGTCTAGAGATACTATGCGGAATGAGGTAAAGTAACCTCAGTCTCACCCCTTATCAGGTCTAGGGTGACCGCCGCTCTACCTATTCAACCTACCTTACGTGCTTAGGTGGATTGAACACGGCAAAGCGGCGGCGCTAATACGGAAAGGAGTCGTCAATGGGGCACGGCGTCAGTTCACAAGATACTAAGAAAATATTCTAAACCCCTTGACATCCCCTTGCTGTCTTTTCACCACATCCATTCTTAAGTAACCCTCTGCTCAAACCCCCTTCAATGTTGCGCTTTGAACGGCGGTTCGCACTAAACTGTTCCAATAGAGTTCTTAGCTTTAGCGCTGCGCTGATAGGCTAGAGCAAACAGTTGGGCAAGTAGGCTGAAAGCCTTGGAAGCCAAATGCTGGATCGTGTCATTGCTGCCACTGAAATCGGGAGTAACAAGCACCCGGCCTGGGAATAATTCCCTTCGTGCAGACGTTGTTGCAAGGAAAACGATGCACGTGTCACCACGTGCATCAAAAGCTGCAGAAGAAATTGCGTTATATGCATAGCGACGTTTGAACGTGCTTAAGCAGAAGACTAGGCTCGTCACCGTCACCACCGGGATGTTTGCGAATCTTTGCGGCGAACTCGGCGAGCTCCTTCTCGGTCATCGATTATCTGTCTTGCTGTTTCCTGCTTTCATGCGAACTTTCACCAAGCTTTTCTTAGAATATTGCTCTTTTGATTTGGTTCCCCTGTTAGGTCAGCAGTATCTATCGCAACATACTCAACGAACTCACCACTATGGTGTTGGCAACGTCTGGCGTCTTCGTGTTCTCTAGGCTACTTGCAGCCTCTGGTCATACAGGTACCTTCGCGGGCCTTTTACTGCCGTACGTCGCAAGTCTCAACATGTTTAACCTATTCCAATTCCGATTTTAGCACATTTTTCGAACAGGGACCGCAACGTTTGGAAAGACACATCTCGGCGTGCTTAAGCATTCCCAGCTTCGGGCCTCGTGTACTGCAACCACTACAGATTTTCATACGACATTCTGCGCCGTGATCTTTCCATTCCGGTTTTGGCACAGACCTCGAACACCGCCCGCAACGCTTCCAAAGGCATACTTCTTTAATGACGATTTGCATCCGCTTTGTTTGCAGAGACCACTTTACATGCTCGACAGATGATCGCTCCTGTATGCTTCCGTACATAGCGGCCCAGTTCTTCGCTCTTTTTGAATCTTTGCCGACAATTGGGTTACTCGCAACCCGAACCGAGGTTGCAATTTTTACGATGATCGGCATACTCTGTCTTCAGAATGGGCTTATTGCAACTTACGCACTGCGTCCATAGACAAAGTTTCTGGTGTCGCGATGCATTCGTGGTGTTTGTAAGTTTGCAAAGTTCACATGTGATCTTTCCCCTGTGTTCTCGCACATGCTTGTTGTATTGGCTTGTTTCTTTAAACGTGCTTCACGGCTGGCCACTCACAGACCCACTCCGGGTTCGAAGGTCCTGCGCCCCATTGCTCTTGCTTGTATGGTCCCAGGTCTTTCATGCCTTGGAAATGCGTGTTGTTCTCATGTTCCCCCACAGCTCTCTGTGGAAACGGTCCCCTCACAATAGCGGCATCTGAATGTCATCGGGCCCGTTCGAACCATCAGAAATGAAGTCTTCAACTTCTTGAGCGTTCTCGACCGCGTAGTCCTGTAAAAGCTCTTGCTCCGATACGTTGTCATTGGGAAGGTTAGCGCTGTCCTCAGGTCGCGCAGCAATTCGGAAATAAGGTCAGCAAATTGCTGATATTCGTCGAAGACTTTTGTGGAGTGTCGATGGTTTTGCCGCCTTGTCGGACCGTTTCCATGCTTATTGGGACTATTCTTACCATCCTCAGTGGGGGTTTGATGCAGAGCAGGATGGAAATCCCAGTGTGACACGAGGCTGCCGAACCTCGGTACTTCGTTGCCTTTAGGTGTTGCCACGGCAGTTTTCGAAGACAAGCAATCTGCCAAAGCAACGACCGTAAGGATGCAATTATACTGGGGTTCCGAGCAACGATGCAAGATCGCCGTCCCACAGCTGACGGTGCGTTAATGTTGGAGCTCGGGTGTCATCCTGTGCTCATGCCTGGCAAGCGTCGTTGCTGTGGAGGAAGAGTGTCCGAATCGGACGGTGTAAGACTTTTCCTTTGAGCGTGTCGATGATCTCTTAGCCGAGAAGGTAACACAGAAGTCAAGAAGGCTGGACGCGGGTCCGGAAAGCGCGAGATTCAGGCTTTCCGGGTTACTTGATCACTTTGCAGAGGGCGATCAGCCTTATCTGAGGGGCACATCCGTACCAATGTTGATCTGGTTTGCAGAAGTCAGCAGGTGTCGCCGCTTACAGAATTCTAGTCTCCGGGACATGACTTGAGGTGGCAAATCTCCGGGCCGGCATAGAACTGGAAGTGTTGACCACGAAGAACGCTACCACAACTGATTTAAGATCTTCACCTTGCTAGAAAACAGCGTTTGAGGTTCAATGTCACGACCGATCTGAGACGGCAGCTCTTGTACCATTGGTCATGGTGGCGGCCTTCTAAAGGATCGCCGCAAGCTTTGGAAGTTGGAAGCCTTGGCTGTGAAGAAGTTTGAACGTCGAGAGGAAATATGCACATGTCGCCTTCGGTCAATCCTGACACGCGGATGCATTCTCGCAGAAGGCGTATGCAGCATCGTTAGCATTGATACACCACAGTCCGACTTTCATGACGGTCTCATTCTCCGCGTCCGACAATGTCAGAGCCCCCATGATCTACTCCGTGTTACGCCGCTTCGTCGACCAATTGTCCCTTTGACAAAGTCTTGTTCAGCATGACGCCGCTGATAGTGGACCGCAAATATTCTTGAATTAATATCGAGACGGCATCTGCGGAACCTCCTCAGAGGTTTCCTGGGCTTCGGTGCGTGAAATGGATGTCGATCATTGTCATTAATTCTATCAGCCAAGAAGGCACTTATCTAGCCCTATGTGCCTCATGACTATCCGATGGTCTGCACATGAGTGTCGTTGCTTCAGGATCTCCACACACATATCCTGAAGTACCTTGTATCGAAAGTCTCAAGCTTTCGCCAGATCATTTCCCTCCTCCAATTTCGCAAGTCCGTACTTCTTCAAACGGATAGCATTGATGTTGATGAATCCGGTTGTGTCCACAGGGTCGAAATTCAATACGTCCATCGAGGACTCGGACTCATCATACAGCTTCTCAGTCTCTGAGCTTCGGCCCATTATGTCACAGTTGCCCTTGTAAAGTCGGACCTTGACCTCGCCATTCTATAAAGCATGAGCTGATGAGATTAAAACGACGCGGGGAAACTTACGACGCGTTGCTGAGAGAAGAGAAGACTGTTCTCTACGAACCTGTGCAGAGTCCAAGTCAGTCTTATCAGTTCCGGAGCGGTGATCGAGAATAGAGCATCCTAAAATGGAGGGAAAAGTGCGTGGCGACTTACTCTCTTTCGGGGCTGAAGTAGCTGCATCGCGAAGAGTCAGCGATGAAAATGATTACTTGATGATTATAACTTACAGTCCATTGTATAAGATCTCAGTCCAGCTGCTAGGATAGAAGTCAACTCTGGAAACCTGTAAAAGCCCAGAGGCCAGCGAGGACGTACTGGGTAACAAATTGGTCGCGAAGACTTCGGACCCTACCATCAAGGACGAGCCCCTCGAGGTCAAGATGCGCCCAACGTAAAATTGTCATAGCCGGCGAGTCGTAGCACCCTCTGGATTTGATTCCGATGAACCGATTCTCGACTATATCAATCCTTCCTGTAGTGACGATTAGTAAAGGCGAGAAAATTTGAGGAGGGCGCCTTTGTTACCGATGCCATGCTTTTTGCCAATGGTATTCAGAGCATTGAAAAGATCCAAACTATCCGTCCATTCCTTGCCTTCTGAGCTGACCTTGACAGGGACGCCCTTCTCGAAGCGAACGGTGACCTCCTGCGGGGTATTTGGGGCCGTCAAGGGGTCATCGGTGCGTGTCCACATGCCGTCAGGAGGAGGTCGTGATGGATCCTCTAGTTGTCCGCTCTCATAGCTGCAATGAGCTATGTTGTCGTCCCTATCTTGAGGTCAAATGATCGTCTCCTGGGACAACAACAAAAGACCATAGAGTGCAGATGTGATGGAATGAGCGTCGTCATCATACTTACATTGAGTATGGCTTAGCCTTAGTAGATGTGACGGGAATGCCCATCTTCTCGGCGTAGTCAAGTAAATCGTTACGGCCTTGGAAACGCTCGAAAAATGCCGGGTCTCTCCACTGACGTAGTTCTTGGAATCAGTATTACCACTCTGAAGTTGAATTGAAGAGGAATGTCCCAAGGATGAAGCAAAAGGTAGAGGGATACTTGCCGGTGCAATAATTTTTATGCCTGGAGCAAGGGTATGGAAAGCTAGTTCAAACTTCGACAGTCAGTACTGTTATCGTTGAATCGCCATCTTCAAAAAGATGTTGACAGACAACAACTAGCTTCAAATACTTACGCGCACTTGGTCGTTACCCTTTCCTGTACATCCTGTGAAAGGTCTCAAAGTAAGCGGTGGTCTTCTAGCAATGCTCTTAAGAGCGCCGAATCCAGACACAGAGGGAAAAAAGCTGGATATTTACCATGGCTCACGATGTCACAACCTTCCTCTTTGGCAACCTGAATCTGAGCTTTCGATATCACGGGTCGAGCAAGACTGGTACCCAGCAAATATCGGCCTTCGTACTGGGCATTGCACTGGATAGCTCTGAAACACTTTCAACACGTCAGGAGGTCGCATCAGCTTAAGATGAGCGATGGATCCGTACGAATTCTTCAATGAACTCTTTTCGAACATCTCGTATGATTAGTTTTTCCGCACCGATTCTGAAAGTCTTGGTGTCAGTATCTATATTGCAGACTAACAAGCCGAGATAAGCCCTCGGGATTGAAGGAGGTCTCGAAATTGCACTTACTTCATGGCTTTCTCCCTCACCGCCGCCCAGTCTTCCTCCTGCCCGACATCGCCCAAAAAGCATACGACAGTATACTGTGCCTCAAGGAGATACTTTAAGATGCAGGAGGTGTCAAGCCCACCACTGTAAGCTAGACAGATTTTCTGTTTGGGTGCCATTTTGGACAGTGCGTGAGGGTTTTCCAAACGACTGTTGCACCGGCGAGTGAATAGCCAGCTACCAGGATGTTATAGATCTGTTGCACTTGGGGGCGTTGGTGGGATAAGGATGTTTTTTTTGGGAAAGGTAGGAACTTTGCAAATTTTCGTGAACTTGACTTTCGGCGTGGGTGTCGAGCCGACGATAAGCGGCTTAACGCCGGCTTGGCATTATCTCAATATCTGAAGGCAGAACAGTCTTAGAATATATTAAAGTAGGTACAACAGTCTTAGAATATATTAAAGTAGGTAACTATTATAAGTCCTAAGCGTGAATATTTGATCTTAATATTAATTTACTTAATTTGAATTAATTTTTAAAAAAATCATATTTATATTTAAAAAATATATATCAAACTCTAAATATTTTCTTATATAATTAAAATACATATATTATATAGATGTGACGAAGTAACTCGAGGCAATGGATTGTAGCGTGCCTTTCCCGGTCGAAGCCTTTATGTAAGCTCAGGCACCCTATGCGGCAAGAACCATGAAGGCAGTGAAGGCATGGACGGAGCAGGGTCGTTGAATGCGTTGAATGGGTGGTACGCAGAGCGGAGAAAAAGAAATCAACATCAGTTGATCACCTTATATATGATCAAGTAATCGTGCCACGCTTTGAGCTCGTCCCTCGCTAAGTGCTACTCGGCCATACGCAAAACCCGTTTTCACATTGAATTTACGCCACCACAACAACCAGTATGTGTGATAATCGTAACTTAGCGAGGGACGAGCTAAGTGCATCGCAGGATTAGCGCTTTTGAGAAGAGGTTTTCTATAGCGAGAGTTTCAGAGAATACTAGGAGCGTAAGAATTGATAGCAAAATCTTCTCCGTCAGAGCTCTCGTCGTGGAATTATATTGGAGGGTTATGATTCTCACGATCCCCATTATTGAATACTACACCGATAGTATTACCCACAGGGGGAATTTACTTTTAAACGGCATCTGGACTAGACTGTGCGAGAGACGACGCTTCTAGGTGTTCAAACGTTAGGGGTGGGTGAGTAGAAGGACGAGCAGAGGGACGAGCGTTGAGTGCTCATTACCTAGGTAGAGTGCGACGTAGAGAACCACCAGGGTGGGGTACCGTATCACCTCCTGCTTACCCTCAGAGCGGTAGCCTCGAGCGAGCCCTGACAGAGCTGGGGGCACATTTCTGTCGTTTTGTATTGCAAGAGTGAGAGTCGAAGAGTGATTATCACGGAGTGTGGGTGTCGCGTCACCCCCTGCTCAGCTACCTCACTCGCTAAAGCGGCCACGCCCGGGGTACATGTGCTGCCAAGACTTGGGATTCGCTACCACTACCAGCAAAATTTACCCGCGTCGATCTGTTGGGCCTCGATTCATTTGCTCCGTCTGGTGACCTGCTTGTTGACTTTGCGTTCATGCTTCGCAGAGCCTTTGTCCAAGCAGCAAAGATGAGTACCTATACCACCGATAAGGCCTCTCCCTTCACTCGCGCTGTAATCAGCTCCATGAGAAAGCTGTATGATCAGGCGCGTCCCGTTTAGCGCGAGCGATAGGCTGATGCTTTGTTTATTTGCAGATATCCTGAAGCATTGGCTGATCAGAGCTTCGATAACACTGGATGTTGGTCTTTTTAATTGCCGTCCGTTCGAAAACATGCCCTGACAAGATGCAAAGTACTCCTAGAGGCCCCCTTTGATCCCATAAGACGTCAGATGAACTCTGTCCTCCTCACCATCGATCTTACGAAAGCGGTTGCCGATGAGGCTATAGAGCGGAAGGATTGCGTCGTTGTTTCATACCGTATGCTCGTCTAGGGACATGGCTCTCAAACAACGCTCTGACTGAGTCAAGATCCTATCATATTCAAGGGCTTCAAGGCTCTTACTCTGGCAGACACCCAGCAACAGTCCCTGCTACGGCTCGCACTCGAGGGTATAAGCGTACGGCAAGCCTTATCAGTCATCACCATGCTATCGCTGATACTAGTGCTATAGGTCTATAGCCCACATACAGCGGTTGATGCAGCTCCGGGAGGCCTAGGCGATTGGCTTGCGGACATCGTTACAGGAACCCTACCAGGGCCGGAGCCGGAGACCCATACCGCAAGGCCAGAGGGTGGAATCACAGATGCCGCAGGCAAGGATGCAGACGGTAAACCGGGGGGAGAAGAAGTGGGAGGAGAAGGGGGTGGCGAGGAGTCAGCAGACAGGGAGAAAGCCCCGGGGCCAAAAGCGAAGAAACGACCTGGCCGACCCTCGATGGGCCCACGCCAGAGCACATACTCAAAGCCAACCTATCCAAAGCCCGCTGAGCTCGACAAGACAGATCTTTCGCCCTCAACGACGGGTCATTCACGCAACGTAATCCATGCGATCAAGGGCGTTGAGGGCTTTGGCGGAGCGGGCATGGGCCGATTGGTAAAGTTCAAGGAGCCTCAACCCCTCACTCATCTCATCGAGCGCATTGCCCATGGCGTTGGCTCGCCGAAAGGATTCCCCGTTGCCATACCTCAGACACAGCAGGTCGAGGATATCCAGATACGCTCTGTCGGCATATGCGCTGGCTCCGGTCACTCTGTCCTCAAGGATGTGGATGCGGATTTGCTCTTCACTGGGGAGTTGTCGCATCATGACGCGCTGGCTGCGACGGAGAAGGGGAAATGTGTGGTCACACTGTTCCACAGCAATACCGAAAGAGGCTTCCTGAGCAGCGTGCTGAAAGACAAGCTTACAGCGGTGCTTAAGGAAGAGTGGAAGAAAGTTAGGGAAGAGGTGAAGGGGGAGGTCGACACTAATTGGGATTTAGCGGAGGAGTGGGAGGACGCGCTGAAGGATGAAGATGTGCTGGTAGAGTGCAGTGAGAGGGACAGGGATCCATTTGGCATAGTCATATTGCAGAGTTCACCGCAGGTGGGAAAGCCTTTGTCGGACGGATCATGAGAGCTTTTGCGAGGCTTTCTATTGAGCTTTTTGGATCTCTAGCTGTTTTGCGACTCAGCTGTAAACACATGATACCCTTCTGTTTCATGCAATTCATTACTCGTATCGGTCCTTATTATATCACGTCTCCCGGTGCTGTCCCGGTTCAGTGAATGCGATCTGATGATGATGTGGCGCTCAGAGGTTGCCGAGGACCTTCTCAGCAGCGGACTCTGTGTATGCAAGTTAGTATCTGACTTGAGTGATATTTTCTGAAGCTTTGTCCAGCTTACCATTGACTCCGGTGTTGTCGGGCTCCACGTGAGCGCTCTTCACTTTGCCATCCTCAACCACCAATGCGTAACGCTTGCTACGATCCTGGCCAAAGACAGCAGCACTCTCAAACGAGAGGTCAAGGTCCTTAGTGAATTGACCGGACGGATCACCAAGAAAGCGGACCTGTGTTTGAATATTAAAATAAGTTGGGAGCGGATGACAGGATGAGGGTAGGATGTCATACATCAGTCTTGGAGGTTGGGTCAAGGGTTGCACCCCAGGCTTTCATGCTAAACAGGCATCAGCGTCCAAAACATCACTGGAAAGGACACAATGCACAGGACTGCCTACACAAATGGGTCATTGACCGAGACAACAAAGACCTTGCCGGCATTCTTGAGCTTGTCGCTGCCGATGTAGCCAGGGATATGAGTGGCCGAGCAAGAAGGGCCTATTAATCGGTAAGCGTAAGTCTCACGACTAGGGAGCTATTGACTATGTTCAAGCTTGGTTGAGGAGTGTACTTACTGAAGGCTGCTGGCACGCCAATGATGAGGCCTTTGCCGGAGGCGAGCTCTTTGGACAGGTTGACCTTATCACCAGGGGAACCTTCGACGAGGTCGACATTGGGGATGGAATCACCGGCTTTGACCATGTTGGCGAGTGTTTGATGGAAGGTTCGGATGGGTTTGTATGTTGATTGAAGAAGTGTTCGAGCTATGCTTCGAGTGCTGAGCATAGATATGTCTATGTTTGTCTTGAGTGGTTGATAGGAAGGAAAGACAATGACCCCTCGGACGCAAGGGTGGGTTATCGTTCTGCTTCCGCAGTTCCGCCGAATTTTTGCCGTATGCGTAAAGAATAAAATAGTCCACCGTACTCTTACCAGCTTAAAGTACCAGCTTACCGGGAGCAGTCGAGAACCCAAGCACGCAAGATCTAATCCTCAGTCCAAAGCCGGGTCGCAGCTCATCTCTATGGGTCTACAGTGATTGACGGGTTACGGTAGGTCCATTCCAAGATGAAGATTGCTCTCTAGCTTTGCCTCAAAAAAGGCTCCATGTCGAGATCGGGCATACATCCAAGGTTTAAAGCTTTGACCGGGACACACGGTGTGAGGGCTAGGCCTCCCAAATATGCACGAAATGGAAGCATTCAATCACCGACAGAGGATTACCAACCGCTTGATACCAATCTATCAAGTCCATCGATTCCGCCTTTCCTCTGATTGGATGAATACTTGGTACTTGAGTGAGATGCGTGGGAGGGAAATTTAAGCAAGGGCGAACATGGAGAGTGTGTATTGCGGCATGAGATGGACATGTTATGTAAATTTGTAGTCCTCTGATATCTTACCTACCTACCTACCTTAGCTAGATTCAGCGTTGAATCAAATGGAATACTGCTACCGGCAATTCGACGCGTGAAATGACATGGGGAGAGCGATAATTCAAGCCTCGAAAGATATCCTGGCCGGTGCAATCCACAATCAATTGATGCATTGTTGATGCATTATTGATGCATATTGATGCAGCAGGACTCTTTCAGGAAGCGATTGTAGAAATCGTTGCGCTCATGAGTCGTGTAGATACACACGCACTGAATGAAAGTGATTCAATCGCCACCTGCCCCGCGCTCACGCTTGCCTACTTTAGCTCTCGAGCCTAATTGTCCACCATTATTCTCCCAGATGCCGGGGACAGAGAAAGCGAGAGAGGGCAGTTAATCACCATCCCCATCGCCCATTACTTTCCCTTCGCCAATCCAGTCGATCCAATGCGCTTCGACGATAACATGGACGACCGGCAGAGTATTGGCGGTGGGAGCGCAAATAGCTCCAGCGATTTTGTAAGTTACTTCTTCGCCTATCCACCATCCTGACAATAGCGACCTGCTCACTCGTGTCCAGGTGCGAAAGCTTTACAAGTACGCCTGCCTTCATACAATCATCCCTCCTCCCATCAGCATCATGCTAATGACACGATAAGAATGCTGGAGGACCCGTCATACTCTCAAGTCGTCCGGTGGGGCGATGACGGCGGAAGCTTCGTAGTACTTGAGGTGCGAGCAAATGGACACCACCCACCAATCGCTCTAGCTGACTCCCTGCGCAGAATGAAAGGTTCACCAAGTCTATCCTTCCCAAACATTTCAAACATAGCAACTTCGCCAGCTTCGTGCGCCAGCTCAACAAGTATGACTTCCACAAGGTGCGACACAATAATGAAGAGAGTGGGCATTCTCCGTACGGCTCAGGTGTAAGTGGACTATATGAATACTGCGTCTGCTTCACGGCTGATGATCCTAGGCCTGGGAATTCAAGCATCCTGAGTTCAAGGCGAACAACAAAGATTCGTTGGACAATATCCGGCGAAAAGCACCAGCACCCCGGAAACCACCCCAGGTCGTCGAAGAGGCAGCTCCAACCCAACAAATGGATCTTGTGAACACTCAATTAGTAGCCACACAACAGCAACTTCAACAGCTCCAGCAGCGTTATGAGGAACTCAATATACATCACTCAATACTTACGCAAGAGCTAATGAATGTACAAAAGACGGTTGTCAATCATGAACACGTAATGCAAAATGTAATGAGCTACCTGCATTCTGTAGATGCAAGGCAAAGACGGGATAGCAAGATCGGAGGACCGTTCGCACACACCGTGGACAACAACATACCGCCAGCTAACGTGGACCCGGCACAGCAGCAGATTTCTCCCCTGGAGGACGAGCCCGCTTCGCCATTGCAGCATGCAACAAAATTGCTGCACGATCTCAATGCCGATGTCCAGTTGAACTACAAGAATTTGGAGCACATGTCGGATCTGCACAATCGGAATGGCGTGATGTCCACTCCACCTCCAGATGGGTCTCGCGTTCATGCAAGGGCGCCAACATCCGCTGGCTCAAGCTCATCAATGGATTATGCCAAACTCCATGGAGATTCAGAAGCCATAGTCTATCCTGTCGGCCAATCGAACGGTATCGATCCAATGTACAGCGAGCATATCCACAATATACCATATCCCATGCCATCGAAAGAAAACGAGGCCGTAGACTCGCGAATGTCCGCGCCAGCAGCCCGGAAGAAGAGTACGCAGGTCGATCCGGGCTGGGTTAGGGCTCCTCAAATATTGCTCGTTGAAGACGACCCAACCTGTCGAAGGATTGGAAGCAAATTCCTGTACTCTTTTCGCTGCGCGATAGACAGTGCTGTGAGTTGTTGTCGAAAGTGGATTTTCTTGGGAGATGCTGATGGTTGTAGTTCGATGGGTTGGAGGCCGTCAACAAAATGAATGCAGGTTCAAAGTATGACTTGGTGCTAATGGATATAATTATGCCGAACCTTGATGGCGTTTCCGCAACACATTTGATACGGCAATTTGATCACACCCCAATCATAGCCATGACTTCAAACATACGCAGTGATGATATCTCCATGTACTTCCAACACGGTAAGTAGTCTGCTTGTCAATTCAACACAGAGTCTTGACGAAGAGACAGGTATGAACGATGTCCTCCCCAAGCCTTTTACCAAGGAAGGTCTTTTGAACATGCTCGAGAAGCATTTGGGGCATTTAAAGCACATGGCAGATGGGATGGAGCCGATGGCGCCTCATCCAGGGTCTTCGATACCCCAAAGTTCCGCTGCACAGTCTTTAAAAGACGAAAGCTCTCCAGCTCAGTCACCGTCAACTATATCGAACTGGCAATCGCCAGGACAATTTACTGGCATCTCACCTACTCACGCAGCCACACCACATCAGTTCATGCACCCTATGCATGCCGGATATAGTCAGGAGCAAAGTCCGGTCCAATTTCAAACTCCTCACACGCCTCTCGGTGCTCCACGGCAGATGCAGCACCGAAGACAGATCTCAGAGATCGGAGGTGAAGACATATCGAGTGATCCCAAACGTCAACGGATGTACGACCAGTCAAACCCTCTAGGAATGAACCCAATGCACCCAGGCCGGCCCCGATAGCACAGTGTGACCCTTGTCCGTGAACAGCTTTCTGATTTTTGCAAAGTTGCATCGATGTTGTCTTAAAGATTGCGATGGCCATTTAACAATGATATGTTGCATATATTAGCAGATGTGCAAAAGTGATAAAAAGGCGATTTTCGGGGATCCTCTAAGGCTTTCGTTTGGCAGCGTGGCGTGATGAGTCTGGGTCTTCATTTCTGTGAATTTCATGGAGCCATCCTAGAAGAAGAGGGTTGGCTGTCAGGTCGAGAAAGCGCTCGATGTAGGATTTGCAGGTCGACGAGAATGCATTATGACTCGAGTCTATTTGAGCTATCTGCAAAATGAGTAATTCTCTTGAGGAGAAGGATTGGGGAATGAAGAGCGAGGGGTCGTTGATTTAAGTATTGCTCTATAAGAAATCCAGGCCTTGAGGTCTTTTTGTTCTGGACTCGTGAGGAACACTTTCCGTCATGAATCTAGATCCATGCCAAACCATTTAACCGAAGATACTCCGGCACGGTGACGCAAAAGATTGTGCATATCCCGTCCTTAAGCTAAGGTACTTTAAGATAATTCCACCCTAGAGCTATAAAGTTACAGAAAGTGCTGCTGTAGTGATGCCCCCAAAGAATACAACCAAGTCGGCAAAGGCAAAACAAAAGCCGCAAGAAGACCAGAGGGAAGAGTCATTACAGGCAGTCGTTAGTGTTTGTCTTGCGTAAGTGAAACAATTAGACTGAACACATTATAGGTTCTTGCCGACTCATTTGAGACGAGATTCAAACCTTTTACCCAGGAACGTCCAAGAGTGATTCCAATCCATTCATATATATCCGCATAGGTTTTTACTAACCGCATAGTGTCTCCTTCCTCTCACCAATACCCCGTTGATTGAATATACTCTCGAGTTCCTCGCCAATGCCGGCGTCCAAGATGTCTTCGTATACTGTGGGAGCCATGCGGACCAAGTTGAAGACTATATTAAGTGAGCCATTTTCCACCATTGAATCTGGTGAACTTCTCCACAATGTCAATCGCTTCTTCTTATCGCTGACTTCGTATCTCTCCTACAGCGCCTCGAAATGGAAACTCAAGTCATCTCCCTTCCGCGCTCTGACATTGCTCAAGTCCACCGCAAGTTCTGTAGGCGACGCAATGCGCGATCTAGATAATCGCGACCTCATAACAGGCGACTTCCTCCTTGTCTCTGGTGATGTGGTCTCCAACATGTCCATTGAACCCGCTTTGGCAAAGCATCGAGCACGCCGAGAAAAGAATAAAGACGCTATCATGACAATGGTGCTCCGGGAAGCGGGCACTGGCCATAGGACCAAGAGCAAAGGCTCAAGACCAGTATTCGTCATCGACCCGGGTGCGGAAAGATGCCTTTACTATGAGGAGATGGGTAGTCGCAGGGGTAGAAGCAGACATATCACCCTGGATCCGGAATTGCTTACATCTAATGCCGAAATCGATGTTCGGGATGATCTCATTGATTGCCACATAGACATCTGCACGCTTGATGTTCTGGCACAGTGGAGCGACAACTTCGATTTCCAATCCCTACGCAAAAGTTTTCTACATGGAGTGCTGAAAGATTTTGAGACCTACGGGAAGACCATACACACATATATCGTGACAAACCAATACGCTGCTAGAGTCAAGAGCTTACGCGCGTACAACGCCATCAGTAAGGACATTATGGGACGATGGGTCTACCCCCTTTGTCCCGACAGTAACCTTGTGCCTGATCAGAGCTATCGCTTTAGGAAAGGCAAGGTGTATCAAGAAGATGCAGTCGTGGTTGCGACGACGTCGATTAAGAAGACGGCTATTGGCAGTCAAACCAATATAGGGGAGGACAGTATAATCACTGGAAGTACCATCGGAAGAAGATGCAGGATCGGGAACAACGTCATCATCGAGGGAGCCTACATCTGGGACGATGTTACTGTTGGAGACGGGTCCATCATCCGCGAAGCCATTATAGCCAACGAGACCACAATAGGGAAAAACTGCACAATTGAGTCTGGAGCATTGATCTCGTTTGGAGTGAGCTTGCCGGACCACATTGGTATCTCGATGGATCGCAAAATCACTCGACATCAAGAAAGCTTCTTCGATAACAGGTTGGACCCTGAGGATTCTGATACCTCCAGCGTCGCATCCTCCCGTCTCGTATACCGCCATCCTTCAGCTTCCAGCTCCGCTTCTTCTATATCTACACTGGCATCCTTGAATGACGATTTGGAACCTATACGAGACTCGTCCCGCCGTAGTAGCTTCCGTTCCGATCCTTCAGACGACGCGGCGGAAACCCGAGATTTCCATCTGGAAGCAACCGCGAGCATTCTCGATGGCCTACAGAAAGGGGACCCCGCTGACACTATCATACTTGAACTGAATGGCTATCGCATGTCCACAAATGCAAGCCAACATGAGGTACGCAAGGCCGTCGTGGCGGCTTTTATGAAGAGAGTGTCTAGTCTTAGTGGTGAAGATAATGCATCTGGGATCAGTGCGCGCGAGGCTGTAAGGGAGGTCTTCAGCAAGTATAAAGGACTTGTCGAGCGGACGATGTTCGATAAAGACGTGGATGAAAAAGTCGATCAAGTGGATTTCTTGCTATTGCTCCAGAAAGAGGCGTTTGGTCGACCAAATGGAGATCAGTTACTGTTGTTCGTGACCAAAGAGGTGTATGACTCGGACATCATCGAAGAAGATGGGCTGCTTCAGTGGTGGGACAATGAGCGAAGTGCGGAAGGGGAGATGGGAAAAGTGAGGGATCTGACGGAGCAGTTCATCACCTATTTGAAAGAGGCCGAGGAGGATGACGAAAGTGAAGATGAAGATGAAGATGAAGATATGGAGGACTGAGAGGCTGATGGTGATTCGATGCCATGCCCTTTATGGTGCAGCGAGCAAATGTATAATAAGCTCCAAACGGCCGTCCGGCATAGGTATCCCGTGCTGTGCAATGTAGCAATATAACTCCAGCCCTAGATTACTATGCTCCATCATCACACTCCCAATGTCACGAAGCCACCGCAGTCCCTTCGACCATACCCTCCACCCTATCCTCTGCACTCTCCCCTGTCTCCGCATTCCTTTCCCGCCGCCTCTCCTTTTTTCTTAGCGTCTTCTCCTGCAGCCTCCTTAGTCTCTCCTCCTCACTCAGAACCGGCGGTCTTTCGTCAATGCTCGGGCCCCAGGGCGCCACTATCTCGGTGACCACATGCTTGATACGCCGACTGATTCGGCGCTCGGCGGCGATCTTGACGACGTCGCCGGCGCGGAGGGAGGAGTTGGGGTCAGAGACGAGGTAGCTGTTGTTGCTTTGGAAATGCTACGGAGGCCTTTGTCAGTAATCGGCAACGGGAGGGGTTCACGGCGGGCCAGAAGTTTGGAATGATCGCCCACCTTTTTGAGGAACTTGTTGTAGGTCTGTTTGGCGGTGCGGACTCTGACGGCCTTCATCATTTTGCCGGCCGAGACGACGACGCCGCAGAGGACTTTCGGGGGCGGGCCAAACATGGCGGTGTAGGCGAGGTGTATGATGGTACTGGATTTAGGTTGATAGCTTAGCAAGGGCCAGGCATACGCCGCCGGCACGTTCACTGTCTTGGATGCCGGTAGGTCAAGGTCAAAGAAAGGGCGGCGGCCATGGGCGATATATTTGGTATCAGATTCAGTAGGGTCCCGTTGCCAAGACATCTCAAAAGCGCGTCATAATTTTAGGCCACAAACTCCAAGTTTCTAGTAAACACTCCAGCTGCTACTATTTGGACTCAGCACCTGCCTCTGCTTTGCAGCGCTCAAATATCTTACTCTGCATTTTCTGAGTCTGGATACAGCTTTGTAGAAGCTTCGCTCTTGTCGACAATATGTTCATGCTCAGGAACGGTAAGTCGCTATTGATCTGGCATTCTGCGCACTTCCCTTCCTGTTACCTGATGACTGCTGTAGTGTACTTTAGCAGGAATTTACCCAAATGTTGGAGGGAATTTAGTGATTGTTACTTCTATCTCTGAGATTCAAATGTCAGCCTTCATAAAAGCACACGTAGCCTGTGTCGCAGCTTCTACAGTCACAAGCTTAACGTCCGCTCCTTCCGTCAACGCTAATTCTTACTCTCACGTATAGCAACCAAGTATCTCTTTGGCAACGCTTCAAAGGAGTCTATCATCGAAATACCACAAGGCAAACTCTACCTGGTCCGCCCCTTATCGCCCAAAGGAACTTCAGAACTCATCTTCAAAGACGCCGCTGCGAGCATTAGGCGTACAACCCAAGAATACCATTACGAGATTGTCATCCAGCGAGCTTACGAGGAGGGTGAGGCAGAGCTAGCAGCAGAAGACGATGACGAGGATGGTGCCGCAGACGCCTTAGATTCTGAAAAAGACGAGAAGACTTTTCTACTTGATCAGAGCTTGCACTTTAGATCTGAGATTAGGGAGGACGGAGAGAAAGTCTTTGCTTGGCAGGATCTGAGTGGGGACCCTGGAGACCTTTATGAATTCATCTGCGACGAATCCATCAAGCCTGGAGAAGTGAGCACCTTTGAGATAGTTGCCATCGAATGCCAATACGAGAGAAAGTACCGGAAACCGAAGGAGACTGCCACCGATCGACAGTTGCAACAGTTCAACTTCACCGAGCAACCCATCCCGACCGCTAGTCCTTTATCGAGTCCCACTGTCAAACCTCTCACAGCGCCTCCAATGAAGGGTAAAGCTATTGCAGACACGCCAGCCGCAGGTGTAAAGGAGAGGACAGCTGTGAAGAAGTCACAGAAGCAGAAGGCTCCGGGACGAGAGACCACTCCTACAGTAGCTCCACCATCAGCCGTGGTGCCTACTGCAAGGGAGACTCTCGTGAAGGAGAGGGCCGAGCTTCACCTATTTGATTTTGAGTCGGGCTCATTCATACTTCAGGACCCTGCCATTGTAGCCACCGTCTCAGAGACGGGCAACTGGCAATACTGGCTACAGATTAGTGGTACAGAGAAAGAGTGGCTTGGTCAGCGAGTTGTTGCAGACCTCAACCCTGTCTTCAACTTCGAGTACCTGTCTTTCATCTTCAACCACTACACCGAAGATGGATCTGCCTATTCGTGGCTCCTAAGATTCAAGGATCAGGAGACCGAAGAAAGTTTTCAAGACGGGTTGATGCGAGCACTTTGGGAACAGCTGAATGAGACAAAGTGGAAGAAGGTCAATAAAGATGACCAGCAATATGTTTTGGATGCATTTCAAGACCTTACCATGGAAGATGCACCTGCCGAGGAGGATGAAGAGGAAGAAGAGGCGGAAGATGACGGACAAAAGAGTGAGCATTACGACAGTGACGAGTCTGAAGATGATGTCGTGACACGGGACGATGATGGCAATGTTAACTCAAAGCTGGCTGTTGGCTACAAGCACGATCGGTCCTTCGTCGTGCGCGGATCAAAGATTGGTGTGTTCAAGCACACTCCCAACAACAACTTGGAATTCTCAACAAACATCTCAAAGGTCGAGACACCAGGTGGCAAATTGTTCAGTCCAGACAAGGTCATGCTGCACTCTGAAGACAACAATATGATTCTCCAAAACAAGGACAACCCCAACTCTCTGTATCGGATGGACCTCGAGTACGGGAAGGTTGTCGATGAATGGAAGATTCATGACGATATAGGCGTGAAGTCCTTTGCACCTGATAAGGTATGTTTGCAAGATTCTGATCCTCGATGAAATGAAACTAAGCGGGCCCAGAAATATGCGCAAATGACGGGAGAACAAACCTTCCTCGGCATTTCTGATAATGCCCTATACCGCATTGATCCCCGTCTGTCTGGCAACAAACTTGTGGACTCACAGCTGAAACAATACGCTTCAAGCTCAAAGAACAGCTTCTCCCACGCAGCAACCACCGAGCAGGGCTACATTGCCGTTGCCTCGGACAAAGGTGACATTCGTTTGTTCGACCGTCTTGGTATCAATGCCAAGACGGCTATCCCTGCTCTTGGCGAGGCAACCATTGGGTTGGACGTGTCCGCTGATGGTCGTTGGGTCCTCGCTACCTGTCGAACGTACCTGATGCTCATCGATGCTTTGCAACACGATGGTAAGAACGAAGGCAAGCTTGGGTTTGAGAAGTCCTTCGCCAAGGATTCGAAGCCTCAACCTCGCCGTCTCGCCCTGACACCCAGCCACGTTGCTCAATTCCAGTATGAGACCAAGACGCCATTGTCTTTTACACCTGCACGCTTTAATACTGGAGTTGACGACAAGGAGACGTCCATAATCACAGCCACAGGTCCCTTCATCATTACCTGGAACATGAAGAAGGTGCTCGGTGGGCGGAAGGATCCTTATACCATCAAGCGGTATGAAGAAGAGGTAAAGGCCGACGATTTCAAGTACGGCAGCGACAAGAACGTCATCGTGGCCTTGCCCAACGAAGTGAATATGGTAGCTAAGCAGAGTTTCAAGAAGCCAACCCGGGAGAGTATTGCTGCCACTCCGAGACAAAGTGGCGCAAGAAGGAGATTGGGCAGGGACGAAGTCGTTAACTCACCGTACTGATGCCGGTCCTGGGGTTTCTTAGATGGTGATGAAGATGATGTGGGTGCGTTGTGCTGGTTGATGATAGCGATGCTGCTTAGCAGATCTGATGATTCCAGGCGTTGTATTTGCTTCGAGATATCCCACCAGCGTTCGCTTTCAGAGCGACGCTTTAGGTAGCACTAGATGGGACACAATGATAGTTAACCGCTTCATGCCGTCATGGACCGCCAAGATTTTCCGCACACTGAAACAACACATCTATTGTAGAGGCTTTAAGGAGAGAGACACTCGACTTCAGCGCTCGGTAAAGAAGCACAAGATGAGGGATGTTCCAGTGCTGAGCTAATTCTTGATGTGCGCTCTGCCACCAATCCTGCTTACAGTTGCTGAATGTGATGAGCCCATCACCAGAACTCTCCCCAGAAACGATGCATGAGAGACTCAATGCATGCCGTTCAAACGCCACAGCAATGCCGCAAGCCTGCTACCGCTGCTCAGAACAGCCCCAACAGATCCTCATTAGTCTTCTTGCCCCCCTGAAGCTGCTGCCCTGCCGGCGGTGGCTGACTCGCAGCACTCATGTCCAAGCTGGCGAACCCACCGAGCACATCCTCGTTACTCATGCCCGTCCCGTTTCCGTTCGCTTGCTGCCCGAAGCCGCCGGCGCTCCCATTCGACAATCCCATCAGGTCGTCTAGATTACCTCCTGAAGACGGCATCTTCGGCCCGTCGGCCCCAGCCGGCGAGGCAACGCGCTCCGGGGTGCCCGCCAGACCTTCCAGGCCAGACATGCCTGACAGCGGAGACTTTTGGGCGGACGCGGGTGCTGCGCCATCGAAATCGATGTCGAGCAGATTTTCGGCATTCGCTTGCGGTGGGGGAGCGCCAGACACCGCAGCTGCCGCAGCAGCGGCGGCGAGAGGGTTTTCGCGGGCATTTTGCATCTGTTCTTCGATAGCGGCCTTCTGGACGGCGTCTGCACCATAGCGACCTTGACCGATGAAGGATTCGGGAGGCTTGTGATAGACGGAGGCGAGAGTTGAGAGTTCTGTGAGTAAGCGTTCAAGGAGGGCTGGTGGGAGAGATTGGATGGTGGTTGTGATGGGAGGTTTGTCAGAAAGGACGACGCTTTTTGCGATCTGGGGGTTGCTGGAAAGGAGGCGCCAGTAGACATACGCTCGGTCTCGGACATCGGGATTATCGTTTTCTGCGGTGGCTGACTGGAAGATTTTTTGGACTAGAGTTTGTGCTTGAGGTTGATCGGGCTTCTTGAGGAAGAACTTGACAACGGCCGTCAAGATTTGCAGTTGTGTCTGCTCGCAGTCAGTGGACGTTCTGGTCTAGCCAATCTTTGGCGTCACATACTTGTGTAAATTCCTCCATGAAGCCGTCCACAAATCCAGCAAGGATATCACCAGCATTGCTGATCTTCTCCGCATACTCCCCAACAATCCAGATCAATGATCCTCGAGCATTAGGTTCGTCCAATTCATCGATACATTTGCACAAGGTAGGGATTATCCCCTCATAGCCTGGGTACTTGCGGAAGATGTCTTTGATGACTACGATCGCCTCTTGCACCACGTAGTTGACCTTGGTATTGATGAGATCCAGCAGAGTGTTTACGCATCTCTCTGTGGCACTTTCGATCTTGATAGCGACTTGCCCAATCGCTTTTACAGCCCGCTTCACGATATCCATGTCAACTTCGAGGGCGTATTCCTTCAACTCGGCCAGGAGCTGATCAACATTTTTGTCATTAGCTATTCGTACCATAATCTCAAGCTTTTCGAATTTGATATATGAAGGATCGTTATATTTGCAGAAAAAGACACGCAGCTCTTTGCTCAAAATGTCAGGTTGTTTTTGAAGAAGAAGATCAATGTTTCGTAAAGCAACGTATTGAACCTCGGGTGGTGAAGCGACAAGCGTGACTGGCAGGCATTAGCACAAGAATGCCTAACCTCTATGAAGAAGACAAACCCAGTGGAGGTGCCATCTTCTTCAAATAGGATTTCGCAGTTTCTGGACTTATATACTTCATGTGCAGGAAGACACACTTGACCGCAGCAAGTACAACGCTCGGGTTGACATGTTGGAACTGCGGTGATACTCTCTCGCAGATGTGCTCTGCTTCTTTGACGTCCGCTGCCTTGTGATCCGCTAACGTTGATAATATCGTCACTCTTCCCCACTCCGTGCATTCGTTCAAGGCCATCAGCATCTTCTTAAGGGCGTTCGATGATATTTGTAATGCTCGCGTCTCTGGTGCGGCCTCGTTGATTTCTGCCAGCGCTGTGACCGCGTTCGCCACAACCATAGGATTTGGGTCTCCCATCAATTCTTGCAACGTCTCCAGAAACCCGTTCTCCAGGCACAAAGCAGGATTCAAATCAAAGAGCTTGGCCACGCATATTGCTGCGGTCTTTCGGACGTAGGGCGACTCGTCTCGTAAAGTCTTTCTCAACGGCTCCTCCATGTAATCCACCATCTTCTCTACCCTGATGCATCCCATTGTCCGTATTGCTAGCGCTCGTACCAATGGATTTGGATCTTCTGAATCTTGAACGAAGGTATTAACGGCGAGAATGCAAAGATCTGGATGTGATTTTGCGTAGTTCATGAGGTATAGGTAAACGAGCTTTTTCTGATCCAGGTCCGCCGTTGCTATGTTCTTCAGGACGTCTGGAAACAGTGCGGAGACGTCTTTGCCTAACGTCATGGACATGATTGTCTTCTGAATAGCTTCCTTCCGTTCATAGGCATACTGGGAGACCAAACCTGCCCTGAGCTCGAACGTTTCTCCCTTCCTAGGGGCCGCGAACTGGGCTTTTATCCTGTTGACCGCCATCTTCGTGGCCAGTATCTGGACGTGCGACCAAAGCCGCGCCGCTATTCGACTTGATCAAAATCAGCAGGCTGCTGTAGATGGCGGAGTTGTTGATGTTTATTCCGCGCTGGCGACTAATTGTTCGTATTCGACCTCGCTGTATCCTAACAATGATATCCGTTCAGGCTGCCGTGTAGAACTCGCAAGAGGGTCAAAGTGTGCTTTGCGAGAGAATTGATTGTTGACTTTGCGGTGGTTGCTGTCACGAGCTAATTTTCTCCGCGAAGCTTTGTATCAACCCCCACTCTTCGACCTACTACGTATACCTGACAACGACAGCCTGAACTTTTACTAGAGACTGGAGCTCAGAATGGTATTCGCTCTCAAATCTGGCGCCTTGACCACAGTGTACTGACTTATATGCAGGCCAACCTACCAAACCTTCGACGCCTTTTTGTCGATGCGAGGACTGAGGCTGAGGAGAGCTCCTATTCCAGGAACGCTGTAAGACTTCTCGAGCCTAATTCATGATGTTACAGTGCTAACATATTGGGAAGTTTTACAATTTAATCCTTTTCATGTCCTCCGTTGCTGCCTTCAGTCTGATAGCTCAACGGATGAGTAATGGCAGGACCGCTTTAGGGCATTGATCAGACTTGATGGCATTAATTCAACGATGCTTCAGGTCTCAAATCTGACGAGGAGCTTGAGCATCAAAGCAAATAGCACAGCTCGATATCACAATCTGTCATTAACCCGAATATTCTCATTCATACAGGCCCATACTTCAAAATATCTTCGCAGCCAGCCTGTCGTGATGGAATAGCGGAAGGGTAACAATTAGTCGGTCTCTTCGCCGTCATCATCGTTCAGGAAAGCAAGTTCTTGCAGACCTCTTGCCAGTCGCCTCTTCGGCCTACCCGAGGTTTCATCCTCTCCCTCAGCCTCTGCCTTGCCCCATTGCTTGGCCCCTTCCTGTACAGCTTCAAGATCGGCCCGTAACTCTCGCTCATCCTTGATCTGGTTGGCCTTCTCAACGGAGTATCTTCCCGTCATCCCAGCGTCAGCCAACAGCTTTTTGAGGTGAACGATCTTTGCCTTGGAGTTGTCATATGGAGCCAGCTCTTTGTGCCACATTTTCCTTATACCGCATTTAATCAACCATCCTTGAAGTCGCTTGATCTCCTCCGCGCCCGGGTCGGTAGACTGTTCCGAGGACTTCTTGCGCTTCAAGGTTTCCGTCTTCTTCGCGCTAGGCTTCGCCGAATCCGACTTTCGCTTCTGGCCCTTTGCTTTGGGAGCTTCGTCCAGGACCTCAGACATCTCGCTGTCCGATGCGTCTGCTTTCGCTCCATTGGTACTCGCACTGGGCTTTGCGGAACCCGATTTTCGCTTTCGGCCCTTTCTCTTGGGCGCCTCATCAAGGACCTCGGACATCTCGCTTTCCGATGCCTCAGCTTTCTTTCCATTGGCCTTCGAGTTGCCGCTGATGTGATTCGAGATTTGATCAGCTTTCTCGATGGTTTCCGGCTCTGGAGAAGGGCTCGAGGTACTCTTCCCTAGCTTGGACACGGGTTTCGTGCTGAGAACCTCCTGCTCTTCACTACCAGGGCCATCCAAATCCGACATCTCCTCCTGATGACGTTCTTTCGGTCCTGTCTTCTCACTGCAGGCGCGCTTCTTCGGTTTTGGTATGGGCTTCTTTCTCGGTGCCTCCTTCTCTTCACTGTCAGAGCCTTCCGGATCAAGCGTTTCCTTCTTCTGACGCTTGTTAGGTCCTGCCTTCTCGCTGGAGGCGCGCTTCGTTCCTCGAAAATCCCGATCCGGCTTCTGTGGTTTAGGCAGGTTCGATTGTGCCCTTTTGCTTTTGGGAGGTGCGCGTGGAGACGGAATTGAGGAGGGCTGTTCAGCATTGGCATTGGCATCGGCTTGGCTGTCCTGAGAGTGCTCATCAGCCAAATGTACGCGATCAGAGAACACAGATTGACTGAACGCGTACTACTTCAGATTGAATAAGGTTTCTGCTTTTTTCTTTCCACGCAGGGTTATTCTTGAAGAAGTCATCTTGTAAATCGAGATCTGCTTCCACAAATTTGCGAATTCGTTTGACTGTTAGTTGATCCAGGTCCCCACTCCGGTAGACCTCTCTGACCGCATTCCGCAAAGCCTGTTCCAGCACCACCTCCGACGGCGCGCCATCGGAAAGTGAGGATTCGGACATCGTCGAAGAAATTTATGATTACCAACAATAATTTAAAGGACAAGCTGTGACCACGTGTCGATGCTGAAGTATACTTACTGTAGTCTGTGTCTCAGTGTATGCAATAACAGTTGCAACCCCGCGCCAGGGCGCGTCTGATTTTCTCCGCGCCGCCGCACAAGGTTTCCCCGCGGGCCGCAGCTATTAGGGCTGAAACACCTAAAGACTGCCAATAACCATGATGGGATCAACGGGGCTGGCTAGAAGGAGCGTAGAATTTACAGTCCCCGGCATCCGCATTGGCTCAAGGAGTCGGGCGTTCCTGAAGGCATTGTACGGTTCCAAGAGGCTGAGGTATTGAGTTGCCTCGCTTGTGTCCTTTGCCATGAGAACCTTGGCATGCTTTTGCCATCAATCATGCGGGTGAAACTTCACTTTTGAGTCTTTCGTGGAATTGATGTGCTCCTGCCGGGGACGCTCTCGTTGAATCTTTTTTAGCTCTTTAATACTGACTGCTTCAAGATTCACAGATCTGCCCATCGATTTCCTCCCAGTCTTCACCTCCAACACAGACACTACACCAGAATACCCCTTCGGGATCCATCTGTCCTTTTATCTGTAGCAATCGGTCATAATGGTCTCCCCAGAACGCCCGTTGGTAGTCTGGCTCGTTGATATCGACCTCATTGACATAGCAACCCATATCGGGCGCTTGGTCTCTCAATGCTTGCATTAATGTGTCCATCAGTTGCTGTGCTGCCGCTACCTGTCTCGGCGGGGCCCTTGAGTGGGTAAGAGATTCTTGTCACTAGAGTGCCATCTCCTCAGCTGCAAACTTCCGTTTGGCATGCATCTGAGCCCGAAATGCAATTGAGACACTTCACTCACTCATGTGTACCACTGTTGTCTTGAAAGGCCTTCAAAACAATACCGCGCCCTCCTCATTCTGCACTGCCGTTTTCGATCCCAGAGCCTGCTTCCAGCTAGGTAATTCGTACCTACAGTGTCTGCTATGCGGTATGTAGCAGATAATGCTTCAAAACTCATTAGCTGCTTGGTACCGGTACGCAAAACACTTTAATTTTCTTAGGGTTATGGTTGATTTCGAGATTCAGACTGTGCCCAGTACTTGGCCTTCGTGGTACTTTGACGAGAAAGCAACTTATGTGATATCCGGCGGCCTTGGTGGACTCGGAAGAAGCATTGCTCGGTGGATGGGGACAAGGAATGCTAAACACTTCATGTTGCTTTCTCGGCCTGGGGCTGGAGGAGAGGCTGCGTTGACACTACTTCAAGAGTTGGAGGCGAAAAGTATTGAAGTGGTAGCCCGCCCTGCGACATCATTGATGAGAGGGCCTTGGTGGCGACATTAGGACATTTCAAAGAGATTTTCACCTATCAAGGGCTGCATTCAAGGATCAATAGTGCTCAAGGTATGCCCTGCGACCCTCCATTACATGCTACACACTCCAAGGTATTGCCAGGACGGGCTTTTCGAAAACATGGACGTAGAGATTTTCAAGGCCATTATTCAACCCAACGTCCAAGGCTCGTTCAACACACATGTTCATCTACCAAATGGAATACATTTTTTCGTCCTTCTATCTTCAACCAAAGGAGTCTTTGGAAGTCGTGGCCAAAGCGATCATGCCGCGGGTAACACTTGTTAAGATTCGCTCGCTGATCATCGCGTGTCGCTTGGTGAGAAGAGTATCTCCTTAAATCTAGGGCTGATGTTAGCGGTAGGTTTCGCTGCTGAGAGACAGCGAGTCAACGACTCGCTGCGAGTTGCTGGCTATAAAGGGATCCATCAGACCGAGTCCCTTCCCATGCTCGATCGTTGTTGCAATCCCAATCCCCCTCTTTGATCTGCTTAGGAATCGCAGATCGTAACTGGTATCAGCACTCCTACGCCCCTTAAGTCCAAAGGTATGGCGGAAATCTTCTGGATGTCGAGAATTTTCTTCCGAATCCTCGGCTTGGTGGACAGGGTAATTGGTTATGATGCTGAGACATCTAAGCCCACCGTCGATTTCACGGCACTGCTGGAGTCGCAAACTCGTTGATAATTGCAGGGAAGATCATTGCGCACGTACTATCCAAAAAGCTCTCGAGTGCCTTGTCTATGCCTGAGAACGACATCGAACTCGAGAAGCTAATATTTGCTTACCGTGTTGATTCACTTGTGGCTGTGGAGATTCGATACTGGTTTTGAAGGAGTTCAAGGCTGAGGTCGCTGTTTTCAACATCCTCATCTCCAAATTGAGTGTGTTTGGAGCTGAGAAAAGCGATTATGTCCAGGCCTCCCTCAAAGCCAATGGCGTACAGTAACAGATCCATAGACAAAGAGAACGCGGGTCGATATCTTCCAGTTCTGAATCAGAACGCCCCCACTTGTAGTTGCAAAAGCAATAAACTGTCACTCATAAGATTATGCGCGAAGCAAAGTAACCAGATATTGGAGTCGTATAGAATACTATCTATGTAAGATTCACGCACCTTTTTGGGGAATAGGGCCCAGGGGGGGCCGGTTCGAGTTCGGGCTCCCAAGGCGGCTAGATGCCACCGCGAGGCTGCCTGCAGGCAGCGCTGTTTGAACTCCAGAGGTCCCCTTCCGTCCTTGCTCTCAGCATACAACGCTTTGCACTCTGTGCTTGTTTCCGCCACCCAACCAGGTCTTCTTCGGCCCATGCTACCGCGGACAATCACTTCCTTTACGAGGTCTTTGTCTGATTGTTCTATTTCCTCTTTCTCTCGCTCAACTATCCAAATGGCTTTCGGCGATAGCATTAGGGTTGAGAATGGATATCAGAAGAATGCTTTCACCCATTATCCTGTGCTCATTATAGGCGCTGGTGAATCTGGACTTGCCATGGGCTGCCGCTTGAAGGAGAAGTTCGGATTTGATCAGTTCAGGATCTTCGATCGCCAGTCGGGCATCGGAGGTGAGCCCTCTTGACGGGCATTTGTTATATTTGTAAGGCTAAGGCAAAAGCTCAGGTACCTGGTGGATCAATCGCTACCCGGGAGTTGTAAGTTCATTCACAATGAGCGGACCGTGGAACGAAACTGATTTAAAACCTCTAGGCTTGCGATGTGTAGGTTAACTATTCCAGATGGCTGTCATGCATACTTCTGACAACAAATGTCAGACCTTCAGCGCTCTAATCCTTCACTTTCGCACCTCTCTATACGTCCCAGTCGTTGTACCCAACAGGACCGGACTTCGTCAAATATCTTCATGGAGTCGCCGCCAGGTATCAAATAACAGACAAGATCCAATTGGAAACAGATGTCACAGAGCTCCGGTATGTTGATAGGGAAGAAGAATGGGAGGTTACTCTATCGTACTTGGCACCAGGAACAGGGGATCTCTCCGAGGCCCAGCGACGAGAAATGATTGCCAACTTGGGCATGAAATCTGTATACCTCAAGCAAGAAAAGGTCCGAGCAAAGATTGTAGTAAGTTGCGTTGGGATTCTCGTCGAGCCTAACGCCTGGCCGACGAGTATTCCCGGACGCGAGACTTTTCGAGGAGAAATCTTCCATTCTGCTCGATGGCGAGATGACACAGACTTCAGAGAAAAGGATGTCGTCGTTGTTGGCTCAGGTTGTAGCGCCGCTCAAATCGTTCCGTCCCTTTTCGAGGAACCTTTCAACGTAAGGTCGGTCACACAGATTATGAGAACTGCGCCTTGGGTCATGCCAAGGCTGACAGAGCCATTCGGAAAGGCGAACTATGCCCGCTATGCTCCGATGGTATTTCGATACTTCCCGTTCTTGGGTTACCTCATTCGTGTCTCCCTATACTTACTTGTGGAGGTGATCTGGCTCACGGTCTTTCAGCAAAAGAACGTCAAGTGGCGCGCCCAAATTGAAGCCTCCACGCTTGAACGCATGTATAGCATCATACCAAAGAAATTTCACACTACTATGAAGCCCAACCATAGCTACGGCTGCAAGCGTCGAGTCTTTGACAGCGCTTGGTTAAATTCCATGAGCAAGCCCAAATTTGACCTCACCAATCGGCCTCTGAAAAGTGTTAAGCCAAATGGCGTGGTTCTTGGTACCAATTCTGGCGACCCTGACAAGCCTGCCGAAGATGCTCGCGTCAATGCAGATATTATTGTTCTAGCCAATGGTTTCGAAGCTCTTCGTTGGTTTCATCCTCTGTCCGTGTACGGCCGCAGTGGAAGATCTATGCACGACGTCTGGGATGAGCGTGGAGGCCCACAGGCATATATGGGAACTGCAATGGACGGGTTCCCAAATTTCTTCATCGCCACTGGCCCCAACAGCGCAAATGGGCACGCATCGCTTATTCTAGAGTCCGAAAATATCACGGAATACATCATGAGGATTGTCGAGCCCGTGCTGAAAGGAAATGCACTCTACGTAGAGCCCAAGAAGGACGCGGAGATCAAGTGGACAGCCGACATCCAGCGGGAGCTGAAAAAGACCGTCTTCCCAGGGTGTACTAGCTGGTACCAAGATGAGAGGGGCTGAAAATCTACCATGTATCCGTATGTCTCTATGCTCATGTTTTGGTCGTGTTACTGGTTTGACGAATGACATCTCTGCAGGCGCTCGCAGACCGACTTCACATTCCGTTGCATGTTTCCTAACTATCATGATTGGGACATCGCGTACACTCCAAGGGGCCTTCTCAAGCGAAGAATCCAGCAAGCGTTGAGCTATGCTGTTCTCGCTGCTATTGTAGCTTGCGTTGCGATTGCAAGAGTATCGGGCATTGGGCTCGTGGGTCTGGCCAAGGGTACTCTGTCGAGTCTCTTGACTTTCTTGGAGTACCGGGCCATTTCTTGCAGGGAGAGATTGGACCAGTATCTTCAGAACTGATGCAAATCATGCAAATCGAAAAACAAGGCGGGGAGATCGAAATGTATAATATCCTGTCAATCATGGAGGGACGATGATGGCACTGACCAAAATAACATGCTGTGGTTGTTTCTGATCATCAGGCCTGACGTTTTTGACGCCATGAGCATAATTGTCTAAACGAGAAATACAGAAGCTTCAGATAGTACGAAGAATGACGTGGACTCGGCGGGTATGTGAGAAAATTCGACTTTTGAGTGCTCGGTGAGGGGGCGAGATTTTCTCGAGGCCAAAGCTTTCTGCTCGCGCTAATTACTTGGCGTTCGCGGGAACCTAAGATTACGAGTACCTTAAAATCAATCCTAGTCCTATATCAATTTTTCACCTTCCCTGGAAGTAATCCTTCAACGGCCGCTTATCGCATTTGAAGCCTATTCAAGGGACAGCTTGCTCAACAGAGAGAACCTCCTGCCGAGATATTCATTCGTTCCTTAGCACTACTTCTGGGCATGCTGTCTCCAATGCACGGAATCTTGTAGTGGAGACCACAAAATTGCCGCCATACAACAGTACTCGAGCATTGCTTGTTTCATGATTGGAAAGTGAACAAAGCACCGAAGTAGCAGTGCTATCCCTTTACTTTTATGTTCGCTCTTGATGAGCGTCAAGGTTTCAGTATTCTCTTTCTCCTACCATCGAGTGATCATTGAGAGCAGCTGCGAATAGTTCGTCTTTGAAGTCTATACAGCTTGCTCAAATGGATCATACGCTTAGCACAGAGTCTGGAGATGATAAGGCTCTGCCATTATCGAAGAACAAACTCAAGAAACTCAAGCGCGACCAGGAATGGGAAGCGAATCGGGCGAAGCGAAAAGAAAAGCGCCGGGAGAAACAAATCGAGAAGAAACAACGCAAGCGGGCTGCCCGTCAAGGAACTGCGCCAACTGCCCCTCCCAACCAAACACCGGCTCGTGAAAACGGACAAGAGAAGATTACGGAACCAAAGAAATTGACCCGGCAAGAGTACACACAGCTTCCGATCACTTTAGTCCTTGACTGCGGGTTCGACGATCTAATGATGGATAAAGAGCTCAAATCGCTGGGCTCTCAGGTCACGCGATGCTATTCTGATAATCACAAAGCTCCACTGCAAGCCCATCTTGCCGTCAGCTCTTTCGGAGGACATCTGAAGGAAAGGTTTGACGGTCTCCTCGCTGGCCACTATCGTTCGTGGAAAAATGTCAGGTTTTTGGAAGATGACTTCGTGCAAGCTGCCACGCAGGCGAAAGAGTGGATGAAAGGAGAGCGTGGCGGGAAGCTTGCGGGTGCTTTAGCCAAGGAGGACGATTCACCACAGACATCGCACGCGCAAGACGAAACTGGAGAAGTCGTGTACTTGACAAGCGACAGTCCTGATACATTGACCGAATTGCGACCGTACAGCACATACATCATCGGAGGTCTGGTGGACCGCAACAGACACAAAGGTGTTTGCTACAAGAGGGCCATGGACAGGGGCATGAGAACGGCAAAGCTCCCAATTGGGGATTATATGCAAATGGCAAGCAGATTCGTTCTAGCTACCAACCATGTCGCGGAGATCATGCTCCGCTGGCTCGAGCTGGGGGATTGGGGCAAGGCATTTCTTCAGGTGATGCCCAAGAGGAAAGGAGGAGTGCTGAAACCCAACATCAGAGATCCAGATGACGAGGCAGATAGCGAAGCTTTGGAGGAAGAGAACGCGGAGGTCGAGGTTTTGGACGGGAAAGTTGAAGACGAGGACGCTGAGGCCTCGAAAGGGGAAGATGGTTCTGGGTATCGGATGGTAAAAGGGTAGACAGGCGCCGCACAGCGAAAGTATTGCCAGCTAGGTCATGTCATCCTAAAATGCACAAGCTTTCGGTTTGGATGGCAAAGGACATGAAACCCGAGTACCGCTACATCGGCATTCCGGAATATCAAACAATGGTTTTTGACTGGCGTGGAACTAGTCTCAGTAATTCAGACTCACGGCTAGCCGGGGTAGCAGCCAGCCCTACACTCGTGCCTCGCTTCGGGGGCCAATCATATCGCAGGCTCATTACGGCATACCCCCTCCCTTAGAGCGTGGAACCAAAACAACGGCTCCCGACGTCACCGTGCAGCTCCCGAAACCCTAAGATCGACGTTCTTGCATGTTGGCCTCGTCCTGGTCGCGACAGTGCTTCCTCACAATTGTCCAATACAATAAATCTTCATAACAATGCCCTCCCACGTCAATTGACCTCACCAATGTCGTCCACCCCCAAGAGCGCCTCCACAACAGGCCCCTCCTCACGTTCCCCATCCCAAACCCCCACCTCCTACCTATCCTACCCCGTCTCCCACGTCGTCTCTGGCCTCTATCGGCGCCTGACCGAACCCTCTCCCAATCGCTCCGCCGTCCCGCGCCTCCAGACTCACACCTCCGACCAAGATCCAGCAAACGACATGCCGAATGGCGTTTACACACCCCCGCATCGAACCGCATCGCCGTTCCAACCCCCGCCCTTGACGCCCCTTGCGCTCTCCGGCTCTACGTCTTCTACAATCTTGTCGAGAACTGTCGCCGAGGAGATCCGGCTGCTTCTACCTCCGCGTCTCCAACTCGCGGAGCAGTGGTCTCTAGCGTACAGCCTTGAGCAAGACGGCGTCAGCTTGGGCACACTCTACAACAAGTGCGCATCGCCTGAGATACCCCGAGATGCGTCGTTCGTTCTCGTAGTGCAAGATGGCGCCGGCGGGGTAGGTCTCCTCCATTCCCCGTCCTACGCTCTTTGATAGTCTTACTAACGGGGGGTTCTGCCAGATCTTCGGCGCCTACCTAACCTCTCCCCCGCACCCCACTTCCTCCTTCTACGGCACCGGCGAATGCTTCCTCTGGCGCGTCTCCATCCTTCCCTCCTCCTCTCTCCTCTCCAATCTCCCGCCTCCACCCTCGGCGCCCGATACCGAGAGCATGGGCCGGAGTACCACGATCGCGAGCCCGACAGCCCATTCCCATTCTTCATCACATCTTTCACCATCATCTGCAACGAATGGCGGTGATCGGAGAAGTGACGCTAACAATACTGCAAGCGCAAGCGGAACGTCGACGCCGGATCTGATACGATTTAAGGCGTTTCCGTACAGCGGCGTGAATGATTATCTGATTTTCTGCGAACAAGGTTACCTGAGTGTGGGCGGCGGGGATGGGAAATATGGTTTATGGCTGGATGGAGTGCTGGAGAGAGGGATCAGTGGTCATTGCATGACCTTTGGGAATGAGCCATTGAGCGAGGAGGGGGAGAAGTTCGAGGTGGTGGGCGTGGAGGTGTGGTGTGTGGGTCGATAACGGCCATTTTCTAATCAAGACGAGGAGAATAGGGGTGGTGAGCCTGGGAGTTCTGGGAGTATCCACGAATGGGCTTTTTCCATATAATAAAGCATATACCTCGCCCTTCAATGAAAGGCGGCAATCAGCTAAGCAACACCCTAATCTCTCCACTCGTCCTAGGGAATAGCGACCTCAGTGGCACCAGCTCTTGCTCTTCCTTTTCATTTTCCTCTCCAGCTTCGTGCACAGCACTCTCCCTCAACTCATCGACCGCTGCTAACTTCCCCTCCACAAACTCAAAGTCCTGGCAGAACCTCTCAGCCGCATTCGCCGTTACCTCCTGTGACAATTTGGTGTTACCCAAACGCTTGAGAGTCTCCATTGCGTCCATAAGCGCTGAGGGTAGAAAATCATCGAGAGTCTGGCTGGCGTTGGTGAGTGGCTGAAGCAGGAATGGTGTAAGCGTAGGGACTTTAAGAAGACCATCCGGAGTGTCTTCTGTAGGCGCTAGAGCGACGAGCAGCGGATGAAGCCCAGAGGTATGGAGAAAGAATGCGTGCTGATATTCTGTGAGGCTGGAAGTCAGGCTTGCGAGTTGCTCGTTCAATTCCGACACTCGATCTTGGACGAACTCATAAGTGGAGAGGGTATTTCTGGCTGCCAAGAGGCAATTGGCGATGAAAATGCTGGCGGAGGGCTCGTTGGTTTCTTTGGCCATCTTCTCGCAGATGGAAAGGAATGGGTTGAGAGCATGGGAGATGATGGGCTCGAAACCTGCGACGCGGGAAGAAGCTGGGGTGAGAGATGAGTCGTAGATTTTCAGGAGGGTGGTGAATTGGGTGAGCGTTTCATCTAGGAAGTCGGGTATCCGCAGATCTGGGGTGGGTGCTGCAATGTCTGCCTGTATTGCGGAGACATTGTCGGACACGAGAGTCCGGAATTGGCGGAGGGCAGACTGCTCTAGCGAAGATAGTGTTTCGAGCAGACTAGAGTTCGGGCCTAGCAGCTTGATGAATGTGACGCGATAGAATATGACGAGGTTAGCAATCTTGTACAGTAGCACTGCGTCTTCATGGTTCTGAAGAACTTGCTCTATCCGTTGACGGAGCGCTCTTGCTACTCCAGCTATGTTGCGGTTGACGAGCTCTCCCAGCGCTTTGCGTCCGTCAAAAACCTCGTCGTTGCCTGTCGACCAAGGCTCGGCGTGCCTGCCTGCTTCGAAACCTTTGCTTATTTCGTCTCCGTCAGATATAAAGAGTGATTCTAAAGCCTCGCGCTCAGATACAGTTGCAGAGTGAGTCCACGCAAGCATATCACCCACATAGCGAAGGGGATCATGGGCATAAAACTCAATTGGTTTCGTCATTGGGTTCTGATCGTTTTCACTTGATAAACCGGTCAACGCCGAATAGAAGGCATCAGTCAGGACACCCTCTCGAGCTTCCGCAAATAAGTCTAAACAGCTTTGGAACAGCGTTGGTCGTTCTGCAAGTGCTCGCAGGGCACGCCGAATGATGGAGCTGATCTGTGGACTCTCTAGATTCAACGTCTTGAATTCTTTCTGAATCCATCTGTAGAGCTTCTGATAGCCGATATTGAGATTTCTTGAGCTCTGATCCATAAGCTCAAGCCCAAGCCTTTGGTCCTCGGTCCCAAGTAGGACTTGACAGTCGACATAGATCTGTTTGACTCTTTTCAAGATTGCAAAAAAAGTGTCATCCACAGCCTCAGCCGCACCTGTTAAGACTAGTAGATCTTCTTCTGAGATGATGAAATGCTTGTTGAAGGCATCTAGCAACTGCTTTTTTGTCTCTAATTCCTGCTTTTGGACCAAAAGCGTGGAGGCTTCCTTAAGTACAGGTGCGCTTTCATGACGAGCCGCCGTCACATGGTGACGCATATCCTCGCAGCATTTGTTCAGACTGTTGATGGCAGTGCCGATGCGTTTCAATTGCTGACGCCTCTTCAGCAAAAGCAATCAAAGGCGTTGAACCGGACGAACCTCCGCAACATGACCAAATTCATGGACAACGGATCCGTTTCGTTGTATGACCTCTTTTTGGACATCGAGTCGCAGCCTCCGCCTTGTCTCTGCTGTGTTTCTGATCTCTTTCTCATCCAGACTACGTAGGGCATCTCTGATCTCAGAGTCTGCATAGGATACGGAGAGAACGCCAGATAGTTTGTTGGATAGCGCTGTCGACCTCTGCGGTGTCGATGAGACGGTCAATTTATCATCTAAGTGCTCGGAGAGATCGTTAATATAGATTTGAGTACCCGCCATATTGGGAGACTAGGGTCTGAAAACACGATGTTCTTGGTTGGAAAGTGGTTCATGAATTGTCGAACTCCTAGACGGTTAAACATCGGATGCTTGGCACTATTCGTACTCCATAAGGTATGTTGGACCCACCCTTGGGTGCGGGAGCATCACGCAACACCACCCACCACTTCACATGACTCAACAACGACACGCGACTCGCTCTGCAGGACTTTTGTGTTGAAAGTTATCGAGTATGTTCGTTAGCATCTTGTGGTGACGGGATTTTTTCGTATGCAGATGTCCTGATCATCAGAGGCATCTGTCCACAACATGCGTGAACCCTAGGCAATCTCACTTGAGCAGCCCAGCTGCACTTCCTTCAGTACAGTGATGACTTCGAACATACTATCCAGATTTTTGCCCCCTGCTGCGGGAGAGCCCTCGGTGTATGAGACGTTGCGGCAGCATGACGAGCTGTCAGATCAATCTGACGTGGAAGAAAGAGCAGCTATGATGTTAGATGAAGAGAATCTCAGTACTGGCTTCCATGACTACGAGCTTGATGATGCTCTGGCCGATGCTACTGCCGACCAAGGTGCTCCGTCGAGGACAGGAAATTCGAGCCGGCAAAGCCAGGGAACCTTTGCGAGAAAAGCCCAAAGTCGGGTTAGGACACCACACGCTGCTGGCAGAGTGAACATAGACGACTTAGACGACGAAGTCCCTCAGTCCTTGCTCATTGAAGACGAGCAAGGTCCATCGCCGGTGTCGAAAGCTGGGCAGAACAGAGCATTGCCGCCGCCCGTGTCGGGTCCATCGAGTAGAGCAACTCGGGCTAAATGGCAAGCTACTCAGGAACAGCAGCGATTGCACCAAGACCCCATATTCCCGAGAACGCATAGCAAAGAAAATTCACGGAGAGGCCACCCTCTAGGAATGATGGACCCAAAGGACCGAGCGATGTGGATGTGGACGAATGTCGAAAACCTAGACAATTTCCTGAAGGACGTTTACGACTACTACACTGGCAACGGGATCTGGTGCATACTACTGAACAGAGTGTTGAATCTTCTGTAAGACATACATAATAAAGCTTACGGGTCCATGAGTACTAATTGTTGCACAGTACCCTAGCATTCGTGGTTGCCTTCAGCATGTTTCTTGGTTCGTGCATTAATTATAAGGAGATACCGGACAGCAAGAAGATGTCTCAGATCCTTGTTCCACGATGCACCAAGAACATGTCTAGGCCCACTAATCTACTGATCTGGCTGTTTGCCTTCTTTTGGATATGTAAATTGTTTCAATACGGCAACGACTTTCGCCATCTTAGGCATATGCAAAGTTTCTTTCGCTACCTGTTAGAGATCTCGGACACTGACATTCAGACGGTCTCATGGCAAGAGATTGTGAAGCGTTTGATGTTACTGAGAGACTCGAACCCCGTCACAGCGGCAGCTGTCAAAGACAAACATCGTCGCTTTCTAGGCAGCCAGTCCAAGCAACGCATGGATGCCCATGACATTGCGAACCGTCTGATGCGAAGAGAAAATTATATGATTGCCCTGATCAATAAAGACATCCTCGATCTCACGCTACCTGTGCCTTTCTTGAGAAATAGGCAGTTTTTCTCAAAGACCCTCGAATGGAACTTGAGCTTGTGTATCCTAGATTTTGTGTTCAACGAGCAAGGTCAGGTCAGGCCTTTATTCCTCAAAGATATCCGCCGCCGTGCTCTCAGCGATAAATTACGAGAACGGTTCATCTTCGCAGGATTCATGAATCTCTTCTGTGCTCCTTTCTTAGTGATCTTCTTCATGCTCTATTACTTCTTCCGCTATTTCAATGAGTATCAACGCAACCCTTCTCAGATCGGGTCTCGTCAATATACTCCGCTGGCGGAGTGGAAATTTCGAGAGTTCAATGAGCTCTGGCACCTATTTCAGCGACGCGTCAACATGTCATACCCCTTTGCTTCACGTTACCTCGAGCAGTTTCCCAAGGACAAAACGATTCAGATTTCAAGATTTGTTGCATTCGTCACCGGTGCCCTGGCTTCCGTTCTCGCCCTGGCCTCTGTCATTGATCCGGAGTTATTCCTGACATTCGAGATCACGCCCGAACGCACAGTCCTATTTTACCTCGGCGTCTTTGGGACTGTCTGGGCCGTCGCTAGAGGCATTGTGCCTGAGGAGAACCTTGTCTTCGATCCCGAGTACGCTCTCAATAATGTTGCGGAATACACGCACTATCTCCCAAACCATTGGCGAGATCGACTCCATACCAACGAAGTACGTGCGGAGTTTGCTACGCTCTACAAAATGAAGTTGATAATCTTTCTGGAAGAGATCCTCAGCATTATCATCACGCCCTTGATACTCTGGTTCAGCCTCCCAAAATGCAGTGATCGGCTTATAGACTTCTTCCGCGAGTTCACGGTCCATGTTGATGGACTCGGATACGTCTGCTCTTTTGCAGTGTTTGACTTCAAGAAAGGAGGCAACAACACTGCCCCCCTAGATGGTGAAGCAGCGCAGGATCTCCGCGAGGAATACTATTCGACCAAGGATGGCAAAATGCTAGCTTCATACTACGGCTTCATCGACAACTATGTGACCAATCAACGGCCTGGGGCACCTTTCCTCCATCCAACGACTAGGTCAAGCTTCCATGTACCCCCCGTATTCCCAGGCCTGATGTCCCCAACTCTAACTGCCGAAGTTCATGGGCCAGCTCTAAGCAGACCAGCGAGAGCAGATCGCCACAAGCGAGCTCCCACCCGATCAGCCTTGTCCGGCGTAACGGCAGGACAACAATTGGTGCACCAACGTAATCCGAGATTCGCTCCTACAGGCGATCATGCATCACCTATGGCTTCCATCTTGTTGGATCCTCAACACCAGCCTGCACCTACTGGTCCAAGGACGCAGCGTAGATTTGGCACCCAGTCTCGATTGCGGACGACAACCAAGCCACTTCAGGATCCTTTGGAAGACGAGGAAGAGGCTCTGCGGGAGAATGATGGACGCTTGGGCGCCGATGGTAGTGAAGGTGCGGCAGACGATAGCCATCTGGGTGAATCGTGGAAGACGACTCGTGCTGGTACTCTGGATGAGAATGGCGATGAAGACGTCCAGGCAACAAATGATGATAGAGGGCCTGGTGGTATCTTGGGCTTGGTTTACCAATTTTCGAAGGCCCGAGAGGGTAGGGGTGGTGTAAGCATTTAGCATTTCATATCAAATGGAGTGTACAATAGGATACCCGCATTGGCTTCGTCGGTGGTCTGGCGTTCATGTAATGCTCATTCAGATGTGCATAAAGTCAAGGCCTGGTCAGAATTCGGAGGCGGTCAAATTTGGCTTAGCGTTCGAAAATGGAGAGAGAATGAGACAGCAACCAGACCTCACGAATTTCGATTTCTTCGCTCTCTTTTTTGCTCGCATTTTCCACGCAATGCAACTTGGAGCCTTGGTTTTTACCGGAACACTCGGTTACTGGTAGTCTCCAATTCATGTAGCAGCCTACTTTCATCAGGCGGATTGAGGATGAAAGGAAATATCTAGGGACAATGTATACAAAGTCATCAATCTTCTGCTGATTGTTGTGATGATTGATGGCATGACTGCACAGGTCGGTTTGGAAGGGAATCTGGCTAGGGCGTTCTGGAATCACGGACCATGATGAATGATGATGTCGTGGAAAGGAAAAGAAAGTCTGCGTATGAAAGTCTGCATGAAAGGTTGCAAACAATAATCTTCATTTATTTTATCTGCGCCTATCAAAATTACCAACACATAAATAATTCTTACATTCTCATCCTCAATGAATTTCCTAGACCTTCCTACCACAGTTGCCCAGTTTTAATTACATCACGGCCGAACTACCCTCTCTAGCCACACCGTTGGATCTGAGGTCGATGGCCGCCCATGACCCAGTCCCGGTGGAGGATATCGAGTGAGTGATCGGTTTGAGATCTTGACGCTCAATGATAAATTGACTAAGTATAAACCGCAGCTATGAAGCTTTACCGCCCAATTTCACAGCCTTGGAGAACATGTTGGCTGGTGGATTTGCCGGAGTCGCCGTGAATTTGCCCCACGGCGCTGAGCTCCCAGATGTCATGCAGAGCTAATGGGGCATAAGGAACACTCTGTCATGTATCCAGTCGACATGCTGAAGGTAATCTTCTACCCACACGGACTCTCCTGGCTTTGCGCTGAAGCTCCGCAGACTCGCCTCCAAATACTAAAGCCCGCCGAAGGCGGCCTGTACACCGGCATGCACCAAGCGTTTTGGAAGATACGGAGGATAGAAGGACTCAGGTCGATGTGGAAAGGTGTCTCAAGTGTGATCGTCGGGGCTGGTATGCTGTGTGTGCTCTTACGGAGAGCACTGAGTATTGACGTGGTGAAGGTCCGGCGCATGCCCTCTACTTTTTGACCTACGAGGCGGTGAAGCATGCCATGGGAGGAAACAATTCAGGCCATCATCCACTCGCAGGAGGTAAACTGCACGGGTTTCAACATGATTTGGAACCGGGCTGACAAGCTCTAGCTGTCAGTGGGGCTTGCGCAACGATTGCCAGTGACGCTTTGATGAACCCGTTCGATGGTGAGATGAGTCGCCATATCTGATCGAATACCTCTGACTTTCCGACTAGTCATTAAACAGCGCATGCAGGTCCATGGCTCGATGTACAGGTCAATACGGCAGTGTACGAAATCAGTCTACAAGAACGAGGGCCTCCGGGCATTCTACATCTCGTATCCAACGACGATAAGCATGACCGTTCCATTCACCGCGCTGCAGTTCTCGGCTTACGGCTCCATCTCGCAATATCTCAACCCTTCACGAGATTACAACCCTACGACGCATATAGTTGCCGGCGGGCTGGCGGGAGGCTTGGCCGCAGCATTGACAACACCCTTGGATGTCATCAAGACTTTGCTGCAAACTAGAGGTACTGCGAAAGATAATGAGCTGAGACATGCGAAAGGAATGTTCGATGCAGCGGCCATTATCAAAAGACAACATGGATACGGGGGCTTTTTCCGTGGTCTACAACCAAGAATCCTGACGACGGTACCTAGCACTGCTATATGCTGGTACGCTGATTCCTTCGCATCGTTTATGATCCGTCAGGGCAAATTGACTTTGTGATTTAGGAGCTCGTATGAGTTGGCTAAGAATTATTTCATCCGTCATAACGACGAGCTATGACAGAAATTCGGTGTCTCCTGAATCCACCAATTAAACTGCGTACAGCATCGAGATCTTCTCTACTTCAGCAGCCTTTTTGTGTACAAGCGTTTTCTTCCGATACCCAATCTTCGGTCGTCGATATAGAGCATCATGTCATTGAGCGGGCGTTGGAAAGATTTTGGACAGCATAGCAGCATGATGTGTAACACAATAGATGGAACAGCACCGAGCGGGACAAAAGATATCGGAAGCATTTACAGATTGCAGGGCGTACTGGCGCGCTTGTGGCTCACTTTTGTACATAGGACACAGCACCTGCAGCTATTTCGCTTCACATGAAGCCTCATACGCTCAATCATACATGCTGTTACTCCTGCACTTGGTGCGTGTAGTATCCCTGCTTCCAGCAGAATGGAGGCCAAACCTTAACAAGGTGATCAGCTTTTTTCAAAGAGAGAGACTCGTCGTCCTGTAATTTGAATCCTCTGAAGGTTTGCAGTGAAGGTTAGAAATTCCTCCAGCAACCGATTGTATAGCCCTCGATCTCGTAGTAGTTCAGAGCTTTTTGGTGGTCCTCGTAGCTATCGATAAAGGGTCCACTTCAAGGGTGTTTCTGCCAAACTCAAAAGGCTTCCTCCAAGCCATGAGTTTAGTGCACTGTGCGGACTGTCAGTACCTTTCGTTCACAGCACTTGAATCTGTAGAAAACACATTCACAGCACCTCGAGATAGCACTGCTTGTATATCCCTACCTGATTCCTCATTGACACTTGATTTGCACCCCACAGGGAAAGTACGACCCTACGGACGTCATTCTTCGCCTGAACACGAGGCATTCGGGCAGTGATCAGCTCCAAGCCTCAACCTATCGCGTGTCTGGTCTTCCTTTCTCAAAAACTCATGGACGAGTCCAAGCAGCTAGCTACGATCAATGATGCGCAACAAGGCCTCGTCTTCTATGCAGAAGACCTACGATGAATGTTATCTAGTCTGTTCAACAGCTGTCTACTTTGAAGGCCAGGTATGTAGCTCAAGCTCTTCAGAACGGTCCATGGACCTTTCGCTGACCATCATCTCTTCGATAGAACAACGAAGCAGAGGCGCTGCGGTCATGGCGTTCTGCACTCGATCAGATCTACTACCACAATGCTTACAGGGTCCCGCCAAACTACCAGCCAAAGTCGGAGACCGAGAGAGCGTTACAAGAATCACTCCGGAATATGGAGCTGCAATGCAAGGAACGCGTAGACCTTCTTGAAGCGCTGCGAAAGAGTCGGAAGGAGGCCAAAGACAATGGTGACAGGTCCAGCAGCAGCTCGACAACGCTAGGCCGGCCACCGGTGCCTACCAAGCCTGATCATCCTGTGGGCCATCAGGCAAATACAGGCTGGCTTGGAGAGGGTACTGTGCCTGCAGTAAATTATCCGGACCTTTCGAAAGCTCCACCAGCTCTTCCCCGACGTCCTCTTCTATCAGCGAGAGATTCCAACTACTCTCCAACAGATCGGTCTTACAGTAGTCCTCAGGTCAGCACAATGAGTTCTACGACACCCTATACACCACCTACGCTGCCAGTACCCCCCACGAAAACACCAAGAACACCTAGTCCGGATAAGAAAGGCCATGTCATGTTGACTACTCTACGAGGACTTAAGGACGGCAAGAAACAATCAAAATCACCTAGAGCTTCGGGTGGTCGTTTTGGCGCCCCTCCCGTGTCATCAAAGGCTGCAGGCCTTGCTTGGGACTCAATATCGAAAGGTTCCGGACAGAAGCTGGGACAGACTTTGGCCGGCAGGAACGGCAGTACGAATACGGTGGACTCCGTCCATCGCGACAGCGTAGGGGGTAATACTTCGTCCAGACCAGACTCTACAAATGTTACAGATGGAGAAGAGCAAGCATTAGGGGGCAACGCACTGGTGCGACCAGATGCACGTACGCCACCGGACTTAATTCCATTGCAAGATGATGCTCGACCTAGTACTTCCTCCACACTACAGTCGATATCCAGCCAGCAGAACGCAAATGGATCTTCAAGCTTGCGTCCGCAAACTAGTGCAGATCTCATGACCCTTGAGCCACCAACGCCCCCGCTGCACGCTGACACATTGCGGGATCCCATGGTGACAAAGGTCAGAGCAAAATCACCAGCGCGGCCAAAAGCTCCAGTCGATTATCCTTCTTACAGAACCGAGTTTCCGCAAACCACGGCTAGCTCACGAGCGACAGCGCAATTCCTTGCAAGGACTAATCGTTCGGACGACAGCGCCAGGGCATCCAGTCTACCAATGCGGCAACGATCTCCTCAAAGGAAAACCCGGCCTCCAGTCCCAACTAGCATTGCTCGGCGTCCTGTAGCAAACATCTCCTCGCCCCGATCAAATAAGCATGAAACAGATGAGTCAGGCAGGCGAGTATCCTCCGAAAGCAATGACGACAATACCAGCAGCAGCTACGAGAAAGAGGAAAAGAAGAGACGACCTCCTCGCAAAGCTCGCGAAAATCCCATTCCAGTTGACCCAGCACTTGAATCGACTAAACCCGACAAAGATCCGTCTGATACTACCCAGCCTTCATCGGCTTGGCACGAGCGTGTCAAGTACATCAAGAAGAACCTGCCCAAAGGAGTTGACGAGGGCGCAGCTAAGCAGATATTCAACGAGATCGTGGTCCAGGGAGACGAAGTTCACTGGGCTGATGTAGCTGGTCTAGAAGTTGCAAAGAAGGCTCTGAAAGAAGCAGTCGTTTACCCTTTTCTGCGCCCAGATCTCTTCATGGGTCTCCGTGAACCAGCTAGAGGAATGTTACTCTTCGGACCTCCTGGAACCGGAAAGACGATGCTTGCTAGAGCCGTAGCCACTGAGTCAAGATCGACGTTCTTTGCCATCTCGGCCAGTAGTCTCACTTCAAAATGGTTAGGCGAGTCAGAAAAGTTGGTCCGGGCACTTTTCTCTCTCGCAAAAGCACTCGCACCTTCAATCATCTTTGTTGATGAGATAGATTCACTTTTATCGTCTCGAGGGGGCTCAAGCGAACATGAGTCTACAAGGCGCATCAAGACAGAGTTCTTGATCCAATGGTCAGATTTACAGCGTGCGGCAGCAGGCAGCAAACAAACAGACAAGGAGAAGGCCGAGGGCGATGCGTCTAGGGTCCTGGTCCTTGCCGCCACGAATATGCCTTGGGCGATTGACGAAGCTGCTAGAAGAAGATTTGTGAGGAGGCAATACATACCCTTGCCAGAGGCACCCGTCAGAGGAGAGCAGCTAAAGACGCTTCTGGGGCATCAGAAGCATAATCTCTCCAAGAAGGATATTGAGGTTTTGGTAGAGCTGACAGATGGTATACTTTCCTTTCCATGCTCGTGCCATTGGTCCCAATACTGACACCAAGGCCAGGTTTCTCTGGCAGCGATATCACGGCTTTAGCGAAAGATGCAGCAATGGGTCCGCTTCGGAGCTTAGGCGAAGCGCTACTATACATGTCGACGGATGAAATACGGCCCATCCAATTTGAGGACTTCGAGGCGAGTTTGATAAACATTCGGCCGAGTGTCAGCAAGCAGGGCTTACAAGAATTCGAAGATTGGGCCAAGGAATTTGGGGAAAGGGGCGGGTGAGGGTCTGATGTTCTATTGCAGCGGCCACGGAGGAATGAAAGTCCACCTTTCTCAAGATGGCTGATTTAATGATATCGCTGCTACGATGTTAGGATCTTGGCTGCGAACGTTACAACGAATTATGCATGCCTCGGCTAAAGCAGGAGTCGCTTCCCAGTCGTGCCCTTGTGACTTGTATGTCGATCAAATGTCGCCAGCCATCGTGAATCGCAGATACAGCGGTCTCTCTCAGCACACGTCTGCATCAAATGCTTTTGCCCCTGCTTACCATCACATCTTCTTGACGTCACTTTGAAACTCATACGCACGTTCAGAAGGGAGGAGGCGGAGCGTCGGTGGCAAAAGCCTTGAATCTATTTGTAATTTTTTTGCCCCTTTTTCCCTTGCTACTTTTCGAGACTGAATTTTATCTTGCTCAACGGTCAGATTGGCACAGTCATGGATTTTCAATGCGAAAACGCAACCTTGATGTGACCGTTCCGCATACAAAGATGACACTCTTGTGGAACGGAATTGATATCCCGTCTCCTGACGTGTCACCACCAGCAAGCTTTGGAGTATCTTGGTGACGGACAGGGTCGGGGCAAGCATATAGCATCCACTTAGACACTCTTCTTGCCCTTGAAGAACATCCTCAAACTCTCGAGCACCTGCCCAAGACCGTCTTCTCCACCCTTAACGATACCCTGCCGAATCCATGCCGGTAGCTTGCCCTCGATCCTCGGTGTCCTATACCGCCGATCCAGGAGTAGAATACTCGCAAAGTCTCCTCTATGTCTGATAGCCCTCCCAATGCTCTGGTTTACCGCCCTCATGCACGCGTTCTCGTAGAACTCTCTAGCGGCAGCCTTTCCCTCATCCCGACTACCCGTTCGTGTCGTCGTGCTTTGTTCGATGTACTCCAGCTTGGCTTTCCATTGGGCGCTCTGGATGTTGGGGAAGGGGAGGCCAACAACTACGACGCCACGCCCGAGGGCGTCGGAGAAGTTGATGCCTTCGGACATCTTGCCGCCGATGACGGAGAGGAGGAGGCCGCCGTGGCCGGTGGAGATGGCTTGGGAGTATCGGCCGAGGACGTCATCGATACCGGTGGCGGCTTTGGATTCTCGGAAAATGGGCTTCCTCTCCATTAAGCGGTCCCAGATAGAGTTTACTGCTCCGCTACTCTTCATTTGCCAGCGGAGTACCACTTGTTCGAGGTAGGCATAGCTTGGGAAGAAGACGACTAAGCCGTCAGGGATGATGTTTGAGAGCTGGAGTAGACATTTTCCGAAAGCCTCGATCATCGCGAGAGAGTTGCGCTTGTCGTAAGTAAAATCGAAATCTATACCACCTGGTCCCTTGGCTACCGGGAGCGCAATGAGGTTCTCCTTTGGAATTATGTGCCCGCAGCTGAAGGTTTTCAGGCGACCAGGATCAACGTATGCAAAAAGATGGCGGGTGTAATCATCCATCTGAAGAATCTTTAGCGAATACTCAGAGAGAAGATCGAGATGGGGGAGTTTTACAGGTGACATCGTCCCTCCAGCTAGTATAACTGCTCTTGCATCTTCAACAATCTCTTTAAAGTGATGCGTCGGATCCAAGAGCATGTATTTGAGAGACACATCATTATTCCCATCCTTTTCATAGAAAAACCGACCCTCAGCAGCTGGGTTTGTCAGAGTCTGGAGGAAAGACTGGACATGGGTCAATACCGGCGTGGTTGAGACATGGGCTTCGCGCTCCATTCTAGACTTGGCTTTCGACTCTTGCTCTTCGGTGTGGATGGTATAATTTTCCACTTTCCGAGCGAGCTTGCTTTCTTGAAAATAACGCATAAGCTTGTAGAGATTGATTTGGTCCACTCCTTTGCCGGCCATCAGATGACCAACATCGACGATCCCCTCTGAGGATTGCTTTTCAGTAATCCTAGTCTCAAGAAAGCCTGATACCGAATCGATCAAGCGGACCACTTGGGCAACATAGACTCTGTTCTTGCCTTTCAATCTGTTGCGAAACTTCTGGAGGTAAACGCCTAGTTGAGATCTGCATCGCTTTAATTGGTCTTGGGTCACAGTGATGGAATGTATGCTTGATATGGTGTCCATGAGATTGTGCGCTTCGTCAATGATGATCACGTGGCCTTTTAAGGAGATATCCAGAGCTTCTCTGGCTGACTTTTGCAATAGTAAAGGATACGGCAGTGTGACGATCTAGAATCCGTTCCGTTAGTCATTCGTGACTCTGGGCGCTTGACCGGACTCACCTCGCTAGGTTTGATTGTTGCTCTTGAGGCATAATAGGGGCATATGCCTATCTTCTTGCCAAGCTGTCCCAGATCCTCAATGTCTCTGATTTTCGCAAGGGTGTGATCTCGAAAGTCGTTCACCAGTGTCTCATTCTCCTTGTTTGGGATGAACGGGCATTTGTGATCTTTGGAAGTGTCAGATTGTTGCAACTCCAGGCAGCGTTCATTGATAGCAGGTGCACTACCAAGCCGAGAGACCTTTGGGTTGATGCAAAGGTTCTTCCTGGATCCTAGGGGAAGATGCTTGACTACCACTTTGTCCTCTGGGTCGGAAGCATCCATTTCCGCTGCCCAGGATACCTCCGGAAGATTAACGCGCCGCAGTTCTCGGACGAATTGTGCTAATTGCGAGTGCGTTCTTGAACAGAAGTAAATCTTGACATCGTCTGTCGGCAATAGATCCTCTTTCTCTGAAGGCTTGACAATTAAGCCTAATCTGGAGTACAGTATCAGTCAGTATCGTGTAAGATCGTCAGAGTACGAGCCAACTTTTCCATCAACTGCAAGCTTGCCGAGGAGAGACCTGGATCTGTGGAAGGATGATATGAAGTCTTGGCTTTTGGGTTCTCGTCTTCGCTGTTGTACTCGTCGAGCTCGAAACGTTCGTCGTCTTCAGCATCTGAAGTGGCTTGAGCCTCGTCGGCTTTCTTTGAGATTTTTTAGCAATTAATGTCGAGCTTCAAGCAGCAATAACATACTGTGCGCTTGGCTTTAGGCTCGCCGCTCTCATAGCTCTGCTTTTGCTGGAGCTCCTTGGCCCGAACTTGTCTCAGATGTGCCTCGAGCTTTGACTTCTGTTCAATCAGAGCGTTCCTTCTGTGAGCCTGAGCGTGCTCAACTACCCAATTGGGTTCGTCGTTCTCTGCGAAAGTTTTAGGATCAGGTTACCAAGCACATCTTGGCAGGCCAACCTTTCTCAAGCGTTACTTCGCTTTGTAAAGCGTCCTCTTGAAAATGTCGTAGCCACGTCAAAGAGCTACAGATCAGACTAAGAGACTTGCCCTACAAAGGTGTCAACATCAGATTCGGAAAAATACGCATGAACGAGATAGAAAGAAATCAAAAGATGAGAGCCGTGGTAAATCAATAAGGAGAAGCAATGCAGCGAAAAAGGAGCAAACATAAGTGAAAGTGTTCATTTGACATACGGTTCCTTGATATCAAAGGTTAGAGTAGTAAGTCAGAAGAGCATTCAGAGGTGGCAGACCTGTGGGAGATTCCAGAATGCCAACTTTTCCTTCAGCAATGCATTCGTATACGACATTCATCAGCTCAGATTGGATATCATAGGGTCTGTATGGATGGTGAAAGTCTTTGATAGCAGGCTCCATCTCAGCTGCAGGACATGTGTCAAGTTGCCCAATTCACCATTTGAGTCTATGCTTACAATATCTCCCGAAACGTCAAGGAGGAAAGTGATAGCTAGAGGATGAGAAGAAGACGCTAATTACTCGGGTCATAGAAGGCAGTAAACGCTGTTGACGCGCCATCATCCGGACAGTGTTGTCTCGGTATTTCAGTCAAGTCTTTAAAGTGGAGCCGCACCCATGGCAAAAGGATGCCAGTTTGCTCTTGACTTAGTATCTTATATACATACATGTACGCATACAAGTCCACACTACACGTAGAAACTGATTTCTAGGAATGGGGCGGCTTTAAGTAGCATCGGATCGGCCAAATGAAACACCGGTGGTCCTACTCGTAGCGCTAGACAGTGACCTATCAAAGTGACCAAAGTGAGCCGTTATGTACTGCCACGCACTCATCGCCAACGGAGCGAGCCGAGTGCACGGCCCGATTAATGATGCCTACTTTATGGTATATGCTAGTCGGATGAGCCACATCATTTGATCCCCTCTGGCATTCCGACTTGCCTTTGAATATAGAGACGGGAGGTGTAGTCCGCGTGTCGGACTGACCAGCTTCCTATCGCTCCGAAATTACCAATTCAGGGCAACCCAAAGCCATGATCAACTTGGTAGGCTACGGTGACGTTGTAAAACCACGGATATGAACGCGCGTTTAAACATGAGCCTTGATGCGAACAATGATATCGTCGATGATCTTTCCTCCGGAGACAGCAATCACCCCCAGACGCCCGCAAGCTGCACGCTTTGCCGCCGCCGCAAGGTGAGGTGCGACCGCACCATTCCTTGTGGTAATTGCCAGCGGTCAAAAGCCGAATGCGTCCCATTCATTCCTTCACGGGTAGCACGAGGAAGGCAAGGCGGAAGGAAGAGAAAGAGAGAGGAGGGAGAACTACTGGAGCGAATTGCGAAATTGGAGGGCTTGGTCAGAAACATCGAAGGACATGAAACGCCACAAAGCGAGCAAGAGAGGACGACTGGCGAGGGTACTGTTGATGCTACCAGTGCCAAGGCAAGCAGTACACCTCGGGGGGTTTACCACCGAACCCAACCTGCAGCGCCACGGCTAGACAAGTATCTGGCAAGTTCGTTCTGGGTGAGTCTGAGCGAAGAAATTCATGGGCTGAAGGACGTGTTCGGCGGATCATCGGATGATGGAGACGAAGACGAGGGCGAGCTGACGCCCTCATCGGACACCTTGAGCTTGGGTCAGCAACACCTGCAACCGTCAAACCATTCGGGATTTGCAATTTTCGGTACAGCGATCGCCGCGGATGTCATTCCTCCAACACCCCATCAGGTCTACACATTCTGTGACATATACTTGGCCAATGTTGACCCAATATTCAAAGTTTTACATGGCTCATCCTTGCGCAAATACCTGCAAGAGAACGCTGAAGGACTTGATTGCAGTCCAGGGCGCGGGGGACTAGATGCATTAAGATTCGCCGTCTACTACGCTGCCGTTACAAGTATGGATAGTGGGGAGTGCAGACATCGAATCGGCGAAGATAGGACAATACTGTTGGCAAGATACCGGACAGGAATCGAGTCAGCATTGGTGAAGACGGACTTCCTAAACACGGTCGAAATGTCGACCTTGCAGGCATTGGCTATATATCTGGTAGGCGCTTGTCTAATAGCATGAGAATTACAATTTTCGTCGACGGGCCCTAGCTTACGGTGAGATAGGTATCTGTGCGTGCCAATGATAGCAGCCGTCTTATGTGGACGCTCACAAGCCTTGCAGTCCGCATAGCTGAGGCTATGGGTTTGCATAACGACAGCACTGCTTCGTTTTTTCGACCCTTTGAGCATGAAATGCGACGGCGCTTATGGTGGCAGATATGTGACCTCGACTCTCACGCAGCCGATGACCGTGCGTCAAGTACCGTAATTGCCGCTGACTCCTTTAGCACGAGATTGCCTCTACACATCAATGACGAGGATATAAGTCTCAACTCATTCGAGGAAGTGAAAGAAAGGGAAGGTTACACGGACATGACCTTTGCACTGAGCTGTAACGAGGTGTTGGACGCGACAAGGAAATTATCATACGTACCCGCAAGGGAAGTCGCTCATTCCCAGGCCAGATCTGAAGAGGTGCGGGGCCAGCGGGTAGACACTGTCATCAACCTGCAGCGGCACATTGAAGAGAAATATCTGCGTCATCTCGACCCGACTCGTCCATTTCACTGGTTTACAAGGATGGTAGGAGACGTCACTATTGCCATCCTGTGGCTTTTCGTTTACCGGCCTATGAAAAGACGCCCGGGTAGTGTCCCCTCATCTCAGATTGCGCATCCAGACATCCTTCGGCTTTCGGTCGATGTCCTCGAGAGAGCCCGTCAACTGGAAACAGATCCAGCGGTAAGTCCGTTCAGATGGCTGTGCCAAACTTATGTGCAATGGCACCCTTTAGCAGTGACCATTGCTGAGCTGTGTGTCAAGACGGAGGGCCCAATGGTCGAGAGGGCATGGGCGGTCGTTGAGACCGCTTTCCAGCAAATGGCGCAGCACGTGGCGGATTCGAACAAGGGCATGCTTTGGCGGCCAATCAAGAAGCTGATGAACAGGGCACGAGGAGTGAGACAGAAGCACCTCACCTCTCGCTCCGCAATTACGACCCCTTCATCATCACTAGCGGCCTTGAATAAAATCGAACAGAAGGGCCCTTCGATCAGCACGGCGTATTCTAATCTTGAGATCAAGGGCTATACACAGTGGCCGACGAAGAGTATGACGCCTCCCATCCTAGAATATCAGCAGGCCAATCCCATTGCAACCTCGGAACCCTTCGATTGGGATCCCTGGCTTACCGCTGCGACGACCCAGAGCCAGTATAACACTAACATGGACGATATGGCATGGACGAATTGGGAAGACTTCATAGACGATTTTCAAGCACAAGGTGACACGGCATGAGGATCCAATGCCTGTACACCAGAATCCTCGAGCGCCTGGGTGTGACAAGATAAACCCCATACCTACTGGATTTGACGTTTAGGGTGCATCAGATAGACTCTGCGTCACTGATTAAATGAACAGTTCGACGTTGTGGCACTCGGAGAGAGACGTCGGGATGAACGCATGTGTCCGAAAGCCCGATCCTGCTTACGGCGACGCCACAAGCATCAGGTTCATGATGTTTGGTAGGGCTCATACAATGGAGAAGAATATCTTGACTGCCAGATGAACATGGCCATGATGATTCAGTGATTCCGGATCTTTGGGTCAAGAAAACAAAATCCGACGGTACGCTAGTACATATGTGGTTAGCGACTGTGTCAAGAATCAAACACCGACAGCGCGCGGAGTCGGACTCCACCTGAACCTGTACCAACGTGCTTGTAAATCAAAGACTTTTACTTGCACTATCGACAAGCATGAGTGCAAACTCCATCCTTCCAGCGGTGGCTTGTACCGAAAGCATTGCACTTCGGACAATGAATTCTCGGAGTAGTGCGGAACAGCCATGCTCTCGCTCAATGACGCGATGAACTTTCTGCCTTTCTTGTTAATCACCTTTCTCGCATATCTTTCATATATATTAGACCACTGTCCTTTGGCAATCTTGTCTCGTGGAAGAAAGAATCAGATCCTTTCCCTTCTTCATTTCATCAAAGCCAATAAGCAAATCACGCTCCATGAAGGACCTCTTCCGAGAAACGGTGTTTGGACGCCTGGTCCACTTTGCATCTGGAGGCTCGTTCTTCAGTCGCGATGAAGAGCTTGATCCATCGTCCATCCTGCGATATAGCTTTAACAACTCTGAGTCTTCATCAACGTCAGACATCAAGGCAACTCAGACCGAGACAGAGAAAGGCAAAGACAAGAGTTTGGTCGAGTGGGCAGAGAATGATCCTCATAATCCGAGGAACTGGTCCACGCCCAAAAAGGTGTTCGTCACATGGCAGATATGCCTCTTGACGACTTCTGTGTACATTGGATCCGCCATCTACACTGCTGGGATTCCGGGTATTCAGGAGCAATTTCATGTCAGCGAAGTCAAGGCTCTCCTAGGCTTGACCCTCTTTGTGCTGGGCTATGCGCTTGGTCCAATGGTGTGGGTGAGCAGACCCTTGGCCTCACTTGTAAGCAGCAGCAGATCTAATCAAGACGTCCGCTTAGGCGCCCATGTCGGAGATCCCCTACATTGGCCGTAATCCCGTCTATATCGGAACCTTATTCGCATTCGTCCCCCTCCAGCTCGGCGTGATATACGCTAAGAACTTTTCGATGCTTTTGGCATTCCGGTTCATCACTGGCCTTGTTGGAAGCCCCGTCCTAGCCACTGGAGGAGCCACTATTGCAGACTTATACAAGCCTTCAAAGCAAGTATACGGGATCGCAATTTGGGGTATCTCAGCGGTACTCGGTCCAGCCATGGGTCCTCTCGTTGGTGGCTTTGCCGCTGAAAGTAAGGGCTGGCAATGGCCTCTCTGGGAGCTCATGTGGCTCTCCGGCTTCTGCTTGGTCTTCCTCGTCTTCTTCCTCCCAGAGACCAGCTCCAGCAATATCATCTACCGCCGCACTGTCCACATCCGCAAGGCTACCGGCAACACCAACCTCAAATGCGAGCCAGAGCTCGAAGCCGAAGGCATGTCCACACAAGAAATCCTCCTCATGGTCTTCGTCCGGCCTCTCACCCTCACCCTGAAGGAACCCATTTGCTTCGCGCTCAACCTCTACATCGCCCTCGCCTATGGTATCCTCTACCTCTGGTTCGAGTCCTTCCCCATCGTCTTCGGCAATATCTACCACTTCCCCCAGGGCCTCGAAGGCCTCGCCTTCCTCGGCATCCTCATCGGCGCCATTGTCGTCTTGGTGCCCTTTTACTACTACAGCTATAGATTCGTCGAGCCCCAATTCAACGCAAATGGCGAACTCCGGCCCGAGATCCGTCTGAAGCCCGCTATGGTCGGCGCGTTCTTCATCCCCGCCTGCCTGTTCTGGTTCGGCTGGACGTCGCGCGCGTCGATCCATTGGATCGTGCCGATCATTGGCACATCGCTCTTTTCCATGGGCACGTTCCTACTCTTTATGGCCGTGCTTGGCTACCTGGGCGATGCGTACCCGAAGCACGTGGCGTCGGTTTATGCATCCAACGATTTGGTGCGGTCCGGGTTCGGGGCGGCGTTTCCGCTGTTCGCGAATGCCATGTATTCGAAGCTAGGGGTCGCGTGGGCGAGCAGCCTGCTGGGGTTTTTGGCGATTGCGTTCATCCCGATCCCGTTTGTGCTGTACTTCTATGGGCGGAGGATTAGGTTGAGTAGTAAGATGGCGAGGCATGATTTGTAGGATAGATTCGTTGGCTATTCACGTGATCTCGCACGGTATCTATCTCTAGCAGACTGAACGATCCGACTCTATGCACCTAGAGGCCGACGCGAGAGCATCATACATTTAATTAATAGTCCATTTCGAACAATTTCAACCCTTCGTCCAAACAGCCTCCCGCAAGGCTTTGTAGATTATCTCGCAACTCCTGAGATCCAGGAACTTTGATACTTGCCAGGAACCCACGGTTGACAGGAGAGCCCTTACTCACGAAAACCACTTTACCGCCCATCTTCCTTTCATTAAAGAGGCTCTATGTTTCCTCGTCCTTCATCAGCTTCCATTGAATTGGCCCAGGCTATCCGTCAACGAGCGTTTGAGCATCCCAATTCCCCTCCTCGGGTTGCTCCACCTGTGCTGCAGCCATGGTGATGACTCTACTGACTTCGAAAGCTGAAGCATATGACGTTGGGTGATGCCGACGATGCGGGGGTAAGATGCCGTAGTATTCCCACTGTCAGAACCCAGTTCTGTTTCAGCTTCCTGTTCCGCTCCGGAACGCCGTAACGCAGACCACAGAGCTTCTCTTGCCTTGACAGTCCTCGGATGCTCAGGGCCTGCCCTTCGCTCCAACTTTTTGACCACGGCGACTCTATTGCGCATGCTCCTCTTCGTAACAACATGACCGGGGCCCAGGCTCTTCTTTGAGTTGTCTTATATCTTGCGAACGTTAAAACCCTCGCACGTTCTTGTCCCCGTCAGGTTCTTTCTTGTAGCATCCCAAAGTTTGTTCAATAGAGCTCACAACTCCCTAGACGATTCGGTAGACGGATGATCTGCTCCAAGCGTCTTCTCCTTCGTGCTCAGCATGTGCTGGTGGATCTCCCTCACTGCTTCCCATTCCCCCGCGAAGCATAATGAGGCGGTCAGATTTGAAAGCGACCGTAGCGTGAGCTGATGATCAAACCCAAGGGTTTTCTCCCAGTCGGAATACCACTTTTCCCAGCGCGGGAGCACTTGTTGGTAGATGTCATTGTCATTAGCATAGGACTGAGTATGCAGAACCTCGTGTAAGTTCTCGACGCTCATGAGATAGTTCGGTTCGTCCGATTCCTTTGCTTCCTTTCGCGATCGCACGGCTTTTTCAGCTAGTGCCACGGCTGTGGTAACTGCCTCGCGTTTTGAAGTACCACGACAGCTTCTCTGCTAGATCAGCTTGCGAAAAGTCTTCCTTAGCTAGATACTGCCCTTTGCCGTAGACGGCTTGGGCATGTGGTAGGTATAAGTCACACAGGTCAAGTATTTCGGGGCCTGCGGGGGAAATTTCTATGATACCGTTCTTAGGGAGGTCTCGGCCCAAGCTTTGAATCTACCGTGGGCTTTTAGCCAGTTGCGCGTCGCTAGATGCACCAATCTATGCATACTAAACATCGTGCCAGTCCTGTCTGTGGTAACAAGGCTATATGCTTTGAGAAAACCTAAAGCGCTGATAGCCTTCACCAAGCTCGTAGGCAAGGGAAGGAGACTTTAGGAACAGCTTGGTCGTCTAGTCAGGCCATGTAAGTTGAGATATCCGCGGCGACGGGCTTAGGCCGGTTGATTTGATCGAAAGATACTGCCTATGTGGATATAATAGGAATTGGAGCGTCATCATCTCTTGCAGGATCCGTAAATCTCTCGGCCAAGAGCTCTGTTCTGGATGCCTCGCTGTGACTGCACACTTGGAGGTACTCTGAAATAGTGATGGAGTTTTCCGCAATGTATGATCCGGCTTGAGACAAGGCAAGGGGCAGATGTTCCAAATAATCAAGAAGCTCAACGATATCGTCGCGGTTGGACATGGATTCGCCTGAACGGGATATCTAAAGTTGCTCGGCGTCCGCGGGATCCATTTTTGGCAGTATGATAAGCCCAGTCGCAGTAACCAATTTGATGCCAGCTTTCTTGTTTCGAGTTTTGAAAAGGATGGAGCCGTTGGAAGACTGCGGAAGAATTCGGATAAACCGTCAGCTTCTCGAATGCCAAACAGCATGTCAGTATCACCCGCGCTATCTACAACGAGTGACCATGTGCCAGCATCATTACTGCTGAGCCATTCCTTGATTGATTGCTTGGGGTCATAAACGGAGTCGTTGAATCCAGATATCCCCGCAAGTCTACCAATTTGAAGGTAGTCTTATTCGAAGCGCGAAGCACTGCTGGCATTCATCCAAAATACTGAGAGTTGAGGCTCCCTTTCAAGACGGCGGTAAGCATACTCCAAGGCGACCTGGGACTTCCTACGAGCGGCGTGAGCAAGTGGGCTGTTAGAAAAGACTCAAAGAATCCAGATTACCCTATTCCACCCAAACCAGCTAGAGCAACACGAGTGTGTCCAACCTGCCTCTCAAGTCTGGCACCAAGATCCTCGATTTGAAAGTCCCGCCCAATGAATGTTGAATTTCTAGCGAAAGGTATTAGTAGAAGAGCCCGTAGAGCATTCGCTTTGGATCCCGTTGTTGAGATTGGCTGACTTAGCTGCTAGTCATGTCAGTTGCCCGGTTGATTGGTCGTTACAGGGAGATGGTACCAGGAGGCGCTGCATATCATCTTGCATCCGCGGGAGCAGTTCATCATGAATAGCCGCTACTTTACCAGAGATGGCGGGCAACTCATCATGGACTGTTGTGATCTTATCGGCAATTCCAGGGAGTCTGCCATGACTTCCCTCGAGGTCTTTCGCTATGGCTGGCAGTTCATCAATCCTGTTTGGTAGGTTCTTACTTTGCGAATGCTGTCTCTGATAGCAGGAAGCTCCTGAGAGATGCGCAGTCTGCACTTTGACAAACTCGAGATGAATCGTATGCAGTAGTGCGGCATATGAAGAAGCCAGCGACTTGTACAAGGCCGTCTTGAAAGGTCGAGAAGAGGTGCTTCTACAAGACCATCCAGCCACAGTATCAGCTAGAGCTGACGTGGCTACGATTTTGCGACTACGTGGGTAATTTGAAAAAGCGGAGACGCTCGAGCGTGAGACATTGAAGAAAGCAAAGGCATTGCTCGAGAGGGATCACCCAATCGTACTTGCAAGTCGAGAGAGCCTGGTGGTATCCTGTGGGCGCAGAAAGACGCTAATGCCAAGTCGAAGGAAGCCATTGAGCAAATCAAAAAGGTGTTGAAAGCGAGAGAGAAACGACAGGGATGGAGCTATACTGACACCCAGGGGACCGCCAATCTCGCTATAGGCATGACAGCCGCAGGGAAAGAAAAGGAGAAGCTTAAAAAGAAGATCATGAAGAGTTCTACTGTGTTGTAACAGACAACGGTTCAAATGCTGCGTAAGTGGCGAATGAGGATTTGAGCTTTATGCCGCAGCCCGAAGCTTGGATATGAAGCGTATGAGAGAATTCTTGAATGATGCATGATACCATACTTGACATGCATGTTGCTTTGTCTTTCTCTCACTTCTGATAGTGACACGTCCTTACCGTTCAAGTATCCCAGCAGTATGTTGTAGTCATACATAGCAGTAGAGTATGTTGTACGAGTACTAGAATAGTACAGGTTCGCCAAGCCCAAAAGCTTGGGCTTCCAAAAGCTTTACCCGGCTCTGCGGCTCCCCACACTACAAACACTCAAAAAACACCCAAACCACAAGGCCTAAAGTAACTGTATAGAAAGCCAAATTCGAAGGAGGCTTTGAAGCTGTGGTAAAATGTATAGCCAAGCCGAGGGACCCAACATTCACTGAGTTGATGCATGGCTGTTTTTGGTTTTCCATTGTCCGACTTTCACAATAACTCCCCTCGCAGAACTAGAAACAATTGCTGATGAATCCTCATTCTCCTCACTTCTGATAGAGAAGACGCATCAGCAAAGAAAACAAAGCTTTTTTTGTTCTTCATCACTGAAATCGCTTTGAAGGCGCAACCTGCTGATTGACTGCCAGGATGTGTCCGAAACTCCCAACGGCCACATTTGCTCAATAAATCTACTCGCGAAGGAATCTCTTGATATTAATAGATCGGCTCAGCCGCAACGGGAGTGTTTGAGGGTCCTCGTGTTCGCGTCGGGCATGGGAAGCCAGCAAGGCCCGCGCCCAGCTCTGGGTGCTACCTTCTATCCGGGAGGTGTCGATGACTTCTATATGCCAGGAGTCATCTCTCCTTCGCCTCAAAGGATCACACCAGAAGTTCCCGGTAAGATCCAGGACAATCTCGCCCATCTAGAGCTTGATGATGCACCGGGCGATGGCTTGTCTGGACTGCAGTCACCCTCTCCCGCAAGCGGAAAACAAGGCATCATGACACCCTCCTTCCCAAGCAAGAAATCGTCCTTCTCGAACCTCAATGTGACCGACGGTTCAAGTCAGCACCAGATCTACCATACTCAACCTCACAATCAATCTCAAGGCCATGGAGCACATAATGTTGACGCAAATGAACAACCAACGTTTTCGCCATTTCCCCCACTTCGCAACCGCCCAGCGAACGTTCCCCCGTCAGTTGAAGAGAAGGAAGGCATCCTCGAAAGTGCGCGCACACCTGTCTTGAGTTCAGATGATCCGGAGATGCAGTTGAGCTGGGCTCAAGACACCCTAGTCTACGTTGAAATTGCGGCCCAAAACGAAGTACGGATCTCTGAAAACCAAGCAGCAAGGCCTCGAACACCTCATACAGAGCATCAACTGCGGGTAGATGCCATCAATATCGTGTCATTCCTGGCTGATCAGCACCACCCCAAAGCAGAATTTATGAAAGGCATGTGGCTGGAATTTGGCAAATTCAATTATCGAGTAGACAAGAAAGAAGCATTTCGATGTTATCAGCGGGCAGCACAGAAAGGATATGCAAGAGCCGAATATCGGATAGGCATGCAATTCGAAAGCTACAATGATCCTGAGAAAGCAATAAAGCATTACACTTTGGGTCTACAAGCCGGTGACTCCGCCTCTTACTATGTAAGCTGAATTCTTTTCTGCGCTGGTATACACACGCTTTGTGTTTGAGAAACTTGGCTGACAGGCATAGCGTCTCGGAATGATGACTCTTCTCGGGCAACATGGCCAGCCTCTGAATTATGAACGAGGCGTTAAGCTTATTAGCTACTCGGCACAGACTGCTGACGAGAACGCACCCCAAGGAGCATACGTGAGGCCTACACATTCCGGTAGCTATGGCAGGGACTGATCAGCTCGGCAGGTTTTCGGCATGCTGCAAGCCCACGAATTAGCCCAGATTAACCTACCCGAGGAGTGCCTACCATTGAATATTACCGGTGCCAGGTTCAATATAGAGAAAGCCGCGTACCTAGGGTTTGCGAAGGCACAGAGCAAGATGGGCTTGGCATATGAGCTCTGCCAGCTTGGCTGCGAATTCGACCCTGCTCTTTCACTTCATTACAGCGCCTTGGCTGCTAAACAAGGCGAGCCCGAAGCCGAAATGGGCATCAGCAAATGGTTCCTGTGTGGATTCGAAGGCATGTTCGAGAAGAACGAAGAATTGGCTTTCACGTACGCGCAGCGTGCAGCACAAAGTGGATTGGCAACTGCAGAATTCGCAATGGGCTACTTCTGCGAAATTGGTATCTACGTCCCCATGAATCTCAAGGAATCTAGATCATGGTACGAGAAGGCAGCGGATCATGGCAACAAAGACGCTACAGCAAGAATTAACGACATATCTCGCTCAAACACTTTGTCTAAGAAAGATCATCAGAACATTGCAGTCGCCAAAATCCAATCACAGTATGGCTCACACAGGGGAAAAAGGCCTGAACGCTTCAAGAACCCTCCGACGGCCATGCCTACAATAGCGGACAATCCCATCGACATGCCAGAACCAAACCTACCCAGACCGAAACCTGGGTCAAATCCATCTTATGCGTATAGAAGCGCAGACAATCCAGCTCCACGGCCTGCTTCCGCCGCCCAATACCCCATGGAGAATGGCCGAGGCCGACCTCCACAAAGGCCAGCAAATGGATCAAGCTATGCCAATCCCAGTGTCCCCAATAACCCGGACGCCCGGCCAACTTCAGCGGCCGCAGCAGAAGTTTCATTTGGCGATAATAACTACAGAGGTTCAGCTTACCCCACATTCCAACCTGCTCAATCTAGTATAGCTGTTGAAAACATTGGAGCTGGGCGTGGAAGAGTTGGCCCAGCATATGGAGGTTCTGGTGTGCAACGCCCTCCTCAGGGTTACCAGCAGGCCAATTCTGGTTATACAAGTCCGCGTCTTCCCGGATCTCCTGCCTTGAAGAGCTCAAGACCGCCGAGTGGGCAGCCTCCTGCGATAGATATCGGTTACTCGGCTCCTCCCGACCCATCAGGTGCCGACCGCAAGAGGAGACAACAAAGATCGGATAATGCGAACATGCCTCCGCCCAGACACCCAAGCTACGACGTCTCAGCAGGCCGACCACAGGACAGACTATCAGGTCTACCGCATTCACAGACCATGCCCGCATTCAATCGTCCCGATAGTGCGCAAGTGAAGCCTAATCCTTCCGGAAGGCAAGGCGTATCTCGACAGGATATGCCTCCGAGAGTTGATAGTGCAGCACCCTTACCGAACATTCCTCCCAAAGCACCCAACCTGGATCGACCAGCTGCTACACCACCTCCCAGTGGTCCTGTATCGAAGCCCCCGGGTAAAGGTCCGAAAACGTTCCAAGAGATGGGTGTACCGGCAACAAAGCAAGAAGGTGATTGTGTAAGTTGGCCCAGATTCGATGGTGTTGATACATGTACTTACCGCGTGGCAGGTCATTATGTAAATTCAGAGTGCATGGAGAATTTAATGCATTGCGAGGAAAGAGATACCCGGATCTGCTGAATTTAGCATTTGATCGAGCGTTACTATTGCATATGGAAGAAATGAAGGGAATGTCGTTTTTTGGGTAGATGGAAAACACTACGAACATACTAAATCATAAGCGAGAATTCAAAACCAAGTTGCCGCTTGACCAATGTTTGCTCAGACATTTTCCCCACCTAAGAATTCGTCCGCACACCAAACTCGATATCATCATTGTTAAGACTACGCAGTAAGATTGCTCCTCGGTGTTGGAGCAATGGCTCCTCGCAAGGAGAAGACGGAGAAGGCCACGGCAGATCAAGGTGACGACAACCGGTCATTTCAGCCCCGGGATTCGGGAGTTAACGCTGCAGTGTAGGAACTGCAATGATCATTGAATATCTGAGTACGTCTCATCTCGACTCGGACCCGTGCCAACTGCTGATCTTCGCAGAGAAGCAGAAGTTCGTGGACCCGTTGGCTCTCAGTGATGGAAGTTTGACTGAAATTGCCCTTTGACATCAGCCGGCCCTACTCTGTGAGCGACATTCCAATCCATTGACCATCGCTATCATCAAATCCCAAGCTCTAACGCCTGTTGCCATGCAGGCAACGGATATCTCAGCCAACTTGCACAACAAAGTCACCAAGAGTAGGATCGGTGGACATGATTCTGTGAGATGGGAATGGCTTACGCCATCTTAGCCTACGCTGCCAAAGTCTTGAAGGAACTCCATGAATCCCAGGTGGTCGCTGGGAAGGGCGCTGGTACGATAGCTGCCCAGACTCATCTGAAGCAAGCCGTCAACTTTACGAAACGCAGGAAAGCAGTGGGTCTATCATGCTATCCAAGACCCCGACGACGCCATGAGTCTCGAAGACCTCGCAACTATGGACAAGGAAATCGCAGACCTCCGTGCAACCATCGCTACCGCCAAAGCCAACGAAAAGCTCATGCGAGCAAATCTCGTCTCCGTCAACGCTACACTCTCTACCGTGGAACTCCGCAGCAGTGTGTCACTGCTAGAATTGGAGAAGAAGGAGATAATTGCACGGCTGGGTCCTTTGAGGTCAGGCAATGTGAAGCCGGTGTTGCCAGAGGAGAAGGAGGCGGTGGACAAGGCGTGGAGGGAGTGGTCGAGAAAGGCGAGTTCAAGGAGGAAGATTTGCATGGAGCTCTGGGCCATCAGTACTGAAGAGATGGAGCCGGGGAAGACGAGGAAGGAACTCTGGGTATGAGTGCTGCTTTGTGTGACATGGCATGTCTTTTGCTAAGACTGATCGATTGTAGGAAGAGCTAGGTCTAGAAGGTGATGAGTAGCCGTCATGCATCATGGGGCCAGGCTTGAGCAGGTGGCCTTGATTCAAGAGGATTATAACGGTCGATCTAACGTTGCTATTGTGCCAGAGCTTACTCAGCCATAAGGGAGGAAGCTTATTAGCACGGGATCAGATTGTCATTAGCTGCAGGTCATGGAAGCGCTCTTTACAAAGAGGATGCGGAAGCAAAGCATCGGATAGATTAGCGTTCGATGTCTTCCTGATCTCGATGGCCGCTGTCAAGTATTCATGTCATCAGGATGCCATTATAGTCAGTCTTTATTTTTGTGAATGGGTCATGTGTAGCGTTGGACAGTCCTCGTGACAGGTTGATCTGGTCTCATCGTGTCTCATCACTGCCAAAAGGATTAGATGTGAATTTGTTGACTTGAGATGATTCAAATATAGAGTACCTAGATCCTTCTTTCTTTCTTTCTTTCTCCCTCGAGTCAGGCAAGAAGCGCGTTGTACATGTAAAGTACATGTCCTTGGCGTGAGACATACACGGTATTGGTGGGAGAAGGATAAAGTACGGTAGAAAAATACTGTATCTGAAATTCGAAAGATTCATTGGGCCGGTACGCTAAGATAAAACTTTGTGGAGATCCGATAAGATTAGCGGATTTAGACCCTGGTTCAACTTTAGCAATTCTACCTTTCTACCCTACTACTTTACTTTACCTTACTTTACTCTACAAGCCTCTCACTCTTCAACTCAATCAAAAACCGAACAAGTCCATTATCTCCTCACAGTGCTCAACAACACCAAATCTTTTATCTTTTTCTTCTTTCCCCGCGGCACCTTCCTTCCCTACAATCTTTCCAGTCGCGTCCAATCATACGCGCCCTCATGGCGCCCTTCCTTCCTCCGCAATCCGCCTCGAGACCCCTGCCCGATTTCCTGCCAAGCTCCCCACCCGACCAAGCAATCTTCAACAACCTTCCGCAACAAACAAGCTCTACCCAAAACGGCAATGGTGATAGCATACAGCATCGGCAGTCTGCAGACTTTAGGGCAAATGGGGCGGCAGCATACACGAATGGCAATGGCGCTATGCCCGTTCCAAACGGCCTGCCTCATCAGATTCCGAACGGAGGCTCACGACATAGAGGTACAATGAGTCTGGGAGCATTTGATGGTCCACGAAGTCCTCCAAACACTAAAAGTAAGGCCTCATACCGGTACAACGCATAGGCTGCGACAAGACGGACTGATCGGTGCCACGCAGATACTTCACATGTCCCTTGCAAATTCTTCAGAACAGGACAGTGCCAAGCTGGGAAAGCCTGCCCCTTCTCACACTCGACTGACCTCACAACCGCCGATACGCCTTGTAAATACTTTGCCAAGGTACGAGGAGCTGAACTCAAGGTCCTCAAGGCCATGTACTGACTCATCGGCTAGGGCAACTGCAAGTTCGGGGCAAAATGCGCACTGGCACACATCCTTCCAAATGGCAGAAGGGTCAATCGACCGAACGGACCTGTTGGAGGGCAGCTCAATCTCGGCGGCCGGCTGGATCCTCAATTATACCAGCAATCAGATCCTGCTTTGGCACACTCACTCCTAGCTCAGCAGGCGAACGGAGCTCCACTGCCTTTTGGTCATCAGATCCCTTCGTATGCCGAGAATGAATACGCCATACAACAGAAACTTCACGATAACGTGCCAATAATAGACACGGGCTACACATCACGCCATGATTCTACGTATGGCTCTCCACGGGACGATAGTCGGTTACCAATTTCGCCCGTTGCCCACCTCAGTGCCCTTGACGCGCCCATGCCAGCCTCTTTCGATAGTCAGGGGATTTCCTACATCGCCAGACACGGCGCCGTTGCGGCGTCTGTCCCTTCCAAATTTGGCCTCGAATCGCCTCCTGGATCACTACCGAAGAAAGTTGCTCAACCTACGGACGCGGTCCGGAACTTACACAGCTCAGTATATCCAAGAGAGGCCCGTACAAAGGGTCCAGACCTAGGATCATCACCTTTAGGATCCGGCGATGAAGGGTTTGGACAGCGCATTATGCATTCTAAAAGAATAGCCAGACCTGGCATGATGTCGGCAAGTCTACCCAGAGGTCGAGGGCATGTGAGTGATGACTGGGATGATGGCTTTATCTTTGGTGGAGAAGAGGACTTTCTGCCCACCAGCCTTGACGATCTACTTACCCCACAAGAGAAGATGCGAAGGCTATCGAGAACGGAAAAGGAACCCAAAAACATACGCGACAGTCCCAGTGGGCTGGGCACCCCGGCCGATTCATCGAGTAAAGTGGGCTCTCCAGGCACAGGCAGCCCGTCCCGCTACGGTACATTCTTTGCCCGTCAAAAGCAGGATGAAAGCAGCAATAACGCTGCTTCAGCATTCGGACACGTCGGCTCTCCCCTCCGGAACTCCTCTCTTCACACGCTCGCTAGCCCGCCTCTCCGTGCCACGAAAGTCCCGGGTGACACGTCGCCAGCCTTCGCCAGCCCACCTCGTCAATCCTCCATGTCTATGATATCCCAGCAACTGGCACGTGCACGGATCTCGTCTCAAGCAGCAGAGTCGAATGAGAATGCCAACCCTATTACCAATCACAACAGCAGTCTCCAGCCTGGTTTGACCCGCCACGCTTCCTTATCCTCCATTCCCACGAACCGCGTGCTCTCGTCATCTAGCGCCGGCGGCACTGGCAGGATCGATGAGGAGCAAGGGGAGGGCGTCTTCTCAATGGAGGAAGAGGAGGACGATAATCGGAAACGGTACAGTGGGAACGCGTGGGGCTACAACTCCGGGAAAGCCTCTCCTCGGTTGGGCGCCATCGGCTCTGGTAGAGGCGGTGGTGCGGAAGGGAAGGATTACTGGAACGGCATGGCATGAATGGCCCACACTGTTGAGAACTGGATCCTTGCATCGAAAAGCTACAGTGCTTGACGATACCTTCGCCTGCGTTCTAGAAGACATTGGAGAGGGCCGCACGACGCTCGTCGCGATGATTAGCACGTGAACCGGACATGATCTTGGGCGGCTTGGATGACTAGCGGTTAGCGCGCATTTGCTTGATGCTCGCATTTGAAGCGGTGGAGCATCTGCCGGATGCAGACGGGCGTTTGAAGCTCCGTGGTCCCTTAGGGATCGTACGAGGTAAATAGCACAAAGAGCTTAAAGCCGCTTTTGAAAATAGATGAGCAAATAGAGAAGATTTCCCCAAGTTCAAGATCTGTGCAACGGAACAGAGAGTACTGTACAATATTCTAGACGAGATCGGAATCTACACGCAAATCCCCACCCCATGATCTTACAGCTCATCCCGCTCCTTCCTCTTCCGCTCCTCATCCTCCTCCTGCAGCACCTCCTGCACGCTCTCCCCTCCCCCCTCGGCCACCACCTTCGCCCCCCGGCCCCCGGCATCTGCAAACACCCTCGCGACCTCCTCGTCGATGCCCGTCCACTCCGGCACCTGCCGCCTCGCCCGGCTCAACTTGGGCTCCTTCGTCTCCGGGTTGTTGCACAGGTCGATGGTGCGCGCCTCCGTCAGGCTCTCGTCGCTGCACCACGTCTCGCACCAGAGCCAGTGCTGGGGCAGGCTGTGGATCGGGAGCACGTGCTGCATGTGGTTCGGCAGGTCCTGGTCCAGGTTGCTCAGGCTGGCCGGGTCGGCGGAGAGCTGGTGGTACTGCTGCCGCAGGCGGTCGCCGGCGGCCATTTCGCGGAACTTGACCAGGTCGACGACGTAGAGGGCGGAGATGTGGTAGGGGCGGCCGCGGAGGAAGTTGGCCCAGTAGCCCGTCTTCCAGAAGCGGAACCCTTCCATCGACGTGCGCGAGTCGCACATGGGGGTGAAGCCGTAGGCTGCCCCTTCCAGGTCGTGCGTCACGAGGTCGTACATGTCCGTCCTCACGATCTGGTCCGCGTCGACGAAGATGACTTTGTCGAGGGATGTTGGGAAGAGGACGTCGAGGAAGAGGATCTTGTAGCCCCAGATCTCGCGCTGTTTCTCCGATTGGGCGCGCAGCCAGTGTGGCCATTTGTAGGTGATTAGTGAATATTGGAAGTTGTAGTGAGCGGCGAGGGTGGGGAGGGAGGCTTTGAAGGAGGGGGAGAGGAATTGTTCGATGAACCAGAATTTGACGGTGTGTTGCGTGTGCCTCATAACGCTGACCATCATTATGTTAAGCATGCGCTCGTAGAGATGGCCGCTGGCTACGGAGAAGATATTAATGTCTGCGTGCTTGGGAGCGGACCGGGCGAGGCCAACGCTGTTGAGGAGAGAAGAGGCGAATTTGGAGGCTTTGGAGAGGTATTCCATCGGTGTGCCCGGTTTGACGGATTCTTCGAGGACGTCTTCCGCTTCTTGGCCAGGTTTGCGGGAGAGACGGGGGTAGAGGGTTTTGCCTTGGAAGCTCATCAAGGTGATGTCGGTACTTTCGTCGCCGGGCTGTGGATTGTAGCCTTGCTGTCCGGCGCTGTCGATGTGGAAGATCTGTTCACTTCGGCCCGGTTGGAGCTGGATCTTCCAGTATCCTGGGTTGGCTTTGAATTGGAAGTAGCCAAGATTGGCCATGATGATTGTGTCCGCGAAGTGAGGATCCTTTTCTGTTCCGAGGTAGAGCTGAACCCCTCGGGGAGGAGGCCCAACGGTGACATCCCTTGAGTGACCCTCGATAAGAATATGCTCTAGTTCATAAATTGCATCAACATCTACACCTTCTTTGAGCGCGCTGAGTTTGATGTTGTCAAGATCGTGGACAGACTCTTTGGGAGCAACGAGCCAAGCGGGTGGGACATCGAGCGCCAGGTTCAGCAAAGCGTCTTTGGGCAGGCCACTAAAGGTTGCTTTGAGGTCGCGCAGGTCTCCGTCCTCGGTGAAAGTCGGTTTTGCGTCAAGGACATGGCGGTAGAACCTCTTCACAGGTAGCTCCTTCATTTTCTCCTTCGGATTGAGATATAGCTTGAGGTGGACACCATTCAGCTCCGACAACACCTTCAAAATAGGTATCCAGCGCTGTGCTATCTCGCTTGTTGGGTCTATGGACGCGACGAGGTGAATCGATGAGGTCTCTACATCACCCGTCTGGATCATGGTATGGTTTCCGGCGAACAAATCGAATTTGTTCATGCGCAGCGTGGGGGCTGACTCGAAGATGCCTTCAGGTACATCGGAGATTGTGGAGAGGGCGATAGTTGAAGACAGTATAGCAGCATCCAGTGCGTGTTCTATTTGCTTCCCGGGAAAGAGGGCTGTAAGGGCTGCATTTGCTGGGTCAATGCGTTTGGAACGCTCGAATTGGAATAATTGCCCAAAGTCGCTCGCTGTAAAATTGGTGTCCTTGGGTATCGGTCCAACTACCCTACCATTAACCATTAAAGCTTGCTGTCCGGGCTGGAAGCCAAGAGTCTGAATAACCGGACTGAAGGACTGCCAGAAATCATTGGCTTGGTCAATAGCTTCTCGAGAATACTCCGCGTTCCAAAACTTGTCCAGCCTGCTGTTCAATGAATTGTCTTGCTCTTTAGTCTGACCAAGGACTGTTTTTATATTCAGAGTAGATTCCAGCCAATGAATATCAAAATTTCGATGGCCGTCTTTCATCTGCTCCCAGAACATAATTGAGTGAGGGAAGAAGTCTGAGTTAGCGCCGTTGTGAACAAACAACAACTCAATATCTTCGTGTTCTTGGCAGAATGAAACGGCCGACATCAACAGATCCGAACCATTCTCGGAGTCGAGATCAGCAACCACGAGCAATTGTGCAGTTCCGTGCTCCGATGGATGTCCATCGACCCGCCCCATTAGACGTGGCAATTTTCCAACTGTTTCGCCGTGCTTGGATATGAGCTTTGCTATATCAATGATGACGATACTGTTTTCGTCTTCAGGAATGATCAGAGCGTTTCGATGCGTGATAGCCTTTTCTAAGTATTGACCGGCCAACCAGGTGTCCTCGGGAATCACCTCTTCATAGATTTGGCGCTGAATAGTTCGAAGGTCCATGTCGATACTCTGGCTCATGGTCTGTAGCCAGGCCTCATTTCGAGGCATCGCCACTCCGTTAGCAAAGAGTGGCGCAGGAGTCCCATCCGCTCCAAGTCGTTTGAGGTACTCCTTTGTACTCTGAACTCGAGATTGGGACTCCGTACCGTCAAGAATAGTCTGGAACTCAGTTACACTTTGATCTCTGCGCAGGCTTCGGTCCTTGATGGTGGAATCAAAAATAGCCTTTTGGGCAAGCGAAACCCTCTTGCCATTTACTGACTATTGTGTGTCAGCAGTTGAGCCCATAAATTCGGGGAGAGGCAACCTACTGCTTCCAAGTACGCGAAGACAGCACTAAGTCCGTAGGTATCCAAAAGATGGTACGCAATTTTTGCCTGATCTATAGCAGCCGCTGAGGTTGTCATAGGCACAATGCCAAACCGAATTGGTATCTTGCGCTTGACGAAAGTCTGCAGAGATTCTACGAGCAGCTCGACGTCTTTCATATCAGTTAGATCAAGGGGTATGATGACGTTGTGTATATCGCGCCGGACTTGAGGCAATTGGCCGGGGTACGTTCGCTGCAGCAGCTACACGGCGAAATGAGTGTTTGCGGTATGTCCTGATATGGACACATACTTACTGCGGAAGTATGGGTGGGCCAGCCGCTATATCGCTTGTCTTTCTCGATGTCGTTAAGCCAGACGATAATGTTACCGCCCTCGAGGTCATCACGGTAGTCATAACGCTGTGTATCGCCTTCTTTTTTAGAACTCGCAATGGCCTCGTGCGTTAGAATCTGGACTGCTTCTAATCCACTGAATCCAATCCCACGCAGGCTATCCACAATGGAGCGTTCGCGTCGCAACTGTTCGAGCAGTCCAAAGGCGTCCATCTGGCGAGCTTGAACTTGCATCCCGTTCATCCAAATGACATTGTAGCCTGCTGGTAGTAAGACATTACGATTAATGCTGTGTTCTTTCACAAATTCTGTAGATGCATTACGTTTGGTTATTGCTGAAGAATGCTTGGGAAAGTCTTGAGAGACCTTGACCAGAGTGTCAAAGGGATCATCGCTGGCCATAATGAAGCTTGCAGTTTTGAGGCCAAGACCTAACAGCTCTTTAGACGACAGAGGCTTGAGATCTGCTACTTCTTCGCTCTCTAGCAGGAACTCTTCCGCAGCTGCTTCGTTTCCTGCCGAGAGACCTTGATCCTCCGCCTCTTCTGATCCAGCGCTTCTGTCATCAATGACGATATAGTCCGTCCTCTTCAGAGCAAGCTCTATCCCATATCCATTCACCGCCAATGGCTTTGCTGAGTGAGACTGAGAAGGCCTATACCGGATTCGATAAGACGTTTGGCCATTGCGAGCGGTGCTACTTATCGTTTGATGGAACTGACCGAAAAGTGGCGATGTGATATCGGCGTAGAGTATTGAGGGAGCTTGGACCGGTTTAGAGCTTACACCGAGGACGCGATCGAATGGCAAACTCTCTGGATTTCTGGGCATTGTTAGCTGAGCGTATCCCCGATACCTGGCTGCTAAATCTTACTTCAATGCTCCAACGTCCTGCTGGGCCCGGTCCAAAGCCGGCGAGCAGTATTGCTTCCCGTCGAAATGCACCCAGACTGGACATGCTGCATCTTGCGCTATCATCAAAGAAGGCTCCACGGATGTATCGTAATAATGGTAATGGGCTTCTATCCGGGGAGCAGCGGAGTGTATGGATAGGGCAAATTGAAAGGAAGACAATGCCTCCGCATTCGTGATATGTCCATCGTCCTGCAGGACCTGTAAAAATGTGCTATACAGCTCTTGGTCCGAATTATAGTCCGCAAAGCGTCCTTCAGCAATCCGATCGAGGATGGGGAAATAGGCAGTCGAATTTTCTTCGGCGGCTGTTTCCCTGCAGAATGTCAGTCCTGCCATGTAGCGCCGCATCAGAATTTTGCGTCACCAACAGTAGCTCTAATATGTAAGGAGGAGCGTTGAAAGAAGCCTGAAGAGCGACGTTTACAGTTGGGCTGGCGTAAGCATGCCGGGCTGTGAAAGAGGACGACACAACAAGGAGTCCGAGAAGCTCGGACGGTAGCAAAGAAAGACGCATGGCTTCCGTAATTTCAAAGTTTCTGCTGCTGCTGCATGTTGTGAATAGGGTATCCAGAGGGGTTTCTAGTGTGCTAGCAGAGCATTGGTATTATCCACGAGACTCAGATATGGGACGGCTAGCATTCCATCAGTCCCACACACAACTGTATCTTCGACCAGAGCTTATGGTGAGCTTCACGTCAAATGGCCAGATTTATCCATTGTCATCGGATTATCTGATTCGCCGTCCCGATGTTTAGCCAGCCCCAGAAAATGGTATTGGGGTTTCCAGCCATTTGTGTTACTTCAAATATTACACAACTACAAAGCGCTTCGATGTGATCAATAAGACACCGTTGCAAAGACGCCTGCTCTATTGGTAGGCAGTAGCTACTGCTCTCACTTGCTGGCATTCCTATTAATGAACATCTGAGCAACATGAACACGTTCGAGCAGCGCCTCCAACAATTGGCTTCAAGTTCAAACTCCCGCGAAGCAACGCCTCGTCCACCGACCACGACCACTAATTCTCTTCCTTATTCAACTCTCGATGTGTTCACGACAACCCGTTTCAAAGGAAACCAACTTGCAGTGGTCCATGTACCTTCTTCATTTTCTCTTCCCGCTTCAGTCCTTCTTTCGCAAGAAACCAAACAAACGATAGCACGCGAATTCAACTTCTCGGAAACGGTCTTCCTCCATGATGCTCTCGTGGAAACATCGGATCGGCGACTCGACATCTTCACGCTCAAAGAGGAGCTTCCTTTTGCCGGCCATCCCATCATTGGCACCATCTGTCACGTGTGTCAGAGCGAGGAGCCTCCTTTAGAGAGCGTGACTCTACTTTGTAAAGCAGGACCCATCGTTGGACGGTATGATCCAGAAACGAGATTTGCAGAGGCAGAGATTCCACACAATGTGAGGATCCATCAGGCACCTGTATCGGGCAGAGCAGTTTTGAAGGCTCAGTCGTATTTGTCCAGAACTTCTGTAGTAACCAACGAGCTTCGTGTGGTCTCGATCGTCAAGGGACTGTCCTTTGTTTTGATCCAATTGCCTTCAATATCCCCTCACCTCGAAAAGCTTGAAATTAGCGGTCATAGTGTTGATTGCGATTCTGTGGAGTTAGATGAAGGTTGGACACCATCGTTTATCGGCACCTATTTTTACGCAATCACTTCACAGACCAGTGAAAAAGTTGTTAGGCTAAGGACCAGGATGCTAGAGCCAAGTGTTGGCGAGGACTCAGCGACTGGTAGTGCAGCAAGCACCCTGGCTTCGTTCCTGGCTCTCCAGGACGGTACAGCGGAAATGACCTTCTACTACTCTATTGAGCAGGGTGTTGAGATGGGGCGGGCAAGTGAAATTCAAGTGGAAGTGACTTTGGATGCAACTGGAAAAGCTGTTGAGAAAGTGGTCTTGTCGGGGAGGGCAGTTCATGTCACGCAAGGAGTTCTGTACCTGCCTGAGAGGACAAGCACGTGAAATGTTCATCAAACATTTCCAAACCTCGCCACATCGTAGAACGAAGTCTATTCAACGATGCTAGAACAGGTATTTCAGAGAAGCTGGAGTCTGTGTGGTGCCATCCCCTTTGATCATAACATCCCAACAAATATGCGATGTCAGTCATGGTTAAATCATTGGCTATACAGTTCATCGAGGGCATCATTCACAAATCCTCGTATGAATTCCTACCTCAATGGAACATGACAACACTAGTCAGGCAAGCTGCCAACACCAAGTGACAGTCTTGTATACAGGCATCTTGCAAACTGTATGCACTCAAAGATGACAAGTCAAGGACATGTGGCAATCGATGCGCAGGAACAGGCCAGACAGGTGCTTTGTGGACCATCAACCCCGGAGGGAGATCGTGGTCATACTATCAAAAGTCGAAGGTTTCTACCACTGCGGCTGCCACTATTTCTGGCAGCGCGGCTGTAGTTGAAGGACCAAAGAGCAAATCGGACAAGGCGAAATGGTTCTACTGCGTGATCCTATCCTGTCCAGGATCGCAAATGTGAGAATCAGAATCTTGACAAAGGCTCAAGTACGCCAAAGGCAAATTAGGATGTACCCTGGAACAACCTGTCTCAGGCGGTGCATTATGAGATTTGGGCTTTTGGTCTGCAACGTAAGCACATAGTCCCTCTCACATTGGCTGGATCGTATGCCAGGATTGCAGGGATAAATTCCCTGCTGAACTGTCGGGCCATCGCGGTAGGTATCTGTAACCTTGAGAACGTTTCAGACCCTGAGGTGTAAGGCCTCATCATCATGTCCCAATAAGTTACAAGCACTGGATCAAGTCACTGACACGTATTGGGGACTATTACATGGGACAGCTCGGGTGATAATAAATTAGACATAGACCCACGATTACTGGCTGGGCTGTAGAGGCCAAGATGGCGTGGCATCTTGCATTGGTGGTGTGATCGGTGCCAGATCCAGGATTGGAGCTAACCCTGAATAGCCTCCAAGCAATTACCATCCTGCCCAGTGCCGCCATCGGTATTGGAGAGATGATGGGTCCCCGGGTGCCAGCGAGCAAAGATGCGAAGGATCTATGTAGCCAAATTTCCATACCTCGTCTTGCTTGAGATCCAAGAGAGCAGTGTGATCAATGTCATGCGGTCTTTTACGACCCTTAATCTGTCGTCAGCCTCAGGACTCAACGCTTGATGTCGGCAGAATGATGTCCGCTTGTCGACTGGGAAACTTTTGCCGGCCATGACGCACTAAATCTTCGAGCGTCCACTTTCGTTGGTGATTGACACGCGACCCGCGCACCACGCGTAGTGAATTCGCCGGTCCGTCTTCCCCCTGACCCAAAGTTAAGGATCCCTCGTGCCACAGGCCATATGCAGGTCGATTTCCTCCGTCATTGAAACTGTTGAAGGCCAAATAATTGCTTGGAGACTTGAAGAGGAGCTCTGGAATGGGCGTTGAGTCTGAAAAGAGAATTAGCTGGCTTGTTGGCGTTCTTGAAAAAGACTGTACTGTCTGATTTGAGCTGAATTGTGGGGAAGTGTCTTCGATAGCCCTATGCACGAAAATGCAACATCGCATAAAGTTCAGCTCAGACTCAGACGCATGCAATTTTGTCGTATCAGATACTTGGAAGAAGTGATCATGTCGCCGACGCTGCAGCCCCACCAATACGAGAGCAGAAATCTGCGAGACGGATTTGTGATCTCCAGCCTGGCACAACTGGGTAAGTCCATGATCGAGATTGCGAGCGATCCGTGTTCGGGAGAAACTCGCACCTACTCCAGACTCAAAAGTATGTTAAGTTTCCGACCGGCTGTCAAGTCTTCTTGTTGGACGGCACGGGAAAACCAGTTGTGACACGGCTTCTGAATTTATGATTTTTATTTCAAAGTTGAAACATGAATGGAGATTCCTGCCGTTGAGCCGTTGAAAGTGGCATGAGACGGGAAGGAAGAAGAGAGGCGGGGACCGGTTGGCTTGTGTCGCAATCTTCAAAGAAGGGAGTGTGGAGTGTGGAGTAGTATTGTAGTACCTAGTAGGAGAGTCAAGTACCGTAGCTTAGAACTCAAGCCTTGTGATTTGTGATAGGTAGGTATGCCGCTTGAAAATTGACAGGGAATAAGGAGGTACTCTCTACTCACTGAGCAAAAGATAGCCGTGCCCTCCTGTCAAACAAACGAAACGCAACACCCGTCATTCACTGTCATTAATCACATCTTGCTGCTCATATCACATCTTGCTGCACATTGATAACCATCTTCGCTGTGATTGAGCCTTGTCTGTCCAGTAGCTAGCAGCATAAGAATAATCATCACCCTCGAAACACCCACACCTCGAAGCATTGAGCCACCTCCGCCGCACCACTACTGAGCACGAGACCCGCTTCAGGCTCGACCACTTCTTTCCGATCCCACCTTGCTGACTTCGTTCGACCGTGACACCGTGTCATATCCATCGCACTTATATCCTCTTCCTCTTGATCGACCAGCGGCATCCATTGTCTCCGAGGTAGCCCGCCTCGAGTGTTTGCTCGCCTTGGCCATCACAGACACAATTTGCATATCATACCAAATCAGTCGGAAAACTGGAAACCCATGCGCATGAAATCCGTGGGGTCGGAGTTTGCTTCGTCATCTTAGGGCTGAGCGGATTTGAAAGGTGAGTAGGAAACAAACCGCACGGCAACGGAAGTTCTATATCAACAAATAAACCCGGCATCAACAACCTTTTCCTAATAACCTACTGCAATTACGGACAGCAGACTCAACATGATCTACTGATCTGAATTGGCTCAGACTCTGGTGTTTTCCATCTACGGCTGAGGCGCTGCCCCAAACGCCCCCAACACATCCTCCATCCTTGTACCACATCATCGCCAAGCGCCATGTCTCCCCACAACAGCTCCTCAACTACATCCTCCAACGATGGTGCCGCCTTTCCTTGGATACTTGAACATCTCCTCGCATACCCGGGCACGTACGAGATCCCCTTACGAACAATGTATACACTCAATTCGACACCGCAAGCCCAGCAACACCGACGTCAATCGCTTCAGCCCGGCACTCCCTCCTTATCGTCAAGTGCATCAAGCCCAGACAGCTCTCCAGCATCTCCAAGCTTCCCACCAGAGCACCAGCAAAACCAATTCGCCGCCCAAAGCGCTACAGACCACTTCAAAAGCTGCCTGATGACACACATCAGTAATCTGCCTTCCCAGCCCTTCTCGCTGCCCCCATCATTCATCACGTCTTTCGTCCGACGTTGCTTCCCAGCCGAACTGTGCAAAGTTGATTTCACGCAAGCTTTGACAGCATTGGACTATTTGAAAGATCTAGAGAATCGAAGGAAGCGAGAGCTGACTGTGGCCTTAAAAAGACTGGGTTTGGACACTGCAATAGTAGAGCAAGCTGGAGGGGAAATAAGTAAGAACGCAAAGATATCAGACTGGGTACTCAGCATGCAGGGCAAGGAGAAGAAAGTCGAGGCACTGTATTCACAAGTGTACATTGGCCTCCGTCGCTGGGTACGCCCCTTGCCGACTCGCCCAAAGTTTGTCGCAAGTCATTACTGACAGAACGTCTAGACCTTGATCAACGAAATGCGCCTTGAGCCCTTCAGTAAAGCCAACAGCATCGCCATGCTCAACACCCTCTATCCACCTTCAACGAATACTGCTCCGACTCGTCAAATAACAATCCACATCCTCGACTCTCAACGCAGCGCCTTCTTCCGCTACATCCAAGCCGTTGAGAAGAATGGCAAAGGGATCCTTAAGAACCTCGAACATCAAGGTCAACGCCCTGAAGACGCCAATGGCTGGATAGTTGTCAGGGACGTCGTAGACAAGTACCTACGTGCGGCCAACGGAGTGATCGAAGAATGCCTTGAGGTTTCAGGACCAGAGTACTTCGACCCAGAAATCGAGGCACACCGCCGAAGTGATCGAAGGGCGGACTCTGGAGTGAGCTTTGCTACTGGCGATCGACCTTCCACCAGCAGCAGCACAGGCAGCAAAAGCAATGCTTTGACCAAAGACAAGCCCCTTCCAGCCTCTCCAGCACATTCAGGACCATCGGTGCCACCAACGCCCAAGAAGCGGGGAACCACACTAGAAAAGATTGCCAGAGAGATTCGAAACCTCCGTTCACGCAATGATGTTAAAGAGATACCTAGCAACTACAGCAGCGATGTGAAAGATCCAAAGGCTCGCTCACTGAAGAAGATGAAATCCACAAGCTCAATTGGCGGAGCAAAAGCCAAGCATGCTCGATTGGGTAACGACGAGGCGATGACGGACTTCAATATCGACGATGTGAGGCGGCAGCGTATGATATGGGAGGCGCAGCGAGAGAAAGAAAATCGAACTCCGGTCCCAGCCAAATTGGGAGCAAAGGCGCAGGGGAGGAGCATTGATCTGGAGGCTTGAGCAAGAGGTTCCCTTTTCCTTTCTGTACTCGATTTACTGAGACTTAGCGAGCCAGCGAGGGCGTTTGAATCGCCGGAAGGGTTTTATGAAGGCACGGATATGACAACCACAGCGGGAAGATCAAGCATTACAGCATCAGGTCAGGAGTTCCAATATCTCTTTCCGCGAGAGCCAGATGGATGATCTGGCGGATGGAAAAAAAAAGGAGTACGAGAGAGCGTGGTGGATAGAGACCAATCATGTATAACGAATATGTATTGTTCATTACGTGCTCTGAACCCTGGAAGGTGCTGAAGGATAGTACTGCTCTATGAGTGTCATGGATGATACTCTACTATCTATGTAAACAATGTACCTCGAGATTTGAGAGGTGGTAGCAGTTGAGAGGAACAACCCTTGCCCTAAGTCGGCCCGATCAAGCTTAGCGTGAAAGATCGGCTTCAATCGATTGTTTGCGTTACTATTGGAGCAGCTTACTCTTCTGGTAGAGTAAGAGTGCGACAATGAGCCTCTTCGACGAAATATTACCCATACAATCATCGCCTGGCTTTGGTAGCCTCCTATGGGTTCCTTATCAGTATCGACCAATGCCTTGGCATCACCTTTGGCCACGCACCGCAACAAGGAGAAGCCTGCTGATTTGAATGTCCGCAATGTTGTGCTTGGGGATATTCTCTTCAAGACATGGTATCCATCTTTCTATCCAGAGGAGCTGGTTGGAAGGGAGCTTGAGAGGCTGTTTGTCTGCCCATGGTGCTTCAAATACTCTAAGGACCTCATGCCTTACCTAGCACACACAGTTCGTGCATCTTAGACTTGCTGAGTGTTGCACTCACTAATGAGATGTGCTAGAAGGTGTGTCCATTGAAACATGAAGGTCCCCCTGGAAGACCAATCTACTCGCGAGACCTGCACGCTATCTACGAAGTAGACGGCGAGGAACACCAGGTTGCTTTACCCCCCCCCCTCCTCCCCGGTTTCTAGATCATTGAAGGTGGTGCTTACTGTCATCTTCTAGCTTTTCGCCCAGAATCTGTCCCTCTTTGCGAAGCTCTTTCTCGACAACAAGTCCATCTTCTTCGATGTCACGTCCTTCAACTACTACCTCCTCGTCCACACCCCCAACTCCACGAGCTCGCCTCATCTCCAGGTCGTCGGCTTCTTCAGTAAAGAGAAGATGAGCTGGGACAATAACAACCTGGCCTGCATCCTCGTGTTCCCGCCTTGGCAGCGCAAAGGCCTTGGCAAGATTCTCATGGGTGTAAGCTACGAACTCAGCAGGCGAGAGAATCGCATTGGTGGGCCAGAGAAACCATTGAGTGAGTTGGGTAGGAGAGGATACATGCGATTCTGGGAGGCCAGAGTTGCAAGGGCGATTCTGGAACTAAAGGCCAAGCGAACGCTGAGTGTGGGGGAGATTGCGGAGGTGTGTTGGGTGCTGCCTGAGGATGTGGTGGCCACGTTGAAAGACATGGGAGTGCTGACAGCAAGTAAGAGGGCCGATGGTGCTGTAGTATTCAATAAGGCGAGGTTGAGGGATTACGTCTCGAAGAGAGGGTTGGATCTTGCGCCGCCAGTTAGTGAGGAAGGCTTTTTGGACGAATGGATGCCTGGACCTGAGGAGAGTGAGGTCTAAATCTCCAAAACGTGACTCATACATGACACGTCGTCAAACAAACCTTCTGCACCTACTAGGGCCGCTCACTCCGTTCAAGTGTTCGGATCTTCACCTTCACTAGTACTGCTGCGATACAAGGTGCTTTTAAAATGACTTAGCTCAAAATGTGCTCAAGTCGGACAGACTGAGACCAAGAGCCATCCCGCCAATCAACCGAGTCTATAACCATCCAACCTTTGATCCATTGAGCCCACAGCAGTCTACTTGAATAGATACGATTACAGCGAGAAAAATGGCTGATCAAGCTTTCGACGGTGGTTCAAAAGACGAGACATGGTGCGGTGCCATGCCCAACCCTGCGTTCTCCCGTCCAGGAGACTGGGCGGCATCCACAGCAAAATTATGATCCTGTCATCGAAGATGTCGAGCTCATTTGACGAAGATACGAGAATTTGGAGACTTACGTTGACTGGCGATTCGAGTCTCGCTGACGGATCTCTGAGATAGAAATACGCCGGAGTATGCTAGATACAGATTGACACTTTCAGCGAGCAGCCAATATACTGCTTTATGCATCCTCTGAAGCAGTACCCAAGCTGATGTAGTCTACGCCGTCAATTTGCAGCAAGTGCTGCCCTTGCAGAACATCAGAGCCTCGCCATCCGATTGGGATATTTTTGCTCTGGTACTGTCCAGTTGGTGGGAAGACTTTCCACCGAACAGCGCGAACCTCAGCCAAATCTCTCACCCCGGCTGCCCAAACATGGGAAAGGAGCCTCTGATCGAAAAGTGGTCGTGGAGGCATTGCAACAAGTGTGCTACTTGGGTGGCTGACTATCCGCAAGGCTTTTGTCGTCGATCCTTAGACACTCTGAAATATAGCCAAGATGTAGGGATTGATGACTCTGGGTTCTCTGCCGTGCAGCTCCGATCCTTGGCCAATTGAAAGCCTTGAATTCGAGTATCCAGCTACAGTCCTCTCTGTAATCTGTCGAGGGTCTCTTCTCAAGGGAGACAAAGTTGAAAGGGGTTGGCTCTTAGAAGTTACAGTGATCTGCCAAGATGAAAGCCTCAACACTTTTGCGCGGCGAATGTGCTATTGCATCCTCCCGCTGCTTCACTCTTCTTCGCCGATCTAGCAAAAAGTTTAGTCCCTTCATTCCTTTGTTTCCAGAGTGTTTCCTAGATCATTCTCACGAAATCATTCACAAAAGATAACCACCGGGCTACCACGCAGTTCGAAATAACAACCTTCAGTCTCTAACACTCCTCTCCCTCGCGCCTCGAAATGGCCTCCAACACCGTCAGCAACATCAAAACAACCGCACAGAACCAGCATACCGAGGCAATGACCATGTACGTCCCCCTGAGATTTCGGTGACCACAAACACTGACCAACATTAAAGGCTGTTTGACTCTGGCGAAGATTCCGACCTCACAGTCAAATGCGGCAATCGTCTTTGGCAGCTCCACCGTGTCATCCTTCGCTCGGGGTCCGAATACTTCAAGAGCGCATGCAGTGGGAAATTCGAGGTATGTTTGGAAGGCCTGCAACACCTTGAGGTAGCCTATCTGGACACTGACTCGTGGCAGGAGGGAGCGAGCGGCATCATCGAGCTCAAGGAAGAAGATCCCCAGTACGCAGGTATACTATTGCGGTACTTCTATGCCCATGACTACCAGATTGACGACAACGGAAAGCCACCTCTTGTGGCTCATGCACGGGTGTACGCCATTGCAGACAAGTACGGCGTGGGACTACTGAAGGATCTTGCCCAAAAAAAATTCACAATGGCCATCACAAAGACTAGAGATACAGATATTCCCTCCTTCATTGCTGCGATCAAAGTAATCTATACCTCTACTGTGGGCTCGGATCGAGGCTTGCGCGACTGCCTTCTTCCAAAACTAGAATACTACAAACAGCAATTGCGAGACAGCGACGAGTTTATGGCCTTGATCCTGTCGGGCCTTGGTGACGGGGAATTAGCGGTTGAGGTGATCGATGCATGGGCCGATTTGAGTCGCACGAGGCGCGGCTAAGACCGCCGTCAAAAGTGTTTCAGCTCGAGACCATAGGCATTTTGCTACTGGACCTAATTCGATGCTGCTGAAAATCCTTCTACCATTAGCAAATGCTCTGATCTTTCCAGAAGAGAGCAGAGAATGCCTTTGAAAACCATCATTATACTAGCTCCCGTGCTTCCTTGCTGAATAGGTATGATTGCCTCTTGGCTGGTCCCGTCCAGTGTAACCATCGATCAAGACCACCTAACATTCAATGAAACCCAACACCAACCAAGAATTTTCGAGGTGAACACTTTCATATCTGGATTAGTACCGCTGCTATCGACCTTCCTCGCCATTCCTTGAACATTGACACGCCCATCGAATCTACATCCAGGATCACTTCCACAGCCAATCAATCTCCCATCATTCTCGAACTGCCAGACCGAACGAAGAACCCAGAGGGGACAGGTCCTATAACAGATGCCAAAGTTACAACTCAGACCCAGCTTCTTGACAGGCCTCGCACGGTAGGTCTCCTCCTTACTGTGCCTGCAACCAAGCGATCTTACCCTTTCAAGCCCTTATTTGATAACGGCGACGACTCCGATCTCATTGTGAAATGTGGGGAACCGCGCGGTACTACGTCCCCGCTCAACTTTCTCCACAAACGCGTTGCAAAGACGGGTTTCGGGTCCCCCTCTCAAACCACCCCCCACCTTGCCACCCCGCCTGCGAACACTGGTCACGGGAAGGCAGTTCCCACGTCATTGAGCTGAAGGAAGAAGATCCTGCTCTGCGGCGAGAGCTCCTCATAGCTCGCTACGCCTCCAGCGACGACGACACCGTCAGCGGCGACAACAAGATCGGTTCCAACGCACGCACGTGCGCCATGGCCGACCAATACGACATTGCGTTCCTGAAAACCCTCTCCGAGTGCATGGCTCCAGGCGCAGCTGGACGGCCTCACGGGTGACGACATGTCGCGTTTCCTGCAAGCCGTGCGGCCACTACCCTCGGCTCGGATCCCGGTCTTCGCGACCTTGATGTCTGATAGCCTGCAGTGACGCCGTCGTCATGCTTCACCGGTTGGCATCTTGCCTCGACGGCTTTGGGCCTGTTCTTGTCAGCTCACGGAGGGTGACCGGCAAGGCTTCGTGCCTGAACCCGCAACCAGGAGGCGAGCAAGTTGCGATATCTGACAGCATCGCGTTGGGAGCTTGGCCTCGCAGGATCTCCCAATGGAGATTCACATGAGGTTCTGATGTTGATGGAAACCCACACTGGAATTGATACCAGCGTTACAGAGCCCAGTCTACTAGTTAGTTGCATCGGCAGAGTGTCCCAGACTTACGAGACAGCAGTTTGACTGAACGCTGCTTCTTAGCATCAGCGGTACACACTTTGTGAGATTGAACTGAACGCTTCCTAAGCAAAAGCAGCTTTCCGTAATCTAGGTATCTCTAGCCCCTGCCATGCAGTCGCTATGCAGCACAGTGTCCACCTTGATGCATATGTAGGTCGTTGCACATAATCTCATCATCGCACATAGTTCATCGTTTTCTTCTCGGCCTCGTCTCCCCCCAAGCATCTTCGAAGACCGTGGGCTTCTTGCCGACAACGTCCTCTTTGAAATTCAACTTCCGCACCACCTTGAAAGCTCCCGTTCCTTGACTCATGCTCTGTCCCATGATGATACACTCGCTGACCCCTTCGATCTTATCCTTCTTCATATGCCACGCGGCCTCAAACAAGTGATCTGGCGTCTTCTCAAAACTGGCAAGCTGTAGCACGCTATCTCTCATCTTGCTCAACCCGAAACGCGTTATGCCCAGCACTTCGCCTTTGTAGGTCATAACATCAGCGAGCAGCTGCATGTGCCGCGGGTCAATGTCCATGTCGCCCATCACGAGGCCTATCTCATCAATGATGGTTTTTCGCGCTGCTTCAATACCGAGGACGTCGCGCATTTCCATGACGGAGTTCGTCCTAGTGGCAAGTCCATTCACCCCTTGCGTTGTCATGCAATTGCGGAGACCATAACCTTCAACTAACAGGGCGTTCTTGCCATGATCGTCAGTCTTGATGATAGCACGGGAAGTCTCAGCGTATCCGCGGATGGGGATGTTAGGAAGGATGCGCTTGACGGCATTTACACGAAGGGAGAGCTCTGTGTCTTCTCTAGCGGTAGCCTTGATGGTAGTGTTCTTGGTGCCGCGCTTATACTTGTCTAAAGCTTGGATATCAATGCGGATGTAGTCCTTGTGACATCTGATATTGAGATGGTTTAGCTTTAGCTTCTTCTGTCTCACGATCGCGTCTGTGACGTCTCGAACAGTGACGTCTAGTTGTAGACGGCCAATTGTTTCAAAATCTAGCTTCAGGGTTACATAGCTCCCATTAGGGGACCATGTATCTTCAACGTAGTAAATGATCTGTGTGAACGTCAGCGTTTGCCAAGCGTATTATTAGAAATTGACAGCCACATACGTCTTTGATAAATGTCTGTTCTATGCGGGCCTTCACCACGCGGGCGGCAGTGATGCTGTCCTTACTATAGAGTTCGCAGCTGATGACAGGCGTACTGATAGTCCTCGAAGCGTTGATGATTTCTTTGATTCGCGGAACACCTTGCGTGATGCTCATGCCGGCCACCCCAGCAAAGTGGAAAGTTTTCAGAGTCATCTGCGTCCCAGGTTCGCCGATTGACTGCGCAGCGATGGCTCCCACCGCGGATCCTGGCTCCACCTTGGCTTTATCGTACTTTTCCAAACATGCCCCGATAAATGCTATCAGGGCTGGTCTTGATATCTTTGCAGTACGCTCCGCATGTTCCTTGGCTTCTTTCACTAAGCTAGATCAGCCTTGCTTTGGGCAGAAAGCACGCCAGAACTTACTTTCTCCCTGTGAGAGACTAGATCTGGGCATGTGATTTTTCCGAAGACCCTCAGATACCCCTAGTCGCTTGCGTGCCGCTGCTAGCTCATGGGCTTTTCGAGACACAAAATCTTCGATAGTCTGCAGGAAATCTCGAGCACTCTCTTTATCATCGATGGCGGCAACACTTCGATCAAGGTACTCCAAATCCTCTCCCATCAGAGACTTGCGTGCCAAATTTGTTCGGCGTGGTTGTAATTGGTCACTGCACATTGAGATTATTTCCCAAGGCAGTAGAGTTCGGTCTTTGTTGTCCCAAGTTGTGGCCTTATGATGAAGTTAGTATCTAGCACGGAATCACGCAAGGGAGAGAAAGCGACCGACCTCTGCATGGGTAAAGGTCCTTTCGAAATGTACAGGCTTCGCCTTACCCTCCATATCAAGGGGATCAAGCTTGTCGTCTCCGAATTGAAACTGAACAACATTCGAAGAAGAATTGCGCACGGTGTCGTCATATCTCGTCGACAAGTCCTCGAGTGACTTCATCAACCTTCGAGACATATAACCGGTCTCTGCAGTTTTGACGGCAGTATCAACCAGACCTACTCTACCAGATATGGCGTGAAAGAAGAATTCTGAAGGGGTCAAGCCTGAGAAGAAGCTGTTTCGTACGAATCCCTTTGAGGGCGGCTGGCGGGCGTTCTTTGGAAAGTGAGGAAGACTCCGATCTTGAAAACCATCTGGGACACGTTTGTCATCGATGATTTGCTGTCCCACAACGGCTACCATCTGCGAGACGTTGATGTTGGAGCCTTTCGATCCTGATGTAGCCATGATCATGGGTGAATTCCACCTGCTGAGCTCTGCAAAACAATGCTCTCCAGCCTGCTGTCGAACCTTACTCAAGATTCCAGAAATCAAATTCTCCATTGTCTGTTCCTCATCGCAACCAGGGGCTTTAGCAAGATGACCATGCTTGAATCGTTCGATAAGCGCATCACACTCGCCATAAGCCCCTTCAACGAGCAGTTTCTTCAGACTTGTAAGCTTTTCACCAGGATAGACGTCGCCAATACCGATCGAGAAACCCTGATTTGTAAGCCAGCGAGCCGAGAGTCTTGCCAGGCGGTTCATAGCTTGCACGGCAGCGTCTGGGCCAAAGTCTCTCATTATCACATAGAAGACTGAATCCTTCTTCCCTGAGCCAATAGTCGATTTATCCATAACACCACACATGATCTCCGAGTTGCGTATGCAAAGCCAGCTATCGTTCTCATTCAGGTCGCGAGCTACCCCAGGCGTTACCCGGAACTGTCGACACGCTGCATCCAAGTTCACTCGGACTTTGCAGTCCTTGTTTGGGCGCATCATCACATTGAAGACCTGTTTTCCAGTCCAGAGCATTACCGGTTTCAGAATAGTTGGTGGAGGCAAGTCAATTTGCATGTTTCCCTCAACCATGTACAAGCAAATGTTCGAGAACGATTTTCGGTCGTAGAAGTTGTCCTTGTTGCTGAGCAGATACGAAGCAGTGATGAAATCTTGAATGGCAGAAATGATAGGTTCTCCATTCTTGGGTGTTGCTAGGTTATGCTTGACTCCCATCAATTCGATGGCCTCCGTACGAGCTTCTTCCGTCTGCGGTACATGCAAGTTCATCTCGTCTCCGTCAAAATCGGCGTTGTACGGATTGCATACGCACTCGTTGAGGCGAAACGTCCGATGTGGTCTGACCTTCACATAGTGGCTGAGTATGCTGAGCTTGTGCAAGGAAGGCTGGCGGTTGAACAGTACAATATCACCGTCTATGAGGTGCCGCTCGACGATATCGCCAATCTTGAGATTGTCTGCATGGACGTTCAGTCTGCCGTACTTCAAGTACTGTTTGATGTCTGTGTCCTTCTTCCAGATGTAGTTGGCTCCAGGCCACTTATTTGGCCCATTCCTCACGCGCTCTCGCAGTTTCAATATGTTGTACCGGGATGTCTTCTCGGGATACGTAAGGTTCTTCGCGACAAGCTCAGGGATAGCAACCTCATCGATCCCAAGATTTGGGTCTGGCGAAATGACTGTACGACCGGAAAAGTCCACACGCTTGCCAGATAAGTTTCCTCGAAATCGACCTTGCTTGCCTTTTAGCCGTTGGCAGAAACCTCGAATTGGCACTGCATAGCTATGTGGGGGCTGAACGCCGGGAGCGTCGCTGTTGACTATCATCGCGAGTTGGAGTTGCAGAAAGTCCCACTGCTCCATGATCGTTCCCACTGGCTGACCCGTCACAATCCCCTCGCCAAGGAGTGTATTGATGTGTACGATATCAGATATTTTGGATGTGAGGTCGTCCTCTGTTGTAGCGCCATCTTGTGGGACTGAAGGCCTGATACAGACGGGCGAAGTGGGAAAGTATTGCCATATGAACATTTCGGGTCTGCCTTCTGCAGGGTCCATGCCTAAAAGCTCGCAATCTGATGCACTGATCTTTTTGAAAAGATTGAGGACCCGCAGAGGATTGAGATCATCTGCAGCTTTCATAAAATTTCTCCCCACGCCCTCGGCTACTTTTCGAGCAGCTTCGAATGATTTGTCAAATGCAATCTTACCAGGTGGCGGTATCTTCTTCTGCGCTTTGGAATTGTCGAAGTAGCTGAATTGTTCGTGGATTATCCTCAAGGGATGAGTCCCAGCCTTCTTGACCCGTCCATTGATCTCATCGCAATAATAACAGGATCTGGTCTTCCGGCATTGCTCATTGACTTTCTTGCAAATCTGACTCTTCCGTAGATTGTCGATATTGGGTCTCCGCAGGTCCCGAAGGAAAGCTCGGCGGTCCTTCTCAGTAAGAAGCGTTCGGGCGCACCCCTACTATCTATCAGTCACCACATCTTTCTTTCTGAGCTGGACATATACTTTGCAGATGTTTTGTAGAACCGTGATGATTTTTTTGAGATAGCCGATGTGTAGGGCTGGAAGTGCGAGCTTGACATATCCGAAGTGACCATTGCATTTTTGCATGGGCTCTCCACATGTTTGACAGCATCCAACCTTGCCAGATATGCCCATAAGAGGATCGAGGGGGCCATTCGTTGCAGGGGCTCTTTCTCGAGCTAGATCATACAGCGCTCGATCACATACTTCGACGACACCTTGGTTGACTATGTCTTGGCTTGAACTAGGAGATGTCTTAGCATCAAAACTACCTGTTGAGTTTGGCAGCTCACGCGACTCCAAATCTGAGCTCCTTGATTCGTTTGGGCAGTGTATCCACCAACTGCTCCTTCACAGACTCAGTGGCAGTAGCCATGATAAAAGTCAATGACTACCCACGGTTGTGCCAAGGCGGGGACTTGGGATGAGCGTGTATATACATCAGTGTTGCTCAGAGCGCCGGTATTACCAGGTATGTCTGGCGTTGCAATGATCCCGATGCTACGAATGTTTTTTGAGCTTCGAGTCACAGCACAAGTTTTGGCGGTAGTGGGGACCATCCCTGCAAAACGATCTGCGTGCCCTAACCCTCGGCTCCCCAGCTTTTGGTTTTGGCTACGGAGTACGGGAGAACTATTTACCGGGACCCCTTTTTCTCAGGGGCCTCACCAGGCCTCAGCATTTTACACCAAACATCGAACGTTGGATCCGGATCAAATCAAACCGATTTTAGTTATGGTAAAAGTGAAGTTGCGTAACTCAACCATGAAAGATGTACGAGTATTGGTAAGGTACACCAAAGCTAGTGTTATTCCACTTATTACGCATACCAAGAAAGAAACCAAAATTGTATTTCTGGTCATGAGATCGTCAAGCCATCGGGTTCCTGCTCATGTTGCACAAGAATCGAGCCATAATTAATCCCTTCGCCCGAATACCGCTGACGAGAACCTCTGACCCCTACAAAGCCGGCCATAGGCATCTTCATCACTTCGCTCACCCTAGGTCTTCTATGCGTGGGACAACAGCCTAGGGACCCATCCAACCACCGTCGATTCCTCCATTCGCTCAAGCATCCTCTTGAATTCTACAGTTTCTTCCTCAATCGTACTTTGAAGCCACATCGCAGAACGAACCATCGATTCCGTACCTCCAACCCTTCACCTTCCTCTGATCCAAGCAGCTCGAACTAATGGTTACTTATTCCCAGTCAGCTCGATGTACTAGTCCGCCCTCTGGTATAGCCTCTATAGAGTGGTTACTCACATTGAAACGTCTCAATAACGTCGGCACCACTTTGTAGATCTCCAGAAGGGAGATGTTCTTCCCCAAACATGACCTATGACCGGCCTCGAACTGCATAGTGTTGAAGAAGTGGAACATCAGCATTGTGTGCTCCTTGAGTTCTCATAGCAGGCAGCAAGGAGGCAATGGAAGGAGAGAATTGACGGATTCCGCCGGTAGGAAAAAGTATGACCAACCGTAAGCAGCGCGCTTTCCATTCTCTTCATCTTTTCCGGGTCGCAAAGCCATCTTTCGGGCCTCCAGTCATCGCAATCCTCCCCAAACGTCTCCTTGTCTCTGTGCGTAACCCACGCGCTCATACCGACCATGCGAGACCTGGAGGCCGCCGAGACGGCGTTGAGGATGCCGGAAGCCCCTTCGTAGGCCGAGGTGGAGTCAATCACGACATCGATGGGTACGGGGGAGATAAGATGGGTGAAGCTGCTCGGATCGCTGACATCGCCGATGACGGGGATGACCACGTTCTGGACGAGAGTTTTGGCTTTGGCAGGGGTGCGGACGAGACCGTGAATGGTGTAGTTGCAGAGCGGAAGAGAGACTTGACGAGAGGGAGGCCAAGGTAGCCAGTGGCGCCAAGGATGAGGACAGTAGGCATGGTGGGGCTAATCGTTGGAAAGATGAGAAGTGAACTGGTATGAATTTGGGGTGAGGGGAGATGTGTTTGTCCAAGTATGTTGTGGTATGCGAATGGTCAATTGTAGGAGGAATCAATAACTTGATGAGGACAGTATAGAGGAAAATGACATTTTTATAAAGTCGCGTGGCATGGCATCAGACCAGGTGAAACCGCATTTATAGATGCAGGTGGTGAGATCTCCGATCTGTCAAAGGCCGATGCGAGCAATGAAGCGCAATTAACATCAATATCTCCATATCTCCACACCTCCATATGCGGTTTCCAAAAATACCGTGTTTGCCATCGTCATTGATTGGTTGGACATCTTGTTGACCTATGAGTGAGCATGGATTCTCGGCTTCATCTCCGCAACAGATCCCTTCCGTGTTCAGAATGACTGAAGATAATCCCTTCCCTAAGCCCAATGGCCAACCTGTGTATAGAAGGGATGTAACAGTGAGCGTGAAGATAAAGTAGTGGTCGTCAAGTAAACTCATAAGGCTGAACCCGCACTCCCGTCTCTTAGGGCCCGGATTTAGGCTAAGATATCCGGAGCTAGCTTAGTGAAGGGAAAACAAAAGCCGAGTACCGAGACCGTCAGCATTGCTAAAGCTTCAATCCGACTGTCATTAGATGCTAGCAAAAATCGAGGGTTTTGCGCCTATCAGCGGATCCAAGGGAGCGAAGAAAGCGAGAGAGAGTGTGTGAATGTTGCTGCTTGACTGCTTGCCTCTGAAGGTAGACCTCGGCAACATGACGAGTGACAGGATGTACAGGAGAATAGATAGGAACCAGATGACAGTCAGCCATTTCTACAACGCTGCTTCCACATCTCGTAGAGCCATCTTTCAGCGTACCCAAGGTGGAACAGATTCTTTCGCGGAGACTCGCTCAGGGTGTGTAACATCCAGCGTGGCAAGTCAAATCCGAACTGAGCACTCATTGCAACTCGGTGTCTTTGGCTGAGCTTTCCAGCTGGGTAAGGTGTCTGCCTCAACGAATGATTGCTCAACGCCTATCAGCCGATCTTCGGTTGATTTCCATCAATCAGATCTCTTCTTCCACGAGGCGGCTCGTTGGGACCTGACATGTGCCTTTTCTTTTCCCCGAAGTTGGCATCCTAGTTTGCCATGTGGGACGGATTGCCATGTGAGACGCAGGGTATTTCATGGGTCAGATGGCAATCTTGATGCTGTCATCTATACTAAGACCACTGTTCTGTAGCCTCAGATGGTCAATCTCTATTCCCGGGACTACTTGGGCCGTTCATCATGGGCAATCCGTTCGACCATCCTACCTCAACTATGGTACCTTAGGGTTATCTCAGCTGAATCTATATGAGGCTGTGCTCCATGCTGTGCCGTCTCTATCGTTCCGCAGGCAGCATCAACGCCCTGGACGATGTATTAATCCTTGTCTCTTAGTATATGTATTGTCATGTGCACTCTTTCGTCTTCCTCTCTACACTCTTAAGCATTCTCTTACCTCTGACAACGAATTGCGGTCGTCTCTTCTCCTGAAACTTCTCGCTTCATTGCGCATACTATAGATTGTTTTTGGTCTTTTTCCCTTCTTTTTCCCTTCCATACTTCTTGTTGAATAGGTTGGTACTATGCTCTTCCACAGAGCTCGTACCTTGGTTACACACCTGGTCATTTTCGAGGCCGGCACATTTGTAGCGGGACTTGTTCAACAGCAGACGAACGGTAGAATTGAGATAGCCCATTTCTCGTCTCTGAGCGCTGATGAAGAATTGCATAGGCAACTCATCGCTCGGAACCTCTTTGGCACCTATACTCCCAGTGTTTCTGACAGACAATGTAGAATCAACTATCTTTCTCGTCTGAACCTTGGAGACTAGTCTTCTGCATAGCCCCTGCCCAATGGCTTCCCTTGGAATACTATGGACGCAAATAATACCAAACCTTACGAGAGATCGCCAGACACTGCTTGGACCTATGAACCATCAACCACTTTCTTGCAGAGTTGACATTGCGCAAGTGTATATAAGAATTACAACCTCACTATCAAGCGTGCATTCCTCACTCCTGATTGTATTAATAAGAGCATGATTATTATCAACGGAGCATATCCAGTTATGCTCTGGTTGAAACAAAAAGTTCGGCTAATGTGAACAATAGCCGATGCTCGAAGCGAATTGGGTACTCTTTCGGAGTCTTTCAAGTGAAGCGCTAAAATGTGACAACTTTCAGGGCGACTGGTTCAATATCACCGTGAATAATTAAATCTCTGATCCCGAATAGGGAACAAGTTTGCACTGGTAGGTGAGGAATATATACATGCATGATGTGCTTTGCTAACTGTCATCTCGGCATGGGTAAATTGTACAGTGCTCTTGCGGTGGAAAAGGCTTAATCATGGTTCACTTAGATTACTGCAAAAAGAAACCCAGTATTATGGAGTACGGTCTGTCGGTCAACGCCCTATTGCGCCTGGTAAAAGTTTCTTCTACACTTTCAAGGCAGACTTGTACGGTACTTCGTGGTATCACAGCCACTACTCCGCGCAATATGCTGCGGGCATTGCTGGACGTAAGCCGGCACCGAACACTTAACGGTGGAACTCCCCTGACAAGAAATAGCTACGATCATATATGGACCTTCCAACGCACATTACGACATAGATGTTGACCCGGTCGCTGTGAGCGATTGGTACCGCAAGGAATACTTTGACACCGCTCAGGCAGAGGTGATGGCAGACGGGCCTCCGCCACGATTTGACAACAACATGGTCAACGGAAAGGGAGACCTCAATTGCATCGTACCGAGTAACTGTAAGACCGTCTTTGCCATTGTTGTCTCACCTACGCAATCAGCTCTGTTAGATGTACTCCGGTCCTTTTCACATCAGGCGCGCATACTCCTCCAAAGAGGTATTTACGCAAGTTGTGCCTGCGACTCGACTGGTCTAATCCCACGCTTTGCTATTCGTGGATTTTCAAAGAAAGCACGCTCCCATCGACCTCCAGGTCTTGGTAGATGGTCACGTATCTGAAATTCCCCTAGTGCCTCTCGTGATTTGGGGCCAAACAGTATTATGGCCAACGTCAATAGAATATTACTCTTTGGTGGTCAGGGATCACTCAAGGATCTGCTCTGCCCACAAGGCACATCCACAGCATTCCATGACGTGAAATCGAGCCCGGCTGCCGCGATCCTTCAGTCCAAGTGCCATGCAGTCTTTCTCGAAGACGTGCAAACCCTTGGTGCCGCCAAGTCTCGACCTCTTGTTCCCTCCTGAACACCTTCTAGATCCAGATGTTGTATATCATGACAATCCAATCATTCAGGGGACTTCGATCTGCCTCCACCAGCTTTGAAGGTATCTCTCGAATTTGGAAGAATGCGGGTAAAGCATGAACCTGCTTTTGGACAGATCGTGGAGACGGCGGGATTTTGCTCCGGCATTCTAACAGCAGCTGTGGTGGCTTCGTCACCTTCCGTACTAGAATCTATCGACCATGGTGTGGATGCGTTTCGGTTAGCTTTCTGGACTGGCTTTCAAAGCGCCGTCTATTGCGAGCGATTATTAGGCCGCTCTTGGAAGATCATCCGTGGTCTTTGGTTGTATTTGGTCTAGGCAAAGATCAAATGTTGTCGCAGCTGCGAAAATTTAGGAACGAAGTTAGTGTTCGGATGATGCTGTCGAAGAAAAGCTACTTACACAGATAATAGTCTGGCTGTAAATCACTCAATATTGCAGTGATATCGAGCGATGTGTGCATTACCTTGTCCGGACCAGGACCTGATTTGATCAACCCATTCATGTGATTTTGAGCGAAATTCTTTCGACGTCGGACTTGAGTTTCACAGTCTTGTCCCAAAGTTGTGGCTCGAGGCCAGAGACCCTTCATTGCTCCGGGACCGTTTCTGCAGAGTATGTTTCGAACATCACAGCGAATTGGGTCCGCAAAGGTGCCCTGGTGAGGAGACAAAAGGCCCATCTGTTCGCCGACAAGGGCGAGAAACTAAAACAATTTCCAAAGAAAAATGCTCTACGAAACGGTTTTCTCCCGTGTCGTCGAACACTCCGAAGAGTATCAAACTTTAGCGTCCATCAGCGTTTCAGAATCCAGTGGTGAAGCTTATGGATCGTTCAAGATATCTAGCCGTTCCAAGACAGAAAAAGCAATCACCTTGCCCACCTTTACTGACACCTTGTTGCACGCGGCAGGATTTGTTGCGAATACCAGCATCCGTGCGACCGATGCCAGTATCTGTGGGGAAGTTGAGTCTGTCCGGCTACTTTATGGGGAAATTGATTAGGACGAGCCTATGACTGTTTATCGCAGCCTCTTTGACATCGATGAAGGCACAGTATTAGCCGATACCTATGCGTTGGATTCGACTGCCAGGATCATCGCGGCTGTTGAAGGTATGCATTTCAAAAAACTTATCCTATCATTATTCAAAGCAGTGCTTGAACGTATCATTGGGAAATCCTACGGCGGAGAACTACCCTCAGCTGCTGAAGTTCTTCCCGATTCGTCCGATTCGCCACCGCTTCCTTCAGGATTCAAGAGTCCATCAGTACCCGAAGACGGTATTTTGCGACAGCAAAACATCAAGGCTAAATCACCCGTATTATCATGGATTCCTGTGAGTTACCGGAGGCTGAGGTGAACGCTAATAAGAACAAAGATCTTAAGACTTTGGGCGTGGACTCGTTGATGATACTAGAGTTTGTTTCTGCTGTCAAAAAGGGATTTTCCGATCGGTCAGTAGAAGAGTCGGCATTGATGCAATGCTCAAGCATACATGATCTTGAGAGCGCCATTCAATCTGCTTGCAGCACGCCTCCTTCTCAGACGCCGGACGACACGAGCTCAACTGCAACCACTGATACGAGTTCGGATATCAGTGGCTTAGGAAAGACAGAAAAGGAACTAAGGGGCCAAAGCCCGAAAGGTCCAGGAGCCCAAGAGCTGAAAATGGACGGCTCACCGGTCTCACTTGAGGAAGGTGACTCCACAAGTGCTTCGCTCTATCTTTTCCATGATGGCAGCGGTCTTTGTAAAATGTACTCGGAAATGCACGACATAGGACGCGATACGCATGGTTTCTCTAACCCTGGATTTTTCGAAGCCGACGATCAACCTTCCAGTTTGCTTCACATGGCGGCACGTTACGCACCACATATAGACACCTCAGCAAAACGTCCCGTCATTCTTGGAGGTCAGTAGCTTGCACTCCAGTCTACATCGCTCCCTTGTAGCTTTCCGACAAGTTCTCCCACCTGTGATTTAAGTATCCTGCCAAGGCTGTTGATGCTTACAGGTTTACTTTTATTAGGGTACTCCTTTGGGGGCGTCGTTGCGTTTAAGCTGGCGCGGCAGTTTTTCCAGGAGGGCAAGCAGGCAGGAGGGCAAGCAGGTCAAAGGCGTTGTTTTGATCGAATCCCCTTACTCACTCGACCCCAAGCCGCTCCCGAACGCCATCATTGCCCATGCCACGAAAGCGGGATCTACGAATGACTCTGGAAATGCATCTAGACAGCGCGTGTCGGCCCAGTTCCAGAGCAATGCAGCGTTGCTGGGAGTGTACAAGATGCCGCGGACAAGTGTTGCGTATCCCAAGGTCATCATGCTGCGGAGTCGCGAGACTCTAAACAGCGAAAGTTATGCGGTGTCCGGTATCCATGGATCAGTGACCAAAGAGCGCGATCAGAGGCTGTCGTCGCATGGGAGAAGCTCGTGGGGCAGAGCATTCAGGTACTAGACATACCAGGCAACGACTTTGAAGCTTTTGCGCCTCAGAACGTAAGTCCCCGTCAGGTCCTCTTAAAGCCCCCAAGGCTCTAGCTGTCACTTACAAGCAGTGGTAGACTATAAGCTGATCGGCCATGCCAAACCGATACAGATTCCCAAATTGTCCCAGCAACTGCAGAAAGCTTGCGAATCGATTGAAGCCAGTTGATTACGGCAACACGGCAGAGACCACGACACGTCGGCAAGCGGATCGTGGCCTGTATTCTAGATGCTCCCGGCGACAAGTGTCACTCATGTCCCTTCCGAAATGGTTGATGATGGAGCTTCAAGTGCCTTGGGAATGGAGGCACCCGGCCCTGCTTAGAAATGGCAGTGAGACAGGCCTATCTATACGAGCAACACCACGGCAGTATCTATGGGAAGATCCTCCGTTTACAACTGCCAATCTTCTCCACCAGAACACATACCGAAGCTCTCTCGCAACCAAATTTAATGATAATCCTCCAACCGACATCGTACTCTACTCGACGCTGTTCCGGAGCAAATGCCAAACTCAAACACCGGCTTCGTCTGTAAACGGTGCGTGTCCTTACTGTGGCTGCTAGCGATATGCCGTCCGCCAAGACAGTACAAGCTCCCTACTTTTACTTTACTCCGCCAAAGTTCGAGAAGTCGAGACCGCCTCTGTGAGTCCGGTCCCGCGTTACTTTAGCGTCGAGGCTAGAATCCGCGGCCGGACCGAGGTAGGCTAGAAGTATAAGTAGTGTGGTTTATCTTCCTTGAGTACCTACCTACCTACGACGAGTACATTCGAGAAGTGAGCTACGACGCTAATATTTAGGGTCTTGGCACTCAGCCAAAGCTCTTACCTTTCTTAATCATTGAAACAAAAAAATTTGGCACCCCATAATCAAATATCAAAAATTTGAATTTCCTATATAACCCACCACCACTTATTTTTACAGCTAAAAACTTTACGAAATCACTTACTATATTAAAATCACCGTAAATTTAGAAAGATTTTAATTCTAATCTTATAAGTGAAATTAAAACAGAATATATCGCGAACTTCAAAAATTTACCTCGGCTATTTTTTTTACCGCCAAGACTATTCGAAAAATCTAAGAATTTATTAAATCCTTATTCTATAATAGAACGAATAATTAAGATCTTCTATAATTTGATAATCATAATCTCTCGTATAATTATTAAAATTTTAAAATTTTTAGAGCGTTGTAAGTTATCGTTGTGAGGCTATTCAAGAAAAGCACTTTTTTGTTTTTTAGAGGGGGTGCCAAAATCGCGATTCTAGTTTCCCAATGATTAAGAAAATAGGGGTAGGGGTTCTCCCGCCACTACTAAGCGAGGTAGCTCACTTCTCGAATGTACGAGTACTTTCCGTGCGCGGCGGGTTGTGGAGTACATACCCACCAATCGAACTGCGCAGATCGGAGTTGATGTAAGCATGTTTGATTTGATTAGATTAGATTGGATCAAACCGTGCCGGTGGCCAGTGCGCTGGGATGATACAGTAGGTACTGCTGTATCTTACTTGATGTTCATTGCAGACGTTGCCGACGCTGCAGGTGCCGTGGCCATTACTACCATGTAAGCATAGAGCCGATGAGGTTAGTTGTCACGAATGCATTCGGATTGCTAGACTAGGCTAAGTCGCTACCTGCCAATCGGTAATTTTTCCTCCCCGATTTGCAGCGTTGGCATTGACATTGCTCATCAACCTGTCAAAAGCCGCCTGGTCCTCTCCCCGCTCAAACGCAGCCCCATTCTCCTCGGAGTCGTCGCAGCACTCGCCATACTTATCGTCCAGCATCGCGTACCCGAACACGCGTCGTTTCGCAACGTCGCTCGGCACCCGTCTTATCTGCCGCACGTCGCCCGGGCACACCGGCTCCTTTTGGAGGCTGTCGGGCTCGAACGTCAACGGCGCGTCATCGGGGCATATCTCGAGGTGGGATAACTTCTTCAGATCTGCCCCGTGCAGGGTCTCGAAGAAGTGGGCCCAGTAGAAGCCGTCGTTGTCCTGTAAGCCGTTGACGCTGCTGTGGCAGTCGTGCAGGGTGAGCCGCTCCAGGGTGTCGGTGTGGCCGAGGACGAAATCGACGAGCTCTTGGCAGATGAAGATGTGCTCCAGATGCAGGGACTGGAGCAGCGGCATTTGCTCCTTTGTCAGCGCGAGGCGTGCGTGTCGCATCCCTTCCAACCCGATGGGCCCTTCGTCCGTGGCCCTGAGTGTCAGACTCGTCGCCGACGCCAGGTGGTCGAAGAACAGCTCGTCGAACCTCGCGACGGACTCCAGGTACCCATCGCACGTGTTCACGCACCAGCACGCACCGTTGTTCCCCCCTCTCACAGAAAGGCGAAAGTGCTCGACATGGCTCAGGAACTTTTGGAAGCCCTGGCTTTCATACGGTTCAGTGAACGTCCATACAAATTTCCTGATTTCCACCGCCCTCAGCTGTGGTGGTTTGCTGCGTAACAGCGTCTCGTACGTTGTCGTCATCAGCGCCTTCCGGGCGCGCGCTGCCGTGGGGTTTTCGTTGACCATGATTCCCTCGGTCTCGTAGTATTCGTCGAAGGGGTCGTCGTTGGGATAGGTGAAGCCTATGCTTAGAGACTCGAGATTGGGGAATTGATGCAGATCTGATAGGAGGTCATTGACGACAGGGGGGAATGTGATAATGATTGGCCTTTCCTCTCCTTCGGCATCGTCGGATTCTTTATAGGATCCCTCGGCCAAAGGATCATCGTCCTCATCGTCGTCTAGGTCATCTATGTCCGGTGGAATAGTGCCGAGAAAGTAAATTCCCTTCACGAGAGCACCATGTGGACTTTTCAGAACGGCGTCCACGGAAGCGCCGCTCTTCACATCATTGCGCAGCTTGATACTCTTGAAGATGTACGGGGCAAGCAGATTTCGAAAGTACAGCGACGTGGAGCTCCAACTCATCAGATCGCGATGGTACTGGAAGTCGTCGTCCCAGTCTTGGTTGAACCTTTTGGGATCCGGCTTCAACGACTCCTCGTGGAGGAAGTCGTCATGCTTGAGAAGCTCTTGGATGATGTTAAGATGAAGTTCATCGGATAGGTCGACTAGAGAGCAACGCATGGCTACCAGTTTAATGTTCATAGAGGCAAGCTGGTTGTGCTGTACACATTGTCAGCCTCAACATGTAACAAACATTCATGCACGTAAGATGTAGTCAGCAAGCCTCCAAATTCTTAGCGTCCGTTATGTGGGCTGTAGTACCGTGGGGTGACTACACGTCACAGTACTTCCTCGCCTATTCCTTCCTCAGCATCAAGAAGGTGGGAAAAGATCCTGAAGTCTCTCAAGATAATGCTCACTAACGAGACTAACCAGCCGATTACTTACGCTACCGTCTCACGCCTGGCTAAGGTGCAACATGTTTCCGTGGTATAGCTTGACAACGATGCACGTTAAGAAGAAGATAGCTTGTGGTGGTTAGAAGTTAGAACTCGGGGAATTTGCCCGGGATTAGGAATGCACGACCCTCCTGCTCTTCTGTTGACTGTTGACAGATCTCGAAGCTTAATCCCACTGGCTAGGTACAGAGGTACAGTACTCCTCAACTTTCCTGTTACCCCGTCTTTTACTAGCTAAAAACCGTCAACGGCTGGATGGCAATGTACGTTGACGCGCACGCAAATCAAAACTCCGTCAACAAGGCCTTCTACTACTCCTTATTTGGATAGCATTTGTCTTAGTAATATGCCTTGATGCTACAAGATCGAATTGCCATAACCTGATCCCTGCCCTTAGCTTGTGCTTGTTCCGGCGAGGCGGGCCTGTCAACCAGATTTCTCTGTCGGGCTTTTGCCTGCTACTGAGCTCGCTCTGTCGACGAGGATCCCCGTTAGGTGGCTGCTTCTATCGAACTCAATCTGACATGGACCGTTGTCCTGTTCCGGTAATGATACGACTGCTAATATGACAGCTGTCTGCACCAGGCTAGACCTGGGACTACCAGAGTGACAGAGTAACGGTAATTGTCATATTGCCAAGCGGTCAATGCTCTGCTCAACTCCCGTTCTACAACCACATCACTTTAGCGAGACAGCTCTAGATATCTCAATCTCATCAGACGGCTACCACGCTGATCTATCCGTTGTCCTAGATCCTGGCCCCTGATCTTGGTCCCAGCACGGGCTGCACTACGACTCAACCTAGCGTCCCCCCAGATTGAATTCACTCCGTGCTCATGGCGCCAGTATCATTGTCATTGATATCGTGCGCTTTGGACAAGGTTTAAATGGCGTCTAGATACCGCGAACAGGTGCTAATCCGCCGGCTCTGCAACTCCGGCCAATGAGAATTGTTCGAAGCTCGCTCCTGTCCCGCGATCTGGCTTGAGTTCGAATAGTCTTTGACTTGGCGTGAGCCACACGACCCAGATGCTGAAAGAGCATCGAAGAATATGGGACACAGAACCTTGCGGCGTCAAGCGGGTCCGTGATCGCCAGGGCTATGCCACCATGATTGGAAAATTAGCATCGAGACCTGCATACTACAAGGTAGCTTACTCTATGGTGTCTCCAGCGTCGGCAGCTCTACATATAAACCTTTTCTCCCAGCGTCATCACGTATTCCTCCGTTGCCCGCCAAGTGTTCGACCGCCTCTGATTTATCCAAATTAATTGAAATCCTTTGACAATCTTGTTCTCGTCGTATATTCTGTTGGGCTTTGCAATCATGACGCCAGTACATAAAATTGTCAACGGCGTTCACGGTGGTACTGGTGGTCTTGTCAACGGCAATGACGGTGGTACCAATGGTACTGTTAACGGCGTTCACAGCGGTGCTCATGGTTCTATTAACGGCATACACGGCGGTAATAGTGATCATGTCAATAGTCCTCAACATCCGGTTCAGGACAACGCAACTTTCATCACTGACCTAGATGGGGTCGATCAACCTCGGCTTGAGCCTATTGCTGTCATTGCTTTTTCTCTCAAGTTCCCGCAAGATGCCACCTCACCTGAAGTGTTCTAAAAGATGCTGATGGAAAAGAGATGCTCCATGACTGAGTGGCTCAAAGAAAGACTTAACCTGAATGCCTTCTATCATCCAGATAGTAGTAGACCGGATACGGTATTGTTATGCTCATCGCTCATGCCACATTACCATCTCTGATCTCTGCTTGACCAGATTCCTTCCAAAGGCGGTCATTTTCTGGAAGAGCCTCTTGGCAATTTCGATGCGCCGTTCTTTTCCATAACACCGACCGAAGCTGCAGCCATTGACCCACAGCATCGCCTGCTTCTTGAGACTGCCTACAGAGCCTTCGAGAATGGTGGGTGTTTTCCGATCTTTGAGCAATATGGGCTTTGCTAATTATCATCAGCAGGCATATCTATGGAGAAGGCGTCGAACTCAAAAACCTCGGTTTACACCGGTTGCTTGGCAGACGACTGCAGATTAGGAATTTTCAAAGATCCTGACATGCTTCCGATATACAGTGCCACCTGGATCGCGGTCGCCATGCTCGCTGCCCGGCTAAGTTGGTTCTTCAATCTCACCGGCCCATGTGTGAATTTGGATTCTGCCTGCTCCAGCAGCATGATGGCTCTTGACCTCCCATGTCAGGGATTACGCAACAGAGACTCAAATATGGTAGGTCAGCTCTTCGAGGGATCTGCTTTGCTTTGCTCATTTGCTGTTATAGGCCCTCGTTGGCGGCGGCAACCTACTCACTTCTCTCGAATTTCATAAATGCTGTCGAATATGAACTTCATTTCCCATGATAGTCGGAGCTTCAGCTTCGATTATCGAGGCAACGGCTATGGGAGAGGCGAAGGTTTTGGGGTTGTCGTTCTCAAGCGATTGACTGACGCGGTCAGAGATGGAGACACCATCCGCAGCCATTCGATCTACAGGATCAAACCAGGATGGCCGTACTCCAGGCATCACACAACCGAATCGTGATGCCCAGGAAGTTTTGATCAACGAAACGTACGCAAAGGCTGGGCTGGACATGCAGACTACAAGATACGTCGAAGCGCATGGTACCGGAACAGCAGTAAGACACCCGAAAACTGGCTGTATCCGGCTTGATGCTTACACCTGAATTTAGATTGGTGACCCAATTGAGGCCAGCGCAATCGGGCTGGCATTCAGAAAATATCCTAGCGCTGAAGAGCCAATGTACATGTACGTTTGTCATCTATGCTTCCGTGTCTCGGATGTTTAAGCAGACTTTGCCTAGGAAATCCAACTAATCTTTTCAGCGGTGCTATGAAATCCAACATAGGTCATCTTGAAGGTGCAAGTGGAGTCGCCGGTGTCATCAAGGCGATCCTGATTTTAGAAACCGGTGTTATTCCCCCTAATGTTAATATTGAACATCTGAACCCGGATATTGATGCGGATTATCTGAGGCTGAAGGTATGAGCCTCGACGCTGAATGTGCTTCATGTTTCGTTTTGATCGTCTTCTAGTTCCCTGTACACAGCACCCCTTGGCCATGCAGAGGACTTCGCAGAGCTTCAATATCTTCGTTCGGATTCGGGGGATCCAACAGTCATGCTATCAATGATGATGCGTACAGTTACTTACGTCTCAGCAATCTTGCTGGAAACCATTGGACAGTGCGTGGGCCTCCTACTCTTGAGTACTTGGAGCAGGGTCCGGAGCCTTCCAAGCTACTCTCACTTTCTGGAAACTTGTCCCAACAACCAGTGAATGGAGAAGGTGAGGCTATGAGGCCAAGATTACTAATTTGATCTACGACAGATGAAGGTGGCTTGGCACGTCTTGCAGATTCATATGATGCGCACATATCAGAGTTGACTTCGTCCTTGAGCCCCACGGAAGCAACAGCATTTCTTTCGAACTTGGCCTACACGCTAGCCAACGAGATCCAGCAGAGCGGTTACTGGGTTAAAAATTTGACCTCGCCAGTCATGTTCTCGGATGCATTAGCGCAAATGTGTTCTGAAAAGAACTCAGAGGCAAAATTGGAGACGATCGAACTTTAGTAGAAGTAAACAAACTTGTAGAGATTGGGCCACATAGCGCCATGCAAGGTCCCACCAAGGACATCTTGAGGGGAATCGACAAAGACGGTATCAGCTATGACTCGGTCATGGTCCGATCTGTCTCAGCATTGGATACTTTGCTTGACGCAGTTGATCGTTTAACCTGCTTTGGCTATCCAGTCGATATCTCTGAGGTCAACAAGTCAGGTATGAAACCTGCAATTCAGATGGTGCTGCCCAATCTTCCCGAATACCCTTTCGATCACTCACGAAGTTACTGGCACGACAGCAGATACAACAAAGATGGCTGGAGATTTCGCAACAACCTTCGCCTAGACCTACTTGGAACTCCTGTTTCAGATTGGAATCCTTTGGGCGCAAGATGGCGAAAGATCATTCGAATCTCTGAGACGCCATGGATCGAGGACCACAAGGTCTGGGAGTCTCCCCGTTCGAAAACATCTGAGCTGACTCTGTGAATCAGGTTAACGGCTCTGCTGCGTACTAGTACCCCACGGCAGGAATGCTGGTCATGGCTCTGGAAGCTTGTAAACAACCTGCCAAAGAGAAGCGGCGTGTAGCTGGATACACAATCAAAGATGCAACTTTCCACAACCCTCTGCCTATAGCGCCAGGTCCCAACGGAGTAGAAGTACAACTTTGCCTCCGAACCGAGGAAGATTGATTTAAGAAAGATTCTGTAACGTCAGACTTGCTATTGTACATCAACAACGACGGTCATTGGGACGAGAATTGTTTGATCAAAGAGAAGAAATTGCATGGTCCGCAACCATTGCGAGTCTTTGGAATCTCTGAAATTGAGACTGCTTTCCGTTCCTTCCAAAATGGAAGCAATTCTGGCAAAATGGTCATGGAAATGAGGAAGCATGACAAAGTCCCTGTTCGTATACACACCGTCTCCATACAGCTTGACGGGCTCTTGATTGATATGGTGACGTTAGACTGTAATTGAGACCAAATCCGATTATATTTCGATGAACACTCGTCATATCTAACTGCCGGAGGCCTGGGAGGTCTAGGTAGAAGCACTGCAAGGTGGCTGGTGAGCCGGGGCGCGAAGAATCTCATTCTGCTTTCTCGCTCAGGAGCTCAATCACATGCTGCAATTGGACTGATCGAAGAGCTCAAAGCTAAGGGTGCTCATGTGGAAGCACCACCGTGCGATGTAACCAAGGCGGACATGCTTGAGTCTACATTAGACAAACGTGCGGCGACCTTACCGCCCATCAAAGGTGTCATTCAGGGGTCTATGGTTTTGAATGTGTGTCGCTGTTTGCTCTTCAACATCATTCTGTGCTGACAATCCGGAAGGACGCCGTCCTTGAAACAATGACATCCGAAGACTGGACAACGAGCGTTGCGCCTAAAGTTCAAGGCTCTTGGAATCCCCATTCCCTCCTCCCTCAAGGCATGGACTTCTTCCTCTGCCTCTCATCGATCGCGGGCGTAGTGGGATCCGGTGGCCAGGCCAATTATGCCGCTGGCAATACATACATGGACAGTCTTGCCCATTATCGTGTAGCGCGGGGCGAGAAAGCAACGAGCCTAGACCTTGGCTGGATGGAATCCGAGGGTGCCGTAGCGGAGATTTTGTTTCTTTCCACAAGCATGGCCGCTGGAGGCTTGTTCATGCCTATTTCTCAAGCGGAGTTTTCCGCGTTGCTAGATCATTATTGCAACCCCAACTTGGACACCACGTCAGCATCAGCCACACAGGGGGTCATCGGTCTTGAGACACCGGCTACACTGCAAGTCAGGGGCCTGAAGGAACCTCACTGGATGCAGAGAAGGACCTTCCGGCATCTACACCAAACGGGCCTGGGCAAGCAAGATACCTCGTCTTTCGAACAGAGCGTCGACTACGCGGCTTCCCTCCGCGAAGCTTCCTCTGAACAGGACGCCGGGCAGGTCGTGAAAGACTGCCTTCTGCAGAAGCTATCCAGGTCGCTATCGATGCCTCGCGACGATATCGACACGTCAAAGCCCTTGCACGCATACGGCGTGGACTCGCTCCTGGCAGTGGAATTGCGCAACCACTTCGCCAAGGAGATGAGCGCGGACGGGGCAATCTTCGATCGCATGGGCGGCCCGAGCATTGACGTTGTGAGTTTGACGGTCACGAAGGAGAGCACTTTTTCCCGTTCGGCTTCTTGAAAGGAGCGTTTGAAATATTCTACGAGCGGTACGGCCGTGATACGTGCAATTAGTCGATTGGTGGAAGTCGTTTCTGCAATCCACGTCCTCTGCTGCTTGTCCTGTTTTCATAAGGTACAAGTAGCCAAGTTCTGTCCTTTGCACGAAACCAACCCCTCTTCACCCACGATATAGACGTTACTCCGATCATGGCCATCATACCCGCAAAGCAGATAGTATTCCGACGTCACGGCAGCCCGGTGTATTGCGAGGGGGTGTGTCTTCACCAGCACCGGCTGTTGGCTGAAAAAATATACGGGTTGCCAATTATAAAACGTGTACGATTCAATAATCGCCCGTCTTTCCCAAGCGAAAACGAAAAGGCTACGGAAGGTAGCGTTGGAAACGCCGAGAAGATGGAATGTCACTCTGACTGAGAAGGAAAGGCTCCGACTACCTACATGATTTCCGGGCCGGGCCGGGGTGGGGTTCATGAAGCCAAACCCCACCCGGCCTCCCGCTGCCGCGCGCTTACAGGTAAAGTAAGTACTTTAGTCCCTTGGCAATATCAAAATATCCAGCCCAATGAATGAATGAATTCTCCGAGAAGCCAAACTGACCCTTAGAAGCTGAAATACCATGCAAATCCAAAAGTCAAATCATGCAAATCGGTTCTTCTACTGATAGGAACTTTGACCCCGATCGTGGTCCCACTGATCGCACTTGCAATTTCGAAAACAACTCGCAACCGAATTGCCGATCCTACCAGCTCGCTAAGAGCCTTGTCGAGCTCGTCGCGCGTAGATCGAACACGGAGCAGTATACCTATAGTCGGGCTGGTGCTCGTTGATGAGAAGACGATTAATCCTGCTGGAAGCAGCTTTCGCTCCAGAATAGGGTCTTTTGGCCTGCAGTACCCTCTTTCTTACCCTGCGGAATCATTGACCCTACAATACTTTTCGATTATGCTACGATACCCTCCTGTTCTACGATGGGCTTTGCACCTCCCATACTCTCCCATGCTACGATGGTCTTCTACTTTGCAGTGTTTCTCTATCCTACGAAACCAGTTCATCGATGCGTTAATCTTCAAAACCGAAAAATTCGCATGGTTCTGTTGGTTCGATTCATCACTCTGACTGAAAAAGAAAGGCTCCGATTGTATGTTTCAGAGACGCTCTTCGCCATGCCCCTTCTTTCACGAGGCTACAGCTCAGGCTCAGACGGGTGAAGAGTGAAAGACTCCAAAGAGATCCTAGCTCTATCAGTATTAACGCACAGACTTCCGTAAGGCAGCTGCAAACGAGGTGTAAGTTCCGATAAAGTCACGCCCGCTAGTGGCTTGACATTACAGCGAGCTCCCTGCAGTAACGCTATCGTGTTATCAAATGACGATCCCGCCGTTCCAGTCCCTCGGATCTGAAGGTAGTCCTCATTTGGCCAGGAATGCTTGGAAAGCCTTAGAGTCAATTGTGATGTTACCGACGGCTATACCACATGGCCGTTAGCATGAACACTTTTTGAGATCCTGGGGCTCACTCCACATACATCTCAGCTTCTTTCTACCTTCTTTCTGATTCTCCAAGAGCTTCCTTCGCCGGCTCACATCAGCTGCGTGCAGCTTTGCCAAAACGTCCTTCCGGAAAGGCTTGATGGTCTCCCTGGCCACGATCCGTCTTCCGGCTGCTGCCTGTATGATCACCTCAAACATCTGGCGGTCCACGTTATTCTTGAACTTCTCGACCCACTGTCGTCCCAGTCTATCGGTCTGACTGATGTGAACAACGCGAGCGACAGCATCCACGGGCTTCGAGTTGACTAGCAGTTGGAGTTTGATGATATTGCTTTTACGCCACGCCGATTCCTCATAATCAAGACTGGCATAGCCCTTGGTAATACCTTTGAGCTTGCCAAAGAAATCGTCGACCAAGTGAGCAAGTGGAAGTTCGTATTTCAAAATGACTTGCGTTGTCGTAAAAAACGAAAGTTCCTTCTGCTCACCCCGGTTGCCTTCACAAAGCTCGATGACTTTGCCCAAATACTCTTCCGGGAGGGTCACAGTGACTAAGACGTAGGGTTCTTGAAGTTCAGCCACCCGAGCAGTATTGCTACTTGTGTCTGGGAAGTTGGCGGGATTGCGAATAATCTCCTCCTGTCCGTCAATCCAGATGACTTTGAATGGCACCGTTGGGGGTGTAATGATGATACTTGCGCCGTGTTCTTGCCGCAGCCTGTCCTCGAACACTGAGCAGTGGAGTGTTCCCAGAAATCCGAGTCGCCAACCAGCTCCTAGAGCTTCCGAATATTCCTTCTGTATGGTAACACTCCGATCGTTGAGAACGATTTGATTGATACTGTCCTCTAGATGTGAGTATTCGCTCTGATCTGTTGGGAAAGCAGCCACAAAAACCATTGCTTTTGGTTCTTCGAAGCCAGGTAAAGGAGATACCACCGAACCAACAGTGGTATACGTATCTCCGACTTTAGCTTCGGAACTCCGCTTCATCCCTGGATTGAAAAAGATATAGCCCAACTGGCCGGCCCGTAGCGTCGTTTGCGGGGTCTGTTCCCCGTAAATGATGCCGACTTCACCTACGATGTATTTCAAGCCGGTAACAAGGGAGACAACGTGGTCCCCTGGTTTGACCTGGCCATCGAAGAGTCTGACAAGTAGGACAACGCCCCTAAATGTAGAATACCACGAATCGATCAACAACATCCGTAGAGGCTTGAGGTGGTCGCCGGTGGGTCTGGAAGAATTAGTAAGACGTTGCTCCATGCAGTACTGACATTGGACTCACGCTGGGATTTGCTCAATGACAGCGGGAAGTATTTTTTCCACATGTAGGCCAGTCCTAGCGGAAACCAAGACCGCCTTTTCAGGATCAAGCTCAAACGTATCCCGGATCTGTTCTAGGGCTCGCTCAGGCTCGGCTGATTGAAGATCGATCTTATTGATGATAGGCACCAAATGCAGGCCTTGTGAGAATGCCAAGTAGAAATTTGCCACTGTCTGGGCTTGAACACCTTGACTAACAAGAGTTTTGGAGTCAGCCTTGCTCTCCATAGACAAGGTTGGGGTCATAAGACGGGTTCGACGAGCGCAATGAGGTCGCAACTCTTCTTGTTTGCGAAAAACCTCGCGACCCAACAAGCGACAAAACATAGTTGACAGCAGATCCCAAGATGTACATACCTGGCATCTACCAACAACAAAGCTCCCCCACAAGCAGCATATGACCTCGTCACCTCCGCCCGAAAATCGACGTGGCCAGGGGTGTCCACCAAATGAAGCAGATAGTCCTCTCCTTTGTAGTTGTACAGCATACTGCAAGTTTGCGCCTTCACCGTAATGCCGCGCTCGCGCTCAACGTCGAGCTTGTCCAGGAACTGCTTCTTCCCTCCCGGCTCGATGGTGCCCGTGAGCTCGAGCAGCCGGTCGCTGAGGGTGCTCTTGCCATGGTCGACATGGGCGACAATGCAGAAGTTTCGGAAGCGGTCCAGTGGTATCTCAGATATCCTCTTCTCCAGGGTACCGACGCTCCTTGATGACGAAGCATGGCGTAAAGGTGAAGAAGAGATGAATGGCAAAAAAGGGCGCTTCGATCCTACGAGAGAATGTCTGACAGCAGCTGGAGCCTTAATGATTGGCCGGAGGCATGGTCGCATGAGTTCACAATACTCGCGCTCTCAACCCACCTCGAGCAGCCTGGGACATTGCAGTTTGAAAGTTGATATTTCTGCCTCGTTTGGGAGGTCTCAAAAATCTTGAACCTGCGGAGCGGCTAGGCTTCCGCACTTTAGGCCCGAACAGGGTTACTCCATCAACCAAATTCAATAAACATCGAAACTCGATCTTCCATGACCATAAAGTGTCTGAGATCAACATTGAAACAGGATGTCTGCCGAGAAAGACAAATCGAAAGTGCACAAGCTGTCGTTGAAGGGTTCGATCCGAGCACTTCCTTTACCCTTTGCCAACGTTAACCGGTATACTAGGATCTTCGAAGCTCATTGCCGAATTTGTTAGTCAAGAATCTTGCTATATTGAACTATACTGATGCTGCACAGTTCGAGTACTCTATAAACACCATTCTGTAGGTAATGAGAACGTAATAAAGCTATTCAATCGTCTGATAAGATCTAGATTCCAGCGCGGAGTATATCCTGCAGAAGATTTCACGGCGTACGTGTTAAATTCACGTTTCGATGTATATGCTTCTGATTCATTGTTCTAGTGTCAAGAAGTATGGACTCAACATGCTTGTCACATCCGATGATCAAGTCAAAGCATACATCAAGAAGATCATGTCCCAGCTCAACAAATGGATGACAGGCGGCAAGATTTCCAAACTGGTGGTTGTAATTACTAGCAAGGAGACTGGCGAACACGTTGAGCGATGGCAGTTCGATGTCCAGATATTCAACAGGCCTTCTAAGAAGGCGGCTTCCAAGGACACGTCAAAGCCGCCTGACAAGGAGAATGCCGCGCCAATGCAAGCCACTCTTTCTGTTCCCGTTGTGCCATCCCTCTTCCTAACCTCGAAAACAGAGACACCCCTGAACCGCCGCCCCCGGAGAAGACGGAGAAGGAGATCCAGCTTGAGATCCAGTCGATCTTCCGCCAAATCACAGCCTCCGTGACCTTCCTTCCACAGCTTGATGCCGGCAATTGCACGTTCAATGTCTTGGTCTACGCAGATGCGGACTCAGAAGTCCCGATGGAATGGGGAGATAGCGACGCGAAGGAGATCGAAAATGGGGAGAAGGTGCAATTGAGAAGTTTCAGCACAAGCAATCATCGGGTTGACACGCTCGTTAGCTATAGGTGAGTAGTCATGCTGGGGCTTGGACCCGAGTTGGGAGAACATCGGGCTAATAGTGCAATAGGCTCGCAGATTAAAAGAATGGCGAGAGAATGGTGGGACCTTCGAGTTCTCTAGAGACCAGTTCTTCGGGTTTAAGCAAGTATTGATGAGAATTACTCTCAGACATGATGAAGATCAAGCAATATGAAATTGCCATCATCTCGGGGTAGGACCCCTAAACATGTGACTATTCCTACACATGATGAAGCTCAAGAAACATGAAAACGTCGCAATTGTATGGCAATATCCCCATGTATCCAGCCATACTCGCATAAGGTTGAATCTCGCAGTGCAGCATTATACTGGAACAGTGCCATAAGTTCATGCCGTTTGATCGAGTATCCAGCCTAGAACGAGAAGATACCCATGTCATATTCCCGCCACGTGTCTTCCTTTCCCGGGGATGCACCCCTCCCAAATCCGTGTATACGCTGTATGCCGAGTATAGGAGAGCATTCCCTGCTCGTATCCGCCATTACAGGAGGCTTTGTTTCTCTGACGCGACATGGTTAATATTGCAAAGCCAGTCTTTCCATTCATCTACGATCACGAGGAAGAACTGCGAGTATCTGCGGAAGATGTTTTTGAAAATCTTGACATTCAGAGCTAAAGTATGATACAGCATGAGTATGTCACAGGCATTTGACAGACCCCCTCAGACAGCAACGCCCCGCATTCACAAAGTGACCGCAAGCATGAAAAAGTTGTCCCCGATACCAAAAGCAAAGAAAAGCTTTCTCATATATCTTCCAGCCGAGTGGCCGCGTAGGTGTGATATGTAGCGCAGCGACTCGGATCACGTTAACTCCTCGCACGCACATCCCTTCCCGCCCTATTCGTAATGATTTCCGACGACGGAGAACACGGAAAATCAATCTATGCGGCTGTGGCGGGGGTTTCGGTTTTCTTGGGCGTTGACTTGGGCTTCTTGGGGGTTGCAGCCTTCTTGGCTTTGGGTGCGGGTTTCTTCTTTTGCACGGCGCCAGCTGTCTTCGCCGGTCCCTTTGTTATACGGCCAGAAGCTGTCTTGGCAGAGATCTTCGTCTCCTCGACGATGGCGGGGGCCTGGCTCAACTAGTTAGCGGTTGTCAAGGAAGTCTGATGATGGAGGACTATGACATACCATTGCAGGTGTTTTCTTCACACGCTTGGTCGACGTGTTAGCTTTCGCAGCTTTCGCCGTGGGCGCCGCCTTTGTCTTTGTGGCCTTGGTGGTGGACGCCTTCTTCGGCGCGGCTTTCGTAGCAGCAGTCTTCGTGTCGGTCTTCTTGGGTCTACCAGCTGTTTTGGTGCCTGCAGGTTTTGTTGCCTTGGTAGCCTTCTGCAAAGAGTTAACCAGGATTCTCTACGAAAGTCTGGGCCAACAGATGTACCTTGGCAGCCGGTTTCTTCTCTTTGGTGGAGGCGGCGGTAGGTTTTGCGACGGCCTCCTTCTTCGCTAGCTTCACAGTGCCGGATGGACCTGTGTGGTTGTTAGTAAAGCACATTCTGGACTGTGAACGATAGAAAGAACGGAAGATTTTGCAAGAGGGAAACGACGTTGTGGAAGGCGACGATGACGTGAAACAGCAGCCATCGTCGCAAAAAGCTAGAGACAACAGTATGGAAGATTGCAAGCTAGCACCTGAACGTTCTAAAACTATGCCAGGACGTACCCTTTGGTTGTGCGAAGTCTCCCTTTTCGACGCCTGATTTGATCGCCTTGTTAAATTGGGTATCGAAGACGGCGTCTGAGGATGCAAGGTTCTTGTGGTTGGCCTTGAGGTACTTCTTGAGTGAAGGACGACTGTGTGCGACAATTGAGTTAGCCAGATCCCCATCAAAGATAACGCGTGCGCAAAGGTAAACAAAGCGCGATTTTGTTGTTTTCTAGAGCAAAAAGTAGCTTACCTGCTGCCATTACGTTCCTTCAGCTGCAGGTGTAGAAGACGCGTCAGCTTTGTTTATTCTTATGCAGTAGCGGGGTGCGTTGTGGTGGGCATGTCTTGTGGTCGGGCGGTGCGAAGCATATGTCGAGCGGCAAGATCGAATGCGCCCGGTGGAGTAGACTCACAGCAAGGATAGCTTCCTTGATCATGTCTAAGAGAATGTGTCAGCAGAGGTACGCGACCAAGGTGCACCTATTGCCGAAGTGATGCGACAGCGTGGTGGGGTCAAGAATTGGAGTCGAGCATACCTTTGTAGGATGCATGTGGGGCGGCGGCGGCAGTCTTGGCGGGCTTCGCAGCAGTTGCTTTCTTTGGAGGCATTTTGGATGGTGGATATGGGTTTGAAGGCGCGTTGGTGAGCTTTCGAATGCTGTGATGGATGTCAAATTTGGAGGTGGTTGTTGAGTGGGAAAATTGAAGGGCGCAAGATCGTTCGAGTCTCTGCGAAAGAGATGCGGGGCCACCTCTCTTATAAACAAATGCGGATCACGGATCACGTCTTGGCGCAACATTTAGCGGCTAGCGCCCGATTAAAATCCAAAATGATTAGGATTTTGTCCTGTCTAAATTCTGGGCTTCATTGATATTAAATCCTCACAGTCCAACGATCCCGAATGTGAAACTGATAGGTAGAGCTGGCAAGTAGATACTTTGCTGACTGCTATCATATATTCTTTTGATCAGCATGGATTGGAGTGTGACTACTACATACAGTACTGTGAGAAGACACCAGGATCACATTATTCTCGCTTAAGTATTTGCAAATCCTGATTATTTGTTGGATCTCAGTCAATCTGTCGGACTGATTTCTAATATCCAATACCTGAGATTGAATTTGATCATGAGCAGTCACTCTCTAAGATACGATCAGAAGCAAATATAGACACAGTTGTGAGCCATGTCATAGAGCATCTCCCTTTTCACAAAGGTACAGGCAATCAGCTGAATTATCTTGTCCCGTTCTCGCTCATCACCAATTGTGAGCAAAGGTCTCGCGATCACCTCAAGCTTTTCTTACTACCACTTTCTGCATTTACTGTTCAAACCTCGTACTGATACGCATGGCATTGACTGTACATCTCCTATTTCTCGGCTGTTCATAAGATGGGCAATACCTGGTCACAACTCTTTCCTCTTGCTCCAATTCTTACCGGGAAGAATATCCCAGATCAAGTTGGCAAAATGTGCCATCTCGTTTGATTTTATTGCATTTTGTTGACATGAACACGAGGTCTTAATCATGACTGGCGCATCGAGCGGCATCGGCAGCGCGCTCGCGGAGATCCTTTATCTACACAACGCAAAAGTCTCCGTAGCAGCGCGCCGGAGGAAAAGCTGCCAAGCCATCTCAGAGATCAAATCGGAACCAAAGAAAAGCGCCAAAGCCATCAGAACAAACGCGGCCCGAATCCAAAGGAAAAGCCGCCAAAGCCATCTCAGCGATCAAATCGCATGTCCCCGAATCCAAAGGCTCGCTCATCTTCCTGCATCTCGACCTCTATGATCTCACAGCCATTAAAAGCACCGCCAAGGCCGTCCTCCGCGATAACGAGCGCCATGATGTTTTTATGGAACAATGCCGCGGTTCTTGATCCCGCCTCAAAGCAGCAAAACGAAGCAAGGTTTATGACTTGCAATTCGGAACCAACAACGTCGCGCCGTTCCTCCTCACCAAGTTGCTGTATCCAATCCTTGCCAAAACCGCAAAGACCGCGCCACCAGACAGCGTACGCGTTGTTTGGGTTATCGTCTGATGGCGCAGAATGTCTCTCCCCGAAAGGTGGTGCCGATCCGGATAACACGGACGTGGAAAGCGACAAAAGCGCCTGGTTCAAGATATGGCACCACAAAAGCCGGCAATACTTATTCTCCATGCCAGCGAGTCCGCCAAGCGACAGAGCGACGGCATCATCGGTCTAGTATGCATCCAGCACGGAAACGTCGACGCCACCGGCAATGGACGAAACGCCGACCTTTTCGTGCACAGAGTCTCCATCCCGGTGGGATCGGAACCGATTTGCAACGCCATGCGCCCCGGTATCAGCGGATGATACTCGTAAGGACTGCTAAATCGACGGTCCTCAGGATCAGTCTCACATCTTGGGTAACATCCCACGGGAAGTGGTGTATTTTTTATGAACCAATCTATGACGCCTACACCGAGCTCTCTTCAGAAGCGAATACTTCAAAGAATGGAGCATACATTAAGATCTTGCCCTAATCTTCTGTCTGGCTACGCTCTGCAAGGGGAGTGGGGATGCTTGCGTCCCCTTCGCACTGCTGACCTAATTTCTTACGATCAGTCGTACCCTGGGGCCGTTGTGGACATCCACTTCGTGAGGATCTGGCTTGTGCGCAGAGCACAGAAGAAGGAGGGGGTAGGGGGCACGCAGCCAAGTTTTGGGAATGGAGCGAGGAACAGGTTAAACCTTATGTGTGAGGGGTGGAAAGGGTCGTAATATACCGCCTTTGAGGATGAGTCATTTTCTTGGCCGGTCAGGAAATTAGCAAACAGGTCCTGGGAGTTGGAAAGCGAGAACTCGAATAGATTGGTCTGCACGCAATAGCCTTCCACAGAGCCTTAATGAGATATCTGAGAGCTGTTTAGCCTAGCTGTGCATGCATTTTCAAGCAACTGATCTTCGCACCACAGGTGGAATATCTATGCCGAAGCCGTGATGCAATTCTCATAACCCTTAACGCCTTGATGCGCCTCGCTTTCCTCGTGCTGGTATGCACTGTGAACGTGATGACACCTTAAAACGAAGCTTATGCCCTCCATGACTCAAGCAGTTCCCCGCGGCTTGGATTTTGCCTCCTTTTTCTCCTTCTTTTCAAGCTTTTGCTTCTTTTTCGTAGCCTCTCTCTTATCCTCGTTCTTCCTCTTCAGGCTAGCTACCTCTTCCTCTGTCTTCTGTACTGGCTTGAAAAATCCCTCCAGGCGTGCCTGCTGGGATGTCTTCAAATTCTTTGTCAGCTTCGTCGCGGCGCTCCGGACTCTATCTTCACTGAAGCCCTTCTCGGTCACTAGAAATTTAACGAGTCCTTCCACATCTGGAGCGTTCCATTTGAAGTCGCAGTCAGGATGATCAGCAGCGCGAACGTCGGGTGAGAAGAATAGATCTCGAGCGTCTTCGAATGGCCAGTCGTCCGGCAGTGTGAATTTCTTGCCTTTGGGATCATTCTTGATGAAGTCGACAACGTTTTCCAGAGTACCATGTTCGCGGATAAGATTGAGCGCGGTGGAGGGACCAACTTTGGGAACTGGATCGACGTAGTCACAGCCTAGAAGGATACAGAGGTCGACAAACTGCTTTCGGTCCATGGCGAGGCCCGCAAGGACACGATCAAGGTGAATCTCGAGGATGGGTTCTTTGCGTTGTTCGCTGAACGTCAAGTGACGCAGTAGGATTGGCGAGTCGAAGCAAAGAGTATCCATATCCTCCGATGCGGCGGCATAGACTTTGCCTGCTCTTGCTAGTACTGCGCATTGGGCTTCAGCCTCGGTCGGTGCAACAATGTATGGGACACCCATGAGTGTGAGAAGTCTCTTGCACTCATCGTTGTGTTCTCGAGTGACTCTGACAGTGCGCCGGGAGAACTTCTCGACTTCTTCTGCCGTTCCTGTCTCTTTGGCTTCTTCATGTGCCTCTGTAGCTTCCGTTTTCCTCGCAAACCGCTTGGCTAGTTCGCCCGACTTGAGCTTTGGTGGGGCGCCATCGAAGACGTAAAGTGGTTTGATGCCATTGTCAACGATGCGCAATGTACGATAGAACATGCCCATCAAATGTGAAGTCGTTTCGCCATTCTCGTTCATAAGTTGTTGGCCTTCTGAGCGTACCGCTATGAGGAAGCTGTAGATGCTCATCGAACTGCAACCATGTGTCATTTGGGGTCAAGAATGGAAGGGGGAGGATATCCTCATACGCATCCTGGCAGTGTTAGTATTTTCATGTCAGATGTGGCAAAGAGTGCGAACTTACAATGGCAACCTTTCTACCGAAGTGGTTTTTGATTTCGCCCTGCTTGATGGCATCTGGGGCGTGTTCGTGGATGATCGAGGCGAGCTCTGAAAAACGTTAACAAGGTTCTACACGCATGCACCATCTTCTAGTGATACTTACGTTTGATACCCATGTTGAGGGCTGTCTTGTAAAAGTATTGGACGAGGGCAAGAAAGATGATTCGGAGAGTGGAAGTGGAACACGGCTTCGCGTCCGGAAGTGACGTTCACGCGTTTTGGAGAAAGTTCAGTCGCATTCTGACGCCCGTCACATCTCGGTAGCACTCCACCTGCAATGGAGCAGAGCGAGAGCTTCGGTCTTGCTTCAATGAGGTACTTCCGAATATCATGGACTACAAGTAGAGGAACCGGTATGGATACAAAGCAGAATTTCGCTCGCGGCGCTTGTCCGGGTGACCTCATGCCTCGGTCCCGGCTACAGCAGTGTGGAGAAGATGGAGAAGTTCAATTGCTATTTGCCCTACTCAACATGTCCTTTCTTTTTCCTTGCATTCCTGTCACTTTTTGCACATATTCATGATGATCAGACATGCATTACGAAGACAGCTAGTCAATGCTGCCAGGACACCAGCAGTTACAAAACGGTATGCTCACGCTCCGGTAGCATTCAATTGGGAAGATCCACTGGATTCCACCTCTCTGTTCACTGAAGAGGAATTGGCCATAGAAGAGACTGCATACTCATACTGTCAAGAACGCATGCTTCCACGAGTCCTTGGTACGCAATAATAGCTCCTCATAGCACTACGATCGGCTAATGAATTATTCTAGACGCCTACAGAGATGAGCATTATGATCGAAAGATTTTGGAAGAGATGGGCGAGTTGGGGCTTCTCGGCGCGACAATCAAGGGCTACGACTGTGCTGGCGTCAGCAGCGTTGCCTCGGGGCTTATCACCAGAGAGGTAGAAAGAGTAGACTCTGGCTACCGCTCGGGGATGTCAGTTCAAAGTTCGCTGGTTATGGGCGGTATAGACGAGTTTGGGACAAAAGAACAAAAAGACAGATTCCTCCCTGGCATGGCCAAGGGAAAGATGTTGGGCTGTTTTGGTCTGACAGAACCTAATCATGGCTCTGATCCCGGGTCAATGGAGACCACGGCCAAACCACACCCCTCGAAGGAGGGATACTTGTCGTTGTCGGGCTCAAAAACATGGATCACAAATTCCCCAATAGCTGAAGTCATGCTCGTATGGGCCAAGTTGCAAAGCACTGGTAAGATACGGGGCTTTCTGATTGAACGCGATCAATGCCCTCCTGGTACACTAGAGACACCGCCTTTGAAGAATAAGAATGGTCTCCGAGCCTCCATTACCGGCATGATACAATTGGATGAATGTCCGATTCCGGAAGCAAACATGTTTCCAGAAGTTGAGGGGCTGAAAGGTCCTTTCAGCTGTCTCAATTCGGCCAGATATGGAATTGCTTGGGGCGTTATTGGGGCTCTCGAAGACTGTATCGCCAGAGCAAGGACGTATGCTTTGGAACGGAGACAATTCAAGAATAACCCTATCGCAAAATACCAGCTGGTGCAAAAGAAACTTTCCGATGCCGTTACAGATGCTTCGTATGGGATTTTAGCTGCAACCCAGGTTGGCCGTCTGAAAGATGAGGGTAGATTGGCTCCAGAGATGATTTCGATGATTAAAAGGCAGAATTGTGACCGTGCTTTGATGAATGCCAGGACGTGAGTCTGCCGGCTCTTTTCATTAACCATAACTGATCTCCCAACAGGTTACAGGAGATCTTTGGCGGCAATGCAGTCAGTGACGAGTATGGCATTGGAAGACATGTTGCCAATCTCTTCGTGACGCAGACTTATGGTAAGACTTTGTGGTCCCGGGTTCCCACTGCCTTGCTAAACCTTGCCAGAGGGTCAATCCGATATCCATTCATTGATTCTAGGTAGAGCCATCACAGGTATCCAAGCTTTTGTATAAGAAATGTCTTTTTCAGACATCTCATGTATATAGTGCGAACTTCATAGAACATATTTGTCATCGTCGCTGTCCCACTATGCTCGTGCCATATCCACTTCCGAATCTGAGCCTATGGCCCCGTGATGAGCTGTTGTGGTTTGATAGTACCCAGAAGGTGGACTGCAATCACGAGGGTGATAACCATGGCTGCCCAATTAGCAAAAATGATCACACTGAATGCTACAACGACGATATTACGAGATAGTACCAGCATCTCCGCTGCAAAATCTGCTAAAAGTTCCCAAGAGATCGCGTCGATCAGGCCGGCAATGCTTAATTTCAGGCTTCCATAGATGATGTCAAGGTTCATCACTTCTTTCTCGGCTTTCCATTTACCTCGTGCGTTGGCCGTTATGTTGGCCCAGAGTTCGGTTGTTTGGTAGAAGGCGATGTATGATGTGTAGGCGATGTCCATGTAATCCCAGACCAACCTGAAGCCGATCATTGTGAGGTCGGTTAGAAGACTGCGTTCGGAGACGGAATGACCGTATCCGGCCTTGGAACGAGAGGTGCTCCATACCAGGTGACTGTGGTAGATGTTTGGCCTGCGCTTTGAAGCCGTAGATGTCGGTTCTCTCAATGACATTAGGTCTTGAGTGTGAGCTTGATCCAGGTCTCTGCTCCGTGGACTACCACTTTTGATGCTGGATGGATCCCTCGGATCGTCATAGCCGGAGGTGGGTCCAAGCGCTGGAGGACCCAACAAAGGCTCTTTTTCAAGTTGTAAGTGGGAGGCAAGCACAGTTGTGGCAGTGAGAATTGTGATAGAAGCCAGTGCAAAAGCTAGGGTACAGACGTGTGAATACCGCATGCTGCTCCAGAGAGTAGAGCGTGGCCTTTCTCAAAGCGCTTCTTCACACATTCCTGTCCTCGACGGCTATTGCCCTGAAAGCCGCGGGACGTTGGGTAATGATAAGAATATCATTGGCTAGAATTGAAGGAAATATTCCGACAGGCACTCAGCCGATTGGCCGATTCTGTGCATCAACATTTTTGAGAATTGCGTCGGGAGTCAGAGTAAATAGGGGAGTTGGGCAAAACGTCGACATGAAAGTCCAATTGGTGGAATATGTGATAGTTTTGATGATGGCCATGCGTACGCGCGGACGTGAAAAACCAATCACAGGAATGTGTTGAGGCCCGAGGACGCCCGACGTGCTCGTGCATCAGGCGTACTTGCAGGGCAGTGTAGGTAGCTGTGGGGCTGGGGGGGGTGGTTGGAGGTAGAAAGCCGAATCGATTCAAAAAGTGTTAAGGAAAACTATTCTCCCAGGGAAATTTCAGTGTAAAGAATCATCCCATGGGGTATCATGTTGTGTTCAAAACTCCTAATTCCTAGCGCCCGGATGTAAGGTGTGACCTCGGCTTTAAGGCGCGTCGTTCGCGTCAGGCAAACAACTTTCTGGGCGACCCTCACTCCTGCTTTCCAGTAATCCAGACTTAACGAACAGATATACAATCAAGATGGCTTTCGGGGTTTCAAATTCATTCAAAAGGTGCATAAATATACACGATTATACACGAGTACATGTGTATTGGAAGCTAACACTCGACCAGAGGCACGGTAAAGACCTATTCAAGGCAACGAGCGCGCCTCGAAACCAGCTATGATGCCGAGCGCCCTCGGAAGAAGATAAGAATGGGTGTAACCGGCACCATCATAGAGCAGAATTTCAACAGTCATCTGTACGCAGAGGAGCCGGCCGAAAGCCATCTCCCCGACGAAGTAAGCGCCGCCGCCAAAGCACACACAGAGACCAGAGAAGATGCTTCTCGAGAAGAACCAGCTTCCTCTATCACCGCACCCTCGAGTCCGCCAGCCGCAGAAAATGCCTTGTTCTCCTCAGACGCGCTGCAAGACGACTCAGAACTCTCATCCGCGCCTTCATCTCCGCCTCGTCTTCCATCGCCTATACCAGCCTCACGAAAGCCTGCATTCTCTTTTCTTAAGCGCAAACGCCCTGCTCTCGATGAGGGCTCCGCGAGCGAACCGCTGTCCGACATCACGCCTAATGCTCGCAAGCTACCGCGGCTAGCGAAAAAGCCCCTAACGCAGATGCAGATTGATCTTGGTGGTGAAGTAAGAAAGACGTGTCGAACATGCGGAATGGAGTATATTCCATCTGTGAAAGAGGACGCGGCGTTGCACAGCAAGTTCTGCGCCTTGAACGTAGGAGGCGTAGACATGGGCAAGGCGTTTGCGAAGGACGACAGCGTAAAAAGAATACGGTCAGAGAGGGCAAGAGAAGATGAAAGGGAGATGGTCGTAACGGTAGATCGGAAAAGCTCTATAGCAGCAAGAAATAGGACCAGGAAAGTGTTGGATGTTGTGAATGCTGAGCTTTCTGCCACAGATATTGATGATCAACACCTCTGGTGCGCGTTGAACCCCGAGCAAAAGATCATAGAGACACGGAAAAGCAGCAGCGAAGGCGGAGACAGAAGAGGGGACCGTTTCAAAGCGTTTCTCTATTTGGTGCACGACAAGTGCGTTGGCTTCTGTCTGGCTGAGAAGATCAGCAGCGCATTTGGAGTGGTGGATGGGTGCGCTGCCGGAGAAGAGGGCACCAAAGTCATAACGACATCCAAGAGCTCATCCATATCAGTGTCGACCTCAGCTGATATCGCCCTGCTTGGTATTTGTCGGATATGGACTTCGAAAGCATATCGTGGGAAGGGGTTGGCCGTGGATCTGCTGGAATGTGCAAGAAACAATTTCTTTTACGGGGTTGAAGCGCCGAAGGATCTCGTGGCCTTCAGCCAGCCAACGGAAAGCGGAGGGAGGTTGGCGGAAAGGTGGTTCGGAGCAGAGATAGGATGGCATATCTATCGAGGAGACGAATAGTACGCTAGTCTCGCTATTATATACCAATGGAGCTTTCGACTGCTGCTATCCGAGGGATGATTAAATGGGAGCCCTAACTTAATTCTGTAGCTTAACATTTGTAAGTACGCTGGTTGACAGGAGGGCCATCCATCATTTTGGAATCAACGATGTAAGAAGAGGTCTCTGCCATTGGGAAGGGCCTTGAGTGCGCGCGGAATGCGGGATGAATGCTGCATCAGCTACTAGATAAGAGGCGCCATTCTGTCAAATACGGCCCAAAGCGGTGAAGCCAATCCAACAAATTATGCTGGCATTGGGGAGAGCCAGTCAGGCATCGGTATAGAACCTAGCTGTTGGTAAGTCCGGATCGCGAGCAGCAACCGATACATATCGTCCACTTCTGGCGGTAATTGAGACTTTTCCCTTTGCTTTTTGGGCGTCAATTGTAGGAGATATTCCCACCTCCTCAGCTGAGAATAATCGAGGTTCCCCCAAAGCATTCGCGTATGAGGATGTAGGAGGGACGGAGCGAAGTAGCAAGCTGCGCCACCAACCTCGCCGACTTTCAACAGTTCTTCAAGCAGATATTCAAGAAACGTGATATGGAACTTCGATGCTTGGACGCTTACGCATAATTGATCGATTCTTTCCGAAGTTTGAAGCAGTCTTCCAAGCTCGTCAATTGGATCTTTGAATTGCTGTACGATAGACATCCGCTCCTTTTCGGCAACATCGAGGTAGTCTCCTTTTTTGGCACAATTTTCAATCCAAGCACTGACACCATTGAACGCAGCAAATGACGTCTTCTTCATGAACATGTCGACACCAGAGAGACCATCGAAGGACGGCAGACTAACGTGGAATTTTCGGATATGGTGAAAACTATGGTGATGTCCCAGGATAGAGCAAGGGACTCTTGGATTTTGTGGATGCGCCCAAGCCCGGTTCATCTTTGCCTCGGGAGACTTGGCCCAGGAAACGAACATGAATGATTCCGGGTCCGCTCGACTTTCGTTCATGGGCAGGCGTGGATCCCGCGGATGTCTGACGTAGATGGCAAAGAAGTTCTCGGAATACAGTATCTCTGCAGCCTCTAGATGGATCTGGCGGTTCACCAAAAGGATGCTCGGACAACGGTACTGGCCTGAGTACCACCTGACCGGACAATCGTCTTTTTGGGCCTCAACATCATACTCAGAGTAGGGCAGAAGGAGCCTGCATATTGGTAGACGGATTTCGGTAGCCAGTTGAAGAAAGGGGAAAGGCATCGCTGGAAGCGGCCCGTTTAATCTGAAAGAGCTTAAGAAAGTAAGAAACGGACCGGGACAAGCTTCTTTTATAATCTTACACGTCCCCAAGATCTTGGGCTGTATGATATATCTTTCTTGAGATAGCTGAGAGACTGAGTAATCATGCTACAATTATATCGTAGCATCAGAGAATATCGTAGGGTAAAGTACTTCACGAGAGCGAAAAGTCACCCCTGCTCAACTAGCGCACTCGCTAAAGCGGCCACGCGTGTGCGAGTGGGGGGAACTCTGGGGGTACGAGTACTTACATTTATTGCCAAGAGATATGCAGTGCAAACGGCAAAGCTTAATTTCCTTCTTGTACATGTAAGCTCTGATACCAGGACTGCCTCGCAGCGGATGATGTAAAACACTTCACCTTCGGAGGATACGCGTCTTTGCTCATGATAATTGCCCTCATGACGACCGTTTGTGCAAGGAGTCGTCATGTCTGGCACCAACCCTTTCCGCCGTAAAACCACTGAACAGAACTCTCATCTTCCAATTGGGCCTGTCCATAACGCCTTTGAAAACGATGATACACCGGAACCTCGGATCCCACCCATAGATACAGGTAAAACTAGGTCCACGATTTGAGGAAAAATCATGTATTTTTATCCATGTAGCCATGGAAGTGCTAATGCACATTAGACCTCCCACGCCTAACGAAGACCAAGACTGGCAAGACTGTTCGAATCATCTCACCGCATTCTGCCACATCCGACGGCGAAGATGGCATGCCACACAGATTCTTCTCCCCTCCGCCCATCCTTCCCTCCTCTCCACCATCAGATCTGCTGTCTCCCCAAAGCATCGAGGATGACTCGCCAGAAGACCCTTTCAACGCGGAATCCGACGGAACAGGCGGCAGCACAAAGGATGAGGGTACGCGGCAGAATACCTTGAGCAATTCAGGCAACCTCCGGTTAATTACTGGAGGCGTAAGCGCGATGCCAACGAACCCATTCAAGAAAACGCTCGCCAGTCTGAGTACAGAGAGCAGACCGGGTCCTCCAAGCCCAGGCAGCGAAGGCCGTTCGATGGGAGCGGAGCCCAAGACTACACGACCGCATTACGATGTAGACGATTTTAAGAAGTTGTTGTTGACCGGTGAAAAGAGTGTATCCGGAGCAAATGCGGCGGTCGCACCTCCAGTCAGCTTCCAGAGCCCGGCCCACGTTGGTGATAGCAGTAGCAACACAGATGCGTCCTCGATATCCCGCCAGTCTATCTTCGAGCCGGTTTCTGGGCCTCTTCAGGATTCACCACGGACGTCCCATGAGAGTGTACCGTCGGACGACGAGCGGCAGCGGCTGGTAGGGAGCATACCAACCGCTTCTGAAAGGATTAAGCCGTCGACTCCGAAGCGTCGGCATGGCAAGCTCGTCAAACCGACCGCTCCTCAAACGGTATCTTTCGAAGACCCCTCCCTATCGTTTTCCGATTCTGTGATGAGCGCGATCGCGCCAGTAGATCGATCCATGCCAGGGACTCCTGGTGATGTAGATAAGCCGCTACCGCCTCTACCGCCCCCTCCGAATACCCAGCCCTTAATGCAGAGCCCCATTCAAACTACGGATACTGATGTGCGAGCCTCATATTTTGAATCCGAAGACGCACCGTCTAGCAACACTGCACAGAAGCGCAGCCCACCAGCCCCGCCACATTCACGAAGACATAGCCAGCTAAGAGCAAAGCCTTTTGCGAGCAGTAGCGAGCGATCAACGCCGATAACAGAAGAAACCCTAATGGAATCAACACTATTGTCCCAATCTCCTCCAACGGCAATTTCAAAAGCGCCCCCTCCACCTCCACCTCGCCGTGCTGGTCTAGTCCGCGGGAATTCATCATCGTCGATGTCTACGGGCGCATTTTTCACTCCAATGTCTGATCAATCCAACCGCACTGATGTCAATACGCCATCTGCCAAACCTCGACCTCCAGTACCACCCAATCGAAGTCCCTCAGTGTCATCAGTGAAACGACCCAATCAGACACAGTTCATCCCTGGATCCCCCTCCATGGCACCACCACCGCCACCTAGAAGGAGGGGTTCGAGTCAGAGCAGCTACACGCCCTCACGGCTCAGCGGACAACGTCTGAGAAGTGATTCTGGCGCTTCTTCGATATCCCACCTTGCTATGACACCAGTGGGCCCAAGTGGCGCCGAAAACAAAGATGTGATGGCCGACTTATCGGCCTTGCAACGGGAAGTTGATGAGCTTCGGGGGAAGTTCAAGGATTGAAATTCTACTGTCTCCTAGATTTTGAGGTATGGGGGCGTTGAATAGATAGATACGGGAAGAGAGATATCAGCATTTTGGGGGGCGTTGAAAGATGCCCTTGTACACTGTATTATTTAAAATGAAGCGCAGGAGTAGGGCGTCGCAATATGCTCCTAGCTTGACTTGGGCAATACCTACATAATGGTACTAGTACCTCTAAATATATGCACCCGTTCAAAGACGCTGTGGTCGGTGTTGACGTGTCTATCATGAGGAGAATCATTGACGTCTTGGGGTTCGGATCGCTGAGATCCAGACCAGAATAATGAATGATAAGTACATCAAGAGCAGGTTTCTTCTTGTCTCCTGCGAGTTAGTAAGAAACCCTTCGTTCAGCGATTATTTAGTGGACTCCCTTTTGTACACGCTCTTGCCGACAGGGTCTACAGCAATACCTTTCCGTACCATTCCCATGGCCTGGTGTGGCATTGGCTCCAGAGGTAGGTAAGAGTTTTCTTTTCCAATGGCGCCGATCAGCCAACTTTGGGGGGACTTCCGGGGGGGAGTACCGAAGATTATGTCGTAGTTCGGCTTCAATTGGAAAGTCGATGGGACCGACGTTCGAATGTTGTCGTGGTTCACAAATATTGCTAAGGTGGAGCAACGTTTGGACTTTGGGGCGACTGTTGGTTTCTTATTGCGTCCATGACGGTGTGAGGAAGCACCACCGAATGCCTTTCGCGTTTGCAATCTTGTGTTGGCGCTCGTGAATGCTCTTCGCTTTCGTGCCTACCTCACACAGCACCTTTCCGAATTATCCCCCAACTTCTACCTCTTCAAAGGTTAGAGCTCAAAGGGTCCTCTTTCAAGCGATAGGCTGGGATAGAGACAGCGTTGCGATTCCGCTGCATTCGTCCTGACCCTGGGATTTCCGAAGCTGGCTCGATGTAAGATAGCGAGAAAGCGCCATTACTCAAGCGCGCTGCACTTGTTGTGAATCCGCATAGCAAAGAGGCAGTGGAATTTATGGGAGATGACGGTCTCACTTTCCGGGATTCAGATTCGAACTCGTAAGGGAGATGTAAGGAAAAGCAAAAGAGAATCGAGGGTAACCAGCTCAAACAAGGCGTCTTTGGCTAAGGCTGCCTGCCACGCTAAACAAGGGGAGGTTCCACCAAACCATAGCTGAGCTGTTGTGTTTACGTCCTCCTAAAGTAAGATATGTATACCACAAAAATATGGTATAACCCCTCAATAGCCTTGAATCCTCAGAGGTTTCCTTGGCTGACTTAGGGCGCACTGTTGCCGAATGTTGATAGACCAAGAAAAGGGCCGCTGCGTCTGGCGCCTACTCTAGCACCAGTAGTGTAAGATTACGCAAAATTTTTAAAGTTGCTAAAAATTTTTAAAGTTGTTAAATAATAGAACTAACGGAAAGAATTAAGATAGTTACTAAATCGGAAAAGAATTAAATATAGATAAAGTCTACTTAAAGACATAAATCGTACTAAATTAATACGTTATAACTGCGAACCCCAGATAAAAAATCGTACAAAAGAAACTTTTTAGATTTACAATGATTATTAAGCTATAGAAAGTAGATATATATATTTAAAGTATTTAGTAAGACTAGTATCTCTTTAATTAACTTTAGAGGATATTTATATTTTTATAACTATATTAAATAAGATTAGCTAGTCCTAATAGAACTATAATAGTTATAATTTTAAGAAGCACGTATTTATATTAAAGTTATCGATAAATATTATATTAAAAATAATAGATAAAGACTAGAAACTATTAATAGACGAAGTAACTACTATCTTTAGAGTGGCGGTAGTATTTATAGAAAGGGCGAATAATAAATTTAAAATTTAAATAGTTTTAGACGAAGTATATAAACTAGTTATTAATTTAAGTAATCGAGATAGTAATATAAAGAAAAAGATTATATATATTAAGTATTAAGTAGCTAGTCTAAGAAGTAATATATCGACGACTAGCTACGCTAGCGTATTAGATCGATTCTTAATATTCTTCTTTATTATCGAAGAAATTTCTATTATATTATTAATAGTATCGAAATAAGATTAAGTATTATATAATAAGCTAAATGAGATTATTATAAAGTTATAAGATAAGATAATAAGTAAAGTATTAGAGGAGAAGATATTAAGCGAGATAATTACGATAATTAATAAATATATAAAGAATATAAATATTATAAGAAAATCTATTAGAACGGCTAGAAGATTAGCGAGTAACGATATATATATTATAGCTATAAATAAGAAGAAGGCGAATAAATTAAGAAAAAGTAAGGATTAGACTTTAAAGATAAATAATAGCGCGAGAGTAATTATTAAAATATATAGTCTTTTACTCTATAAAGTAAGGATTAATATATTCGATATTAAAGATATAACTATAATAATTAAAAGGGTTTAGAATAAGAATACTAATACGCTAAGTCTCGATATAATATAATTAGACTAATTCGGCGCGAATAAAGAGAGTTATAATAAGAGTTTATTAATTATTAAATTAGTATTCTTAGAGAAAGAAAATAAAGTACTAAAAGAAGGTTTAATTATCGGTTTAAAACTATGTAATTATTACGTCTATAATAAGTAGTATAGATTGAAGTAATACTTCGTATATTAGAAATACGATTATCTATCGATTATATATTCTAAAAAGAATTACTTAGTATACGGGAAATACTTAGAAAAGTATTATTATAAAGATTATATAGTCGATACTCGTAAATATCTAATTTATAAGAGACTATATAAGGCTTAAAATAAGATATATATAGTAAAGAAGAGAGAGAAGCGAGAATAAGAATGGCGAGATAATAAATTTCTTTACGGTATTCTCTTTATACTATAATATAGAGTTATTACATATATTATTAAGTTTCTAATATAATACTATCTATCTTTCTTCTAAAGCGATAGCGACCTATTTACTAGTTATACTAAATATATAATTAAGAAGAGAGTATATTATTAAGAAGTTAGTAGCTATAGCTAAAGAAGTTTACTACTCGAAAGATTATTTAAAAGAAAGTCTTTTATTTATATAAAGGCTAATCTAACTAGATTAAATAAGAATCTAAAGAAAATAAATATCTTTAATATATTAAAAGAAATAGACTTTAGACTAAACCTCTTTTATACTTTTATTAACTTAATATTAGTAAACTCGTTAACTCTTAAATCTAGATAATATATAAAGTTAAATTATTATAGATAAGTTATAAATATATTACCGTCTAGAAGAACTCGAGAACTTCGATAAGAAGGTCTTAAATATTACTATATTATTTATACGACGTAAAGAAAAGCGTTCTATCTTTAGAAGATATATTATCGAACTTAGTTTAGATTATATCGAAGTATAACTTACGAATATTATCGAAGAAGAGTTTATTATAATCTTTATATTTATCGCTAATTTGTAGAATTTTATAAAAAGCGCTATTAATATTTCTAATACTTAATATAATAAATTAAAGACTTTAATAGAGAGTTTTCGAACTACTAGCCGTAATATTAAGATACTTTAATAATAAAATAAATAACTTAACTAGAATATCGCTTATACTAAGATAAAGATATTAATAATTATTATTTAGCTAAGTAATAGTAATAGCTAATTATTTTATAAGCGAGAAATTAATAATAGACTTCGAGGTTTACGTAATAGATATCGTATTAATATTATGAAACTTATTAAAGAAAATAAGAAACTTAAGTAAGACTTAAAGCGTAAAGAGTAATAGCTAAAGAAGTAATAATCTTATATATTAGCTAATTTAAAAAACTTCGATAAGAAAGATATAAAGATTATATCTATATCTCGTTAGCCGAGTATTTTTATTAATAGTATTTATCGAAACTTACGCTATATCTCTATTACGAATCGCGTAGAGAATATAGAATTAAATAAACGATATCTCGATATCTCGAATTTTTATAATATTAATAATTGAAATAAGTAGAATAGCTAGCGTTAATATCTTAAAGCGAAGTTTAGATAAAGCGCTATAATCTTCTCTATTAAATTTAAGAAAATCGATTATATACGAGATTATTATAAGTTTACTACTTATAACGTTATTAAAATAAGAGTAAATAAAGATATCTTAGATCTATATTAAATTATCTAAGAAATAATCGACGAATTAGATAATATATTCGAAATATATAATAAGATTATTAAATCGAATATTAAGATATTTAATTCTAAATTTAATATAAGAGTAATAGATAAGAAGAAATCGTTTAAGAACTTCTACGCACGATTCTCTATAGCTATCGCTCTCTTAAAATTTACTAATATTTATAAGATATTTAATCTAAAACGACTAATCTCTATACGTTTAAAATATCGAATTTTAGAATAATCTTTTAATACTTTTCGAGAATTAGTTATTTTTCTATAAGTATTAGATATAAATCTTCGAGTTATTAATAATATATTAGATCTAAAGAGTAAGAAAGAGATTAATAAAACTAATAAGAACTCTTCCCTCTCGAATAATTAACGTAATACTTTCTTTACTAAAAGAAATAATAATATTACTATCGAAAATTCCTATATATAAGAATATAAGTATCTTAAATTATTAATAAATAGAATTCGAAAAGAAGATAGATATTTTAAGTATCTAAAGACTAGATATCGTTTTAGCGATAATAGTATCTTATATAAGAATATAAACCTATTAATAAAAGAATAAGTTAATATAATTCTAAAAGTCGTCGGCGTTAAGAAGAATATCCTCGTCGAATTATTATAAGAATTAAAAAACTAAACGTCTTTAGTTAAGTCGCCGCTAGAGATCTAAAAGCCTTATATATAAGAATTAAAGAGTTAGAAATAGAAAGAATACTCGCTTTCGTCTCTCTATCCGCGTATACTATTATTATTAAAACCTCTTTATAAAATAAACGCTAATTAGACTTTTATAGAAAAATTATTATATTAATAAAATAGATTAAGATTAATTATCT